TGGTACTGCAGCTGAAATTCCGGTTTTGATATCTCATGACCTAGACGTGCTAGGGTCACGAAATTTGTATGATAGGTATCTCTTGTGCTGGGGAAGAAGTAACGTAGGTTTGGCCCCCTAGCGGCTTGCTCTGGAACTGCAGGGGTTTTTCTTTGAAAATATTCAAAAGAGGATAACTCAAGAACCGGTTGACGGATTGTCATGATTTTTGGTATGTAAGTAGCTTAAGTGACGCTTGACATAATTATGTGACAATTATGCAAATCTGGGTGTAATTTGCATAATCTATGAGGTGAAGGTATGAGATCGTTGAACTCTAGTTCAGATATGTAGTTCAACATTAGCTACATGTAATATTTTGTTGTATGGCATTTACTTCTAGACATTATACTAGCGACTGGACGCTGTAGGAACAAATGGTTACCAATAGCATTGCTCAGCTGGTTGGACTGGACAAAATGGTCTTGGGTACTGAATTTTCCGGCTGCGAAAACACATTTTACCCCTACCCTTTTCTTTGTAACTGCAAGCTTTTCTTATCATTTGGTGTTAAATCACTATGATTAATGTTTCAGAACACATCGATACCACAGTGCTGGTGGGATACAGATCTAGAGTCATCAAACTCTAACTGCAAGCATAAATTACCTATTAGGTGTTAAATACTTAGCATCAATTCACTGAATTTACTGTTTATTAATGACGTTACAGAAGGATATATTGCCAGAGCGAGTGGAGGAAACGTAACAACCACTGATACATGTAGTTGGTAAGAGACATTCAGCAAACTCCAACTGCAAGCATCTATACCCATTTTGGTGTAAAAACACACATAGCTCACTGCGTGTACTGTTTGCTTACAGCCATACCATGCCAGGATGGGTGGCGGGACTACAACAACCACTGCTACAAGTTCGTGACAAACTATGTTCGCTGGGATGATGCGGACTCAACGTGTAAAGGAATGGGTGCACAGCTGACGTCTATCGGGAGCAAAGAAGAGAACGACTTCCTTTCACGTCTTGTCGTTGACGGCGATGTTGCACATCAAAGTGAGTAATCTACGGGCCATATTTGCCCTTAACCTTTGGCTTCCTAAGACCTACCAGCATACCAAATATCATCACAATCCATAAAGGCGTTCTGAAGTTATGCTGACTACAAATGTGCGGAAACACAAACACACACACACACACACAGACGCACAAAAACAAAACCTCCATTTTTCATGGAGGTAAAAATGGCTGCACATTGACAATGAGATTAAGTAGACTGATTGGAAAATCTATTAAATCTATTAAATGCACAAACATTGCCTCTTTTCAAAGCTTGAAAGTGACATTCTATTATATATAACTCAGTTATGTCTATGGGCGGTAGATTGACTGAATGTGTAACTCCACGACTGTAAAATTAACCACTTTGTGTGGTAAAGATCAAGACCATGAGGGTACTTATATATTAGTCCCAAACACAGCGTCGCCATATAAATAAATTCATTTTCGTATTACGAAAAGGTTTTTATGCATGCCTCCGTGCTCATTCATACCAGAAAAATGGGTGAGCACAAAACCAACAAACTCTGAAAGGTTTCTTTGGCGGAAGTACCAAGGGTTTAATGAATATTAATACCTTAGGCAACAATTTTTTCCGACCGGTCGCTAACGTGGTTCGTTCGAGTGGGCCGAGAAATTCTGAAAGAAGCTGCAAATTTAGGAGCACGTGTAGATCTGCACTGCGATTGGTCATGGCAGATCAAGTTTACACTGTGATTGGCTAAGACAGGTCGTGCTCCGCCCGTGTTCACCACGTGACAGAAGTCCACTTGTGCATCACTGTTGCGCAACATCAATTCATGACCAAATAGGTATCTACATAAAAATATATTAGTTTTACTCACGGAACAGTATAAATTCATTTCCCTTTTAACTTAGAAAACTTCGGCCAACATGAAATTAACTTGGTGTGGCCTAAGCCTAACTATAATTATTTTCTTTCGATTGCAGTTCAAGCCTTTTTTCGAGCAAATCACTTTTGGGTTGGACTGAGACGGGTAGATGGACATTTTCGTTGGACGGATGGGTCACAACTTCATTTCACAATGTGGGGTCGGGATGAGCCAAACGACGGTGATCGATGGCGAGTATTTGGCACGAGAGAGGACTGTGTTGCTGGTTGGGTACCTGTAAGTGTTACTTTTTATTATTTGAAATCCATTAATTAATATGATGCAGACTTCCAATGCTATTTGATGACGGTAACAAAATATTCTGGATGAGAAAATCTGTCTGGTATTGACATTTCCTACCATTTCTTGGCACATTTTGTCATAGTTTATTTATACATTATACACGAGGAGTCCTTTTATTGTTTGGTACAAAATAAGCAGTCAACAAACGTTATCCTTCAGCAACATCATAGTTTTGGCTGACAGATATCAGCACAATGCTATAGGATAGGATTGGTTCAATACTTACTACATTAAAAGAATTACCAGAAAATTGACTCAGTTTTACTTGCGATTGCTCTGGGTACCTTGTGCATTGTTTTTTTATTTAGTCAAGTAAATTATCATAAACGTACAAGCTTTTCAACAAAAGTGATAATTGTAATAAACTGATCGGAAACATTAAGGTAAAATTAACCAGAAATGGAACTGAGGCTTTATGTATCTTTTATCATGTTCCAATAATTGTTTTGCATATATTATTTTTTCCTGATGCTGTTACCCCCTTCTGTTTGTTTGTTTGTTTGTTTGTTTGTTTGTTTGTTTGTTTGTTGAACCATTCTTTACACAGATTAGCAGGACTGGTGAGTATATCATAAACATGACTTCAAGAATGGTTTACTATCAACACATTGTAATTGCTATTTTGATTTATGTTTTTTTAACAGACCAAGCCATCAACAGCATTCTGGTCTGACAAGGATTGTTGGCTTACGTTTCCCTTTGTTTGCAAAAAGACAAAGTAACAAACCTTTCCGTAACTCACGTGGAAACATCCAACATGCTTGTATCATAAAGCATTACTTACAAGAACATAAGACATAAGACAATGTCAGGACAATTTAATATTTTAAAGGTAATAAATCTTTCTAATGATACATAATGTTTTTAAAAACATTACAATGAATAATGACTTTGCAGATTGTCGTATAATGGAAGGGCTGTAGCAATAGCTCGTGGTTCCAACAAGAAAATTTTAGTGCATTAAGAGAGCATGTGTTAAATCTGTTCATGACATTGTTGTACCAATAGTTCAAATCAAGACAATGTAACCAATCGATTTGTCAAAGTGTAACATCGATGTATATGTTTCTATTTTTGTCCGTTTATCTGTTTGTGTTTCCAGATATTTTGTTAACCAGCGTAAACCCAAGAAGCAATAGATGGGTTGAAATGATACTTGGAAAACTGAAACGTGCAATCATGTATACAAAGACATGCATATTTATAGAGGTCCTACCAGCCAGAGACAAGTGCCTTGAAGGCCTTACTCGCTCACGCGATCCTTATTTGGGCATAGTTCGAGAGTCGGTTCTCTTTGAGAAGCATTTGAATGACATCATAAAGTACTGTTGTGGGTGTACAGTTGTTTCATGTCCTTTTGATAAGTCTGGTCGTGTTTTCGTTCACCAAGGATGTACATGTAGATCCTTATACGACATCCTTAAGCTAGCTTCGTAACTTGTTCTGTTGCAAGCGTTCTCTTTCAACAAGCAAAAATTGTAAGTACTAGATTTTACTCCCATTCATTGTCTTGTCTGATATTTCTTTGGTCAGTTTTTCTTTGATCTGGCGACCAGTCTCTCCCAGGGCTGTAACAATGTTATTCTCGGGCAAAAATCACCGGGATGGCCTTAGTTGGCCAGGCGGGGTAGAAACTATTAGTCGCAGGGCAAACCTAGCCTACAGCTGCCTGGCTACAGTTTGGTCTCTTCTTCTAATTCTGATGTGTTAAAAAGAATGTATTCCACAAATCATCTTTGATTGAATTGTAGGCCAAATGACACGAAACGTAGAGAGATATTTAGTTTTTTGTTGACGTTTTATGTACAGGCATCTGAAATGATATGGGGGTGTGTTGGAGATATTTACTACTAAAACGGTTAGCGTCAATTGATATAGGGCAATTTTATATTGATATGATATTGTACAATATTGCAGAAAAGTTGACAAAAAGTCGTGCTACTAATGACAGTGTTATTTTTTTGGGTATTTTCAACCAATTATGTATATTTTGTCATCATATGGTGATTGAAGTAGCAAAGATAAACAGCAGGAGAACTATATGACTTACTAAGATCCATACATATACCAAATTAACCACACACTACCATTAAAAACATTGAAAGCTTAAATCTAGATTTGTCTCCAATATCTGTATTGAATATAAATTTGTGTTACTTATTTTGCCTGTATGTTTCAGAGATGTGCATAATTGTATACGAATCATTCCAAGGTCGATTTGTATTTCTGAATCAGTAATGTTATATATGCACCAATGAAGGTTATTCCGTGTGGTTTTATACATCGTCCATATCGTAACATAACAACCCTTCGCAAAGGACGTTGTCTTTTAGTGGTAGCGTACGATTGTTGCTTTGTGTGTATGTACGTGTATGTACGTGTGTGTGTGTGTGTGTGTGTGTGTGTGTGTGTGTGTGTGTGTGTGTGTGTGTGTGTGTGTGTGTGTGTGTGTGTGTGTGTGCGGGTGTGTGTGTACGTGTGTGTGTGTGTGTGTGTGTGTGTGTGTGTGTACGTGTGTGCGTGCGCGCGTTTCGTGCTATTTCAAAACCATAACTCAGGAAGTAATCTATTGCATGTTTTTCCTAAGGAGAGTATTATATTACATTCTATGATTCGGGAGATCATATGATACGGTGTCGCTTTTGTAGCGATCCGTACACTGATATATGAGTGCACTAGTATGTGTGTCGATCTTGGCAAGACAAAGGACATGTCTGATAATATGGACCCCACTTTGTCAGACGCAGGAATGGCGACAACCAAGAAAATTCCATCTCCAGTACAAGTGCATGCAAAGAGAGAGGACATCGACATCGCCAAAGTAAGTTCAGGAAACGAGACAGACCGAAAAGAGGAAGATGTCGATGCCCCAGAAATGTGCCCAGGACGCCGAACACCTGTCCCCAGCGTATACTTGCCAGCCACGACAAGTAAAAATATCCAACAGAAGAAGAAGGTAAAAGAAGAAGTACCCCCCATCCCTGAAAAGAGTATTGGGGGAGATATCAAAAAACGAAGCGAGCACGCCTACGGCCTCCATGGCACAGATACCGCTCCTAACAGCTACCCCAACCCGCAACCTGGCAAGGCCGAGCCGCGATGCCTTCACGTGGGAGACCTGCACGCAGCGGTGTATTCGGAGCAGGAATCCGAAGATACTTACGGGTACAGAGAGGCAGAGGAAGTAGTCAACAAGGGGTATAAGGAGGAATCTGGCTCCCACAACTACCACAAACCAGACGGTGATGTTTACGGGTACGAGGAGCCCGTTGAAGTCAGAAAGGCGTTTGAAGAGGAGCCTTATTCCCACGACTACGGGAAACCAGAGGATGTTAGCGGGGGGTACAAAGAATCCGAGGATGTCCACACTTACAACGGGTTTGAGGAAGAGCCTTCCTCCCGCGACTACGACAAAGAAGAGGAGGTTAAAGGGACCGACGCCCCCCAGGAAGTGAGCTTTGCATACAGGGCTAAAGGTATGTTACAACATTAAGTACAACATTCAAACTCAACATTGTCACTACATGGTCAAATATATTTTTCTCATCGGATTGGCAATTGGATGGATTTTGAGTAACATATCTAATTCACTTTAACATAGATTTAGCTTGAGTCACAGCTCTCTTAAACTAGTGCATCTAGATATAGCATCTAGATATACATATTTTTCAATGCTACAAAATGCTAATACTACTAAAACAAAATCCCATGGGGTATTGATTGTGTACAGAAAATCAACTCTGTCAAATATGTTTCCTTGAAGTTGAAAAGAAGAATTAAGGAATAATTTTTCGGCATTCTACATCATGGAGAATCTCAGAAGAAAGAATAAAATGTGCCTAAATCAATGTATGTTTACGTTAAACATGTTTTACAAAATAATCTGAATTCATATATCAAATTTTAGTGGTAGAATAACTAAAACGACATCGATATACATTTTTTCGAACCTATCGATGCATTAATTAAGATGATTGCATAATGGTACTGGCCATTGGTATATTCTTGTCTTTGATAACCATTGGTGTATATGTATTTTTTCATCTTATCGTAATTTGAAATACTCCTAATCCATTTCTATCCCAGGGCATGTCAATGAAATATGGAAAAAATGGAAATCTAGCAGAGTGTGCTGGTTTGCACTGGGTTGTGGACTTCTGGTCGTAGCATCAGTTGTCATCTCTGTCATCCTGGCAACTCATATCACCCACGGTGGGAGGGTAAGCTAAGAAGTCTTCTTTTCAGCCGAGTGCCAAGAAGTGTGGCTCTGTTGCCGATTTCCCCGGTTTTGTTTTTGTTTTATTAGGGGGCGAGGCCAAGTAAAGAGCAATAAAACAAGTTAGGTATGAAAAACTACTGGTACTTAAAATTGGGGAAACTGGAAATGGGGGAGTCTGCAACGAGGCTACCAGCAGTAGCAGTTTTCAAGAAACACCTCATGTGACATTTTCAACGACTGGGACTGTTTTGCGTTGCGGTTATTTTCTCAAAATGTGCTTCATTTATTTATTTATTTATATATTTATTTATTACAATTAATCACATACACATGTACGTGGAACCGGTGGACCTAAGTGCACCTTTTCAAGGCCACCATTCCTTTTGTAGATGGCGCTTGATTCAAAACTAAGTGAAAATGGCACGATGACCTTGGACATGCTGAATGAATCCGGCAACTCATGGCAGGTGACGTCCTACATGGATAACAACTCGGCTTTTGGCGAGTTCATAGTGGACAACACGGCTCCAACGTTGCCAGTTACAAAGAGCAGTGTGACCTTCGAGGCCTTATCGTCATCCGTCACATCTCTCTCAACCACGGGTGAGGAATTTTGACATTAGTTTATTTAGATACCTTTTAGCCTTTTCAATGTCTACATGGCTACGTATTGTTATTGTGCTATTGTTATTGTTTTATGACCCATGAAAACTTGGACATTGCGTGAACCAAGATGGCAGATACAAATGCACATGGTTAATTTTTTGTCATGGATTTATTTTCTCACTTATGCTTAGAGCTGAATGAATGCACCAACAAGCCTTGCCTACATGGAGGCTGTGTGAACCAAGATGGCGGACACAAGTGCACCTGCTCACCTGGATGGACTGGACAGAACTGTCAGCGAGGTCAGTTTTGTTGTTGTTTTCATACTGGCCAACTTGACTCCATTTGACGTTTACAAACAGCACACAGCAGTGTGACCGAGATGCCTTGTAGGCAACGGTCACATTTCTGTCAACCACGGGTAAGCAATGGATAGTTGATACCATTTAGAACTACCTTCCCATGGGTACGTATCGTTGTGATGTAATGTTTCGAAATTACAGACAAATGATCAATGGTTAATTTTTTTTTTGTCATAGAGTTATTTTCTTCCATATGCTTAGACCTGAATGAATGTACCAAAAAGCCTTGCCTACATGGACGCTGTGTGAACCAAGATGGTGGATACAAATGTACCTGCTCACCTGGATGGACTGGACAGAACTGTCAGCGAGGTCAGTTTTGTTGTGGTGGTAGTCCTCAAGGTATAATGCATACCTGTACATGTTTATTTTTCCCTGAATTAAGTTGGAGTGGTTGATGATATCGCTGGGATTATGTTTAATGTTTTTTCTGTATCTCTCACACAGATATAGATGAGTGCAACAACAATCCTTGCCAACATGGACGCTGTGTGAACCAAGATGGCGGATACAAATGTACCTGCTCATCTGGATGGACTGGACAGGACTGTCAGCACGGTGAGTTTTGTTGTTATTATTGTGGTAGTCAGCAAAGTGCACATGTACGTAAGGCATGTCTGTTTCTTTTTTTCTCTCTTAAACCCTGAATTTAGTTGATATGGCTTGGATTTTTTATTTCTGTTTCTCTCACGCAGATGTAGATGAGTGTGCCAAAAACCTGTGCCAACATGGAACCTGTGTGAACCAAGATGGCGAATACCAATGTACCTGCTCACCTGGATGGACTGGACGGAACTGTCAAAAAGGTGAGTTTTCTTGTTGCTGTTGTAATTGTTATAGTCAGCAAGGTCTACGTAACGCATGTCTGTTCTTTTCTTTTTCCTTTAAACCCTAAATGTAGGTGTTATGGCTTGATTTTTTTAATTTCTGTTTCTCTCACGCAGATGTAGATGAGTGTGCCAGAAATCTGTGCCAACATGGAACCTGTGTGAACCAAGATGGCGGCTACAAGTGTACCTGCTCACCTGGATGGACTGGACAGAACTGTCGGCAAGGTGAGATCCATCTAGTGTAGTCACTGTGTTTGAAAGTAGCCCTTTCCTACAAAAATGCATGATACATTTTTCTTCATTCTCATCACCGAATAATGGTTCTAAGCTTCTCCAAGCATTTATGCTGATTGTTAATCAAATTCGGTTCCTTTTAAGAAGTAGATGAATGTGTCATGAATCAATGTAAGCGTTGGCGCTGTGCAAAACAACATGGCAAACACAGACGTTGGTGCAAGCAAAGATGGACTGGACAGAACCGTCGGCAAGGTGAGTTTTGTTGTAACAGTTGTGTTCATACTGGCCAACTTGACTCCATTTGACATTTACAAACAGCACACAGCAGTGTGACCGCGATGCCTTGTACATGTAAGCAACGGTCACATCTCTGTCAACCACGGGTCATCCAAGTAATGGATTATTGATACCATTTAGAACTATCTTCCCATGGGTACGTATTGTTGTGATGTAATGTTGCTACATTACAGACAAATGCTCATGGTTTATTACCTCCATGAGAAATGGAGGTATTTTGTGTGTGTGTGTGTGTGTGTGTGTGTGTGTGTGTGTGTGTGTGTGTGTGTGTGTGTGTGTGCTTCCGCACTTTTGTAGTCAGCATAACTTCAGAATGCCTCTGTGGATTGTGATAATATTTGGTATGTTGGTAGGTCGTAGGAAGACAAAGGTCAAGATCAAATATAGGCCTCCTGGTGGATGGTCTTGGTACTGCAGCAGAACTTCCGTTTTTTCTATCTTTTGTCCTGAACATGCTATAGTCTTCGATTTTTAGTGACAGATAGCTTTCCCTGTCAGGAATAAGTGGTGTGGTTTTGTCCCCCTCGCAACATGTTCTGGAAATGCAGTTTAAGTTTCTATGATTTCTGTACCTATGTTTATGTTCATGTTTATGTTCTGGTGTCTTATAAGCCCATATGGGCTTGGCGACAAAAGTCGCAAGACACGAAAATAAAAATTCATTTATTTTTTTATTTATTTATTCATACATTCATTCATTCATTCATTCATTTGATACTAGGAGCCAATAAATGTACAAGCCACCATATTTTATTAGCCACTTAGAAATGTGTATATGGGCCACATGAGATAACATAACAAAGAGCTACATAGATATTTATGGCATAGAAACCCAAAAAAATGTACTACTTAACATTAAATTCACTGCCCAAGAACTTCATGTCAAACTCATAACAATCAATTTACAACTCAGGCTATGCCGTTCAGCGTATACGGAATATATTACATAAATAACAATACTGAGGATCTATGTACAAAATAAATTAAGAGTCATTCCATAAACTATAATCAGTTCCACATGCATACATGTATTATCCATACAAAGTTTGAGCCGATTTGACCGACCCCCATCTTCCGACCTCTGCCTGATTTTGCCTGGTTTTCTCGTGAAATGACTCTTAAACATATTTAGTTTAAGTCTGAGGGACTGGTCACTCACTACATTTTGACACATACACATTGAACTGGACATGGGACAATCATTAATGGCCAACGACAAAAACATGTACGCAATCCTACATATATTTGTACATCACCTAAAGTTTTTAGTGAGCATACACATTGAACTTCTCAGTAAATTTTCACTATAACCAGACAGAACCGGAAACACTAAAATCTAGGAATCGTAAAAGTGCTATCAACAAGCATGACCCCTACACAACACAATTACTCTGGAGTGTTTTTACACATTTCCTCAGTGCAAGGCTATCGACCACTCCTAGGCATTTAACTAATTACGGTCGGAATCTTCTCTCCTTAAGTCAGAAACATCAATTTTCGAGACAAGCTCGACTAACTGAGAGTAAGGGCTAACGGAACAAATAGGATTTGGATTTAAGAATGAACTCTTTTGAATGTGCGGGAGTCTGCAAAGGTATAACTGCTTAAATATGTAATTTAAGATGGTCCAAAACTTTTTTTTTGTAATGAGGCCAATGATACGTATTACTCGTACCAAAGCATTACAACATTATGTTAAGGAAAGCCAACAATTGCAGTTCCAAGTTGCATGGATCAGGATTGTGGAATAGCATTCTGTCTTTCAGTGTCAAGTAAATGAACAAATCTTAAAGATCGATAAAAACAAGCCTACCTCCGAATATCCCTGTGGATAGTCGAGAAAACGCCAACTCTAGATCTTCTTTAGGGTTTGCCTTTCTTGTGCTGGTTTGTATCATCTTACTCCCCTGCCAATGTCCGATACGATGGTGGACGGTCCAAAGTGTGTCCTGCTGTTGCCTCGTCGATCTCTGTGTCCAGCGTTAGTGTAGGGACGTCTTCTTCTTCGGCGTCTGTGTATACTTGTCCGGGGAGGTTTACCGTTGCGTCCTCCTGTCCGGGACGTGGCCTCGGCTCGGCGTGCACCTCTGCCCTCACCGTTAGCCGGACCGATGGTCCTGAGACTGTCTCACGGCCACGGAACCCTGCACGAGTCGCTGGTCCTGGGATGGTCGCGTCCTCCCGTCCGGGAAGTGGCGTTGACTCGGCGTGCCCCGACACTGGTCCTGGGATGGTGTCTGTCGGTGTTGTCTGCTTCTGTGCCTGGTTGGAAGGCATGTCCCCCGCCGTGGAATGCATGATCAGGCCCTCTGGAGAGGTTTGAGCTGGCGCCAACTCGGAGGCCGGCCCACCGCGCAGCCCAGGACCGGTGAAGACGGCCATCTCCGTGTCGTCCTGGCGATGCCGCCGTGTCGGTACCGCCACCGGCGGGTTGGCGTTGGTCGGCCATCCGCACAGCTCCCTGCAGGCTCGGCGGAACTCTGGCAGCCGGAAGCTGTAGATGATGGGGTTGGCCACGGACGATAGCGTCAGGAACAGGAGAAAGGCCACACGTTCAGTGACGATCAGGGCATGTTGCGACATTTGCTCCTCACTGATCAGACCTCGGTGCGTGGCTATGCGGAAGCCGGCAGTGGTCATGCAAACGGTCAAAACGGTAGCATGCGGCACCATCACCTTGAACGCCTTGGTCTGGAACACCCACAGGTCACGGTTCTCGTCCCTTTCCTGTTGCCTTCTGGCCTCCTTGAAGATTCGGGAATAGATCACTAGGACGGAGAGAACAACAAGTAACATGAAAACTATGTTCACACTTCTGAAGATGGCAGATAAGGTAGTACTGTTCGCAGGCTCAAACTCACAACGCTGGTTGTATTCGGGCAGTCCTCCGACGGCCACAGGCGCTAGTCCGCCGAATAGGGAGAAGGCCCTGAACGCCAGGATACCCAGGACCACGCGTTTTGTGGTGACTTTGTCATGGTAGTGTAGGGGGTGGCACACGAAATAGTACAGATCTACTGCCATCATGATGTATGTACCGTACATGGACAGCACACTTGCGGGTGCAACCAGTGCTTCAGTCGAGCACCACGTCTGTCCTCCGCTGGCGTCTTGCCGGAAAAGTGCGTAGACACGGACGGGAATCAGGCAGCCGGTGAAGACGATGTCGTCTACCGCCAGGTTACACCGCAGGTAGTGGCTGGGCTTTTGCAGATACTCTTTCTTCCAAACCAGGAAGATGAGCAGCAGGCCGCATCCTACCGACAGCACCAGGCTGATGATGAGATATGCCGTCTGCAGATCACGGGATGTAGAGCCGACGGACAGAACATGGTTCTTGTCATCTTCTACGGACGAACCGTCCGTGTCTTCTTCCATGTTGACAGCTTTCAAACTGTGAACTCAACTGCAAGTACTGGCTAAAGACAGCCAATTTATTCAGGAGTTAGAACGTGATATCTTAGCGAGAAAAAATGTTGTTTGTTGGCAACCTTTGTATATGAAACTCTCTTGTGACGTCCAAGTTATGCAACCGATGATCTTTACATGAAGTTTTTAATATCTGTCGCAGTCTAAGTCTTTGTGTCCGTGGATGATTCCGTGGATGAACAGTTTCACAGTTATTACAACATTCTTGTTATTCGCCTCTGACGTGAAGCGCCGGATGCCATCTCACAATGCAAAAAGGAACGAAGGACATCGGAAAGTTATAGAACGAGTAAACATCAGCAAACAGCAGTTATTACAAAATTCTTTCAATTATTAAATGTCATTAACCTATGAATACACGTGGCAGCACATGAGTAACGTGTATAGTGCACCGTCACCAGAGATCCACACAGATGTACGGCGTGGGGGGCGTTCTTCATCAAGGCCAACATCTGGGAATAACGAAAGTTTATTGCAAATATATGCCCGAGGGCTAATTGCTGGTACAAACAACATGTATGAAAAAAAAATACAATGATATAAGAAACTACGTCTAACATTATACTACATTTTACAACATACATGGTACTGATTTTGCTGGGTTTGACTTCTTCTTTTGAGGCAGTGGAAGACGAATTTACCCACTTCTTCTATAGTAGTAAAATTGTTCTCTCGTGGAATGGGATAGTGGGGAGGTAGGGGAGCATTGTGGACACGATGGTAACTAATTGTTTTCTGATATCATCATCAATGAACAATTAGAGATGAAATGATTTTCGTCTTGCACTGCATTTGAGGAGCAGTATTTACAAATCCTCTCCGACACAGGTAGTTTTATGTATCGCCCTTTTCCGATCTCCAAGGAGTGGGCACAGTTGAATAACAACGATTTCCACGGTACAAAACCAGTGGAACGGTAGCTCAACCATTCATTGAGCTCATTTGACTTTAACCGACTCTCTCCACATGAAATCCTTCATATATTTCTTTGTAGAGGGTTTATTCTATTTACAGAGCTTTATAGATTGTTAAGCCACCTTGTAATTGTATGTTTCCGTAATGTTTTGTCATGTCTGTGTGTCAGCAGGGCAAGCCTTTCGTAATAGCCACTGGCTAGTTGGGCTGCCCTGGCCGCGAGGTTTGAAAAGCCAAACCAATAAATAAATAAATAAAGTGGTTGGAGATGGGCTGGATAATGGGCCTCCTAGTGGCTGTTTTAGGTATTGCAGCAGAGCTTCAAAGTTTGAGGTCATGTTTTGAGGAACTGGTAGGTTGGTGGTTATTAAGTAGTAGAAAGATGTTGGGACTGGAAATATGTGGTGTAATTTTGGGTTCCTAGAAGCTTCTTTCAAACTGTAGTGTCTGTTAGTCGTCTGTCCCCCGCTGGTGTCTTGCCGGAAAAGTGCGTAGATACGGACGGGAATCAGGCAGCCGGTGAAGACGATGTCGTCTACCGCCAGGTTACACCGCAGGTAGTGGCTGGGCTTTTGCAGATACTCTTTCTTCCAAACCAAGAAGATGAGCAGCAGGCCGCATCCTACCGACAACACCAGGCTGATGATGGGATACGCCGTCTGCAGATCGCGAGATGTTGAGCCGAGGGACAGAACATGGTTCGTGTCGTCTTCTACGGACGAACCGTCTGTGGCTTCTTCCATATTGACAGCTTTTTAACTGTGAACTCAACTGCAAGTACTGGCTAAAGACAGCCAATTTATTCAGGAGTTAGAACGTGATATCTTAACAAGAAAAAATGTTGTTTGTTGGCCACCTTTGTATATGAAGCTCTCTTCTGACGTCCAAGGTATGCAGCGGATCTTCTTTACATGAAGTTTTTAATATCTAGTCTTTGTGTCTGACGCTGTCGCTGGCCTTCGTTAGGAGATGATTCCGTGGATAAACAGTTTCACAGTTATTACAACATTCTTGTTAGTCGCCTCTGACGTGAAGCGCCGGATGCCATCTCACAATGCAAAAAGGAACGAAGGACATCGGAAAGTTATAGAACGCGTAAACATCAGCAAACAACAGTTATTACAAAATTCTTTCAATTATTAAATGTCATTGACCTATGAATACATGTGGCAGCACATGATCAACGTGTATAGTGTCCCGTCATCAGAGATCCAGCTAGATGTACGGGGGGGGGGGCTTCCTCATCGAGGCCAACATCTGGGAATAACGAAAGTTTATTGCCAATATATGCCCAAGGGCTAATTGCAGGTACAAACAACATGTATGATGTATGAAGGAAAAATACAATACGAGACTACGTCTAACATTTATACTTACATTTTTACAACATACGTGGTACTGATTCTGCTGGGTTTGACTTCTTCTTTTGAGGCAGTAGAAGACGAATTTATCCACTTCTTCTATAGTAGTAAAATTGTTTTCTCGTGAAAGGGGATAGTGGGAAGGTAAGGGAGCACTTTGGACACGATGGTAACTAATTGTTTTCTGATATCGTCATAAAATGAACAATTAGAGATGAAATGATTTTCGTCTTGCACGGCATTTGAGGAGCAACATTTACAAATCCTCTCCGACACGAGTAGTTTTATGTATCGCCCTTTTCCGATCTCCAAGAAGTGGGCACAGTTGAATAACAACGATCTCCCCGGTGCAAAACCAGTGGAAGGGTAGCTCAACCATTCATTGAGCTCATTTGACCTTAACTGACCCTCTCCACATGAAATCCTTCATACATTTCTTTGTAGAGGGTTTATTCTATTTACAGAGCTTTGTAAATTGTTAAGCCACCTTGTAATTGTATGTTCCTGTAATGTTTTGTCTTGTCTGTGTGTCAGCAGGGCAAGCCTTTTCTAACAGCTACTGGCTAGTTGGGCTGCCCTGGCCGTGAGGTTTGAAAAGACAATAGAAAAAGAAAAATTAATAATGAGGTTGGAGATGGGCTGGATAATGGGCCTCCTTGTTGCTGTTTTAGGTATTGCAGCAGAGCTTCAAAGTTTGAGGTCATATTTCAAGGAAGTGGTAGGTTGATGATTAGTTGAACGATGCTGGGACTGGAAGTATGTGGTGTAATTTTGGGTTCCTAGCAGCTTCTTTCAAACTGTAGTGTCTGTCTGTCGTCTGTCCCCCGCTTGTGTCTTGCCGGAAATGTGCGTATAGGTAGACACGGACGGGAATCAGGCAGCCGGTGAAGACGATGTCGTCTACCGCCAGGTTACACCGCAGATAGTGGCTGGGCTTTTGCAGATACTCTTTCTTCCAAACCAAGAAGATGAGCAGCAGGCCGCATCCTAGCCTACCGACACTACCAGGCTGATGATGAGATACGCCGTCTGTAGAGCACGGGATGTTGAGCCGACGGACAGAACATGGTTCGTGTCATCTTCTACAGACGAACTGTCCGTGTCTTCTTCCATATTGACAGCTTTCAAACTGTGAGCTCAACTGCAAGTACTGGCTAAAGACAGCCAATTTATTCAGGAGTTAGAACGTGATATCTCAGCGAGAAAAAATGTTGTTTGTTGGCAACCTTTGTATATGAAACTCTCTTCTGACGTCCAAGTTATGCAACCGATGATCTTTACATGAAGTTTTTAATATCTGTCGCAGTCTAAGTCTTTGTGTCCGTGGATGATTCCGTGGATGAACAGTTTCACAGTTATTGCAACATTCTTGTTATTCGCCTCTGACGTGAAGCGCCGGATGCCATCTCACAATGCAAAAAGGAACGAAGGACACCGGAAAGTTATCGAACGCGTAAACACCAGTAAACAACAGTTATTACAAAATTCTTTCAATTATTAAATGTGCACCGTCACCAGAGATCCAACTAGATGTACGGGGGGGGGGGGGCTTCCTCATCAAGGCCAACATCTGGGAATAACGAAAGTTTATTGCAAATACATACCCGAGGGCTAATTGCAGGTACAAACAACATGTATGAAAGAAAATACAATGATATAAGGGACTACGTCTAACATTATACTACATGTTACAACGTACGTGGTACTGATTTTGCTGGGTTTTACTTCTTTTGAGGCAGTAGAAGACGAATTTATCCACTTCTTCTATAGTAGTAAAATTGTTTTCAAACAACATGTATAAAAGAAAATACATCATCAACAAATCAACATCAGTTGTATGATTTTCTTTGATATGCTGCCTGTTGATAAAGATTGGTTGATTGACTGATCGATCGATTGATTAATTAATTAATTGATTGATTGATTGATTGATTGATCATAATAATGTTTGTTACAGCCTTGCGATGTCCGGCTGGATGGAGGAAATATAACAACCACTGCTACAAGCTGATGACAGATCGAACCAGTTGGTCTAAAGCGAAGTTACGATGTGCAAAACACGGCGCAATTCTGGCCTCCATCAAAGACGCAAAAGAGAACAGATTCATTACACGTCGCATCTTGAATGGTGGGTGATATTTTTATGTACATGAATGGTGAAAACTTGTCAGGAATATTGATCCATTCAGTGAACTTGCCGAAAATGGTAACATCGTACAAGTCACCACTGTAGACAGGATTCTTAGTACTTTGGGTAATTGGTAAATTATCTAAGGGACTATAAAAACACGCCTCTTGAGGGACGAAAGCCTTTACCAAATTAATCTTTTTTCAAGTATAAATTTGCCTGGTAACTATTTAATAAAAATTTTAACATCTTGAAGAAATGTTCACCCTAAGATATTCTACGCCATTCTAGGGCATTCATATGGAAACAAAAGACAATAGCAATCATGTTATTGTTTGAACCATGAATATTGTCTGCTATTAGACTTTTATCCATTGAATTTGTCACATTGACTAGGGGGTGAAAATGCGCCTTGGTGAATACTGAAAAAGAGTAACTCCATTAATATTTGCCCCTCCCCCGGGTTGCATATACAGACCACCATCTCGACAAAAACAGTGCGTTGGCCATGGAGAGACCTCTAGCGCATTACCCGAAGGTATACACAGTTAAGATACACAGGAGCGCATTATACAAGGTTACGTTGCATTGGAGATCTATTTGGATGCATTTTTCAGGATGGTGGATATATCTGACCCGATTTTATGTTAGAAGACATTGCACACAAAAGGCCCCTCCCCATAACATTACAGTCGATTGAGGTAGCAAAATCTAGCAAACCACCAAGAACAAAGATGATTGTAAAATGAAGATATGGGTTTAATTCTTAGAGACCTGCAATGAATAAGTCTGAATCTTTTTAGATTTTTAAAAATCTTTAAAAAGCAAACAAACAAACAAACAAACATATCAGACTGTTTTTCGTTGATATCAGCACGGGCAGATACATACGTCTGGATGGGACTGTATAAACAATCTGGATGCTGGAAGTGGACAGATGGGTCACCTATTAACTACAGAAACTGGGCTCGGGGCGAGCCTAACAACTATCTCCTGGCTAATGAGGAATGTGGCCATTTGTATCACAAGGTGTGTGATTTTTTTCTATCAACGTAGCCTAAAGCCTAGTGGAATATATATTGTGTAATTTTTGCCCGGCCGTTAGGCTCTGCTTAGTGCCCAGATGAATTCGACCGTTGTAATGCTGGGGTCACATTTCCAAGCCGGGGCCCGGCCGGGCTGTTTCAATTCACGAAAAATCAACAATTTTCATCAAGAATATACGTAAACAGTTCCATTGTTGATATTTTTCAACCTTTTCTGTGCTTTGTTGTCTCTTATACTTCGTTCCAAATGACTGCCCGGCCGGGCCCCGGTTTGGAAATGTGACCTCAGCATAACGTACGTACGTTCCGTGATTGCAGAAGCCCTTTATATACGACATGCCATCACGGTGATGCCAGGCCATGGCAGGCCAGGCCAGACTAGGCCAAAAGTCAATGCCATTACATCAAAATTATGTATCAGCTGAAACTGGAAAAATATCATTTTCTTACAACTGCATAAATTATGTAGGTCAGGTAACGTAGGTTACCAGTTTACTTGCAGGACAAGTTTACGGTCAGTTAGCGACACGGCCACACTTCGAGGTGTATGTATATGTCAGTCAATCTCAGCAAACTATGACTAAACTGCGCAAGCCGAAAACAAAATGGTTCATTCCTAACAACAATACAAGGCAAATTTGAGCCATAATACATATCATACAGAAATGATGATTTGAGGTGTACCATGAAGAAAATCAAGGGTCGTGAGCAATAAGGAATAACATGAATATGATCCTTATATGTATCTTTTATTGCGTTCCGTATTTCGTTCATACATTTAAGGCATTCAGCAGTCGGCATTTCTTTTTAATTTCTTTTTAACATCCGTTGTTTTGCTTTTAACATTCAAAAACTAATTGACAAAATCATGTCCAGTTGCTTGAGTAACTGTTTTGGCGAGGCTGTTCTATTTAATACTTGTAATGTAACTCTAGTTTTAACTCTATCTAAGTTTTAGCATGTTTTACCTTGTATGCTCAGCATAAATACGAAAAAATAAATAATTGCATTAATTGAATGTGTAAATGCAAAGAAGTGCAAATGAAGAAAGTACAATTATGTTCAACATATTATCTGTATCATTTTTCATCAGACCAGCAGAAATGTACTGAGAAAAATGAGGTACAAAGGAGAGTGGAACGACGCCCGATGCAACAATCGCTGGCCCTACGTTTGCGAGAAACCAATTCGATAATTTATATAATAATAAGGCCACAACAAGTAATTTTATGGATGACATCCGCGCGCATTGATTTTCGCCTGATTTTGGTTAAAAAAAAAGAATTTTTGTTGCCCTTTGACAGTGATCAACATGCCGAAAATGGGCAAAATGGCATGCCTTCCCGTGCGCTGGAACGTGTATGGCAGATACACATGAAGAGAGGAGACAAGACAAGGCTCTGATTAATTGTTTTGACTTTTACTTTGATGCATGCAGTGATGTATTTCATTCCTTTTATATGTTTCCACTGAATCAAACCATTTGTACAATGATTGGAAACTTTTCTTTTTCAAGTTGTTTCAGTGACAAATGGATGTTGTGATAGTTGGTAGTAAATTTAGCACAATGTAGGCATCATTTCTTATTTAATATGGTTTATAATGTCAAAATTTCAAAGTATAGGAATCTTGTTTTTTTGGGGCCGCCTTGTTTTTTTCGCCCTCTCGCATTAGTTTTGGAGTCTGCGGAGGATGACATCCATAAAATTTACTTACCGTGGCCTATTAAAGAACTACAACTTTGTTCCGACAAACTTTGACCAATCCCTGTCGTCACGTTGTCGTAGCGTCACTGATATATTGAAAAGGGATGCAGTAGATCTATCGAAAATTTGATGCCATTCTTACTGTTGAAACAAAGGTCGATCAGTGCTAGCCCTGTATTAACCAACACTGGTAAACTTCAACATCAACAACTAATTTTGCTCAATATCTATACATGTTAAGTCTACAAGAATGTTAAGAACAGTGTATAATGTTTCATGGAGACAGCATCTAACAAACAAACAACTCTATGGCTCTTCCCGCCCATTTCATCTGTAGTCCGACGACGTAGACTTGCCCTGGCAGGGTATGTTGTTCGTAGTAACGAACCAGCTGGTAGACTAGTACAGTGAAGACGTAGAGTGGGACATCCTTATACTACACTTTTGTCCATGTTAGAGAGAGACACTGGTCTCGCAGGGACTGTATTAGTGTCCGCTATGAGAGATAGGACATACTGGAGTAACTTTATCAAGTGTACCTCACCGGATTAGTATAATCCGGAGGCATGATGATGATGATGATGATGAAGTCTACTCAGCTATGTCTGGTGAAACCTTTTCTACTCGGTGATGTACATCATGTAGCCAAAGACATTATACATTCTGTATAATGTCCTTGATGTAGCGTACCGGTTTGGGGATTTGATGAGTTGATATTATCTGACAAGAATGTGAATGACGCACGAAACATGCCTTTTTACACGGCCTTTTGTTAACCAATATTAATGGAAATTCCATACGAAATAGCAACGTGTTTTGGCCCCCGAGGAATGTGCCTTTTAGCTTAACATTCCTGCCCGATAGACGTCACCCCGATTTCCTGTCACTTAATTACAAAACCTTTATATTAGCCTGTATTGTCGTCCTTTGTAACCAAAAGAAATCACATGAAATGACTCGCGGCTTGACATTTTTTCCGGCACCAATTGAATGAATAGCCCTTTTGATAAGGCGCAGCCTCTTGCTTCATTCTGGTCGCAGAAGTCTGCCGCTCACAGATCCTCCGTCCCGCTGAAGTCTGTCCACATCCAAGCCAACCATGTTCAACAACAGCTCTCTTTTGCCGTCCAGTACCGGCGAAGCATCAGGAGACTTCAACAGTAAGAGTTCCTGTATCTTGTGGCACTTACAAAACAATTCGTCTTACAATTACGACCGAGCCCAAGAAGCCTGCTCCATGTACACGGACTTCCCCGAGCTGGGAACAGGAATGACTGTCGCATTTTGGCTGACAGGGATCCATATCCTCATTTCTAACGCTGCCGTACTTTGGGGAATCATCAGAACACCAGCAGAGCTCCGCAAACAACTGCACATTCTCATGGCAAACCTAGCCGTGGCAGACCTCTTAGCAGGTACTGGACTCTTCGCGACCGTACGACGGCAAGCTATAGACAGAGAAGGATTGGCCGAACAGTACTTCAAAATATATACGTCAAATACCCTAGGATATACTCAGATGATGTCTGCCTCAGCACTATGCCTACTGTCTATAAGCTCTTATGTTGCTATAAGGCATCCTATATTTTTCCACACTCATGCTCACAGTGCCAAGCGCGACGCAGGTGTGGCCATTGTTTCTTCATGGTTTGTTTTTTCCCTGTTAAGTTTCATGCCCAGTATGGGTTGGAACTGTCTCGACAAGTCCATATCAAAGTGTTTAAACTTTTATCCCGTAGCGTTCGTTTATCTTGCAGTGACCGTATTTCTCCTTTTGATCTGTGTCATGGTGTTCGCGAATGTCAGCGTGTTCTTAGCAATCAAAGAACGGCAAAAGAGAAGGCTTGGGCAGCCGGGCGGTCAGAACGATCCGGGACAAAACAGCGCATCGCAAGATCAGCCTAACGATGCAGCAGAAAGAAAATACCAAAAAAGTGTGCAAAAGACCAGGACAGTTCTCATTCAGGTAGTATCGGCAATTATCTTCTGGCTGGTTCCCATGATATTCATTCTATCGTGCAAGGCTTGGGAGAAGTGTCCCTTGCCGACCAGGAATACTGGAATACCTTTGGTGGCGCCATTGCTGCTGGTTTTGAACTCGGCGATCAATCCAGTCGCAAGTATCATCCGCACGCCGGACTTACGAACGAGTCTCCGCCAAGATGCTACAGCTATCTATCAGGCACTTGTCACCATGATGCGGGGAAACCGCGTGAACCCACAGGACGAACAAGCTCCCCCAAATCAGCGAGGCGGTACCGGGGCGGCTTCTGGGAGTGAACGGAACATGCCAACAGGCCAGCCCGCTACAGGACCGGAGGTGACTCGCTCTAACCAGGGTATAGCAGACAGTCCTGAGATTGTAGAACTTGTCTGAAAGAAAGCTACTCAGGAACCTTTCTAAAGAAAGACAAAATGTTCACAACATATGGAACAACAGTGGCAAGTACATGCTTATTCTTATGATCTTGTAACTAGTCTTGCAAAAACCCATGATCGATTTCGATTCAGCAGAATGTGAATACAAAATTTATATGTTGCTTTGCTGTCAGTTTGACATAATTTTGATTCAGCAGAACATCAATGCAAATGTATGTTTTGACTGCCGTCAGTATCAGTAGATGAAAATGTATATGTAGTGCATAACAGTTTGGTGTCGTGGGACGAACATATTTCTTTGAAGATGCCTGCACATTAGTAATAAAGATGTAATGAAGCACTTCAAATTTCAAACGTGTTTGTCTCTTGGTTGGTGTACTGCTGTCGTAAATATTAGCAAATGTCTGCCTTTCTAGTTGTACAAATGGTTTTGATTCAGAGGGAACATCACAAATACACAGCCACCCTCACATACAAAAGGAATTAAATACATCGCTGCATCAAAGTAAAAGACAAAACATTAAATCAGAGCCTAGTCCCCTCTCTCCATATTTATCTGCCATCCGAGTACCGGCATGGCAACAGGCATCTTGGCCTATTTTTGGCATGTTGACCACTGTCAGAGGGCAACAAAAGTAGCTTTTTGTTTCCAAAAGCAGGCAAAAATTAATGTCATCCATAAATGTTACTTGCTGTGGCCTTAGTTGAAATACTTAGCTAAAAGTTTCAATACAAATGAACATTTAATACAATTTCCTTGACAGTTTTGCTGAAGTCTGGAATCTCTGCTTTCTTCTTAATCTCCCTTTACATGTATTAAGTGTTCTTTCTCAAAGTAAATAAGAATTGAGGTGCCTCAAGTGAAAAAATGACGGTCTCACTGTTCAAGTGTACTGGAAAATCATGCCCAATTTTATTATCCGACCCTGATCCTGTACGTAGTTACAAAATTACACAACCTACACATGTATACGCACTTCTGCAGTACAACAATTCATTTAAAATTTCTCTCTTAAACTACATGTACAAAGACAATAAAACAATCAATCCAGATACGTTACAAGTACATTATATAGTACAAATTTATGAAGGATTATATCTAAGCTTCGGGGTATACACATATTGCACTCAGAATATATTAGAATGAACGATACATACATTTATTCTTTAAAATTCAACAGTAAAATCAGTGCCAGCAACAAAAGCAATATACAGGCTAAAATGTATAGTGACAAACGTTGTAGAGTATGTTTATCAAACATGATCAATAATTTGATACGGATTATGATTGTCCCTGTGGCTATTGAGAAAGATTGGATCTGCATGTAGAGTGCACTAAAAGAATAATAAAATTAACGGCTCTCAGTGGCCAATGTGCAGATGTTGTCACATTGGCGCATCAAATCCGTAAGGTGTTTTTGGCACCCAGACAGACAGATTACCATGAGAGGCTCAGTGGGCGTCACTCCACCGTACAGGTGGGGAAGTCATGTAAAGTGCCTTTCCCAGTGGCACAACGTCGGGCCACGGTGAGTATCGAACCCGGGACCTCTCGGTTCTGAGTCCAACGCTCTAATCATTGCGTCACCAACGCCACTAAAATATTTAAGTACAAAAGATTGTTACACAGAAAATGATTGAACTGCCACTGACTAATATTGTACATTGTAACAGAAAGCTCCAACTTTACGCTTGTATCTCACCATACCACAGTATATTTGTATGTAATTATGGCATGATTATACATGTTGTCATGATTAGTCAAAAACAATTATTATAGCTAATGTCACAAACTTGTCTGAAAAGAAAAAAAAACATGCAGAAATACATTTCTTTTTCAAATTTGACACTGTTGATATCCGAATCATTCAGATATGGCTTTAATTTGAAATCTGGAAAAAATGTACAGTATTGTATACATGTCTCAAGAAAGTGGACAAAGTTATTTTACATACATGTACACTATCACAACACCACAACATGGAAAACTAGCAAAAAAATGGCATATTTGCTACTGGCCAATACAATGTGTCATACACAATGTCATGTATACTCATCCAGTGTTGAAAACACACACAGTATCATGATGATTATTAATGATTATCATTTGCAACATTAGTGATTCAATCTATTTAACAGGTCTAAATTAAGTTCTTATGACTTTAAAGCTCAATTTCAGCTATAGAATATTGGCCACTCCATGATTATCTGGACCTGTTACTAAAAGAAAACGTTCTATCTATTGTCTGTCCACAAGGACTGTCATGTGGGTTTAACTTTTATCGATAACACTTAACACACACGCATGTATGATTTAATTTTTCTGCTCAAGAAATGATCACTGGTCACTTTTGATTTTAGAAAATCATCATCAAAACTTCAAAGACATCATGGTGCAAGCCCTTCACTTCTGAATCTGCTTATTTCATGATTTACTGTCAGTAGGGTTTCCCAGTAGAGAGCTATTTAGAGGATTATACTTTACACACTATTTCTGGCATCATATAGTGTACATAGCTGTAGAGATAGCTGTTGATAGCCTCCTGTGCAGGCCCTGAGCAGTGGCGTTTTAATACTGGGTTTTGTAGAATTGTTAACATGTCCTTTAAGGCCACACCAATTTAATTTGTTGGTTCTTTTGACTTGCAAAAAAAAATGGTTCTGAATCAACTAAAAATGCTCATATTTTGCCCCCAACAGTTGAGGAAAGTCCTTTTCTTCCTAGTTCCTATAGTTCTTCCATCTATCAATGCAGTGGTTTGATTAAAAGTTCAAAATTCATTGTTTAAATATCAACCCAGCCTTTTGTGCTGACTTCATGGCTTCCATTGTAGCATTTGGGGCTGTGTAAAGATGCCTAGAGTTTTTATTTTCATTATTTCGCCCTGTCACTTCATACTTTTTTATGAAAAAAATCAGAGAAACAAATTAGATCCGTGTGGCCTAACGTTAACACGTTTGTCTGGCCATCGTACAACGTTAGTAACCATCAGGTTTGTCCTATGATGGCCATTTGGTTCTACAATGGTCGGCAAAAGAACGCTTCAACAATTCTACAAAACTCAGTGTTAAAATGTCTACCACACTTGGAAGCCTGCACAGGAGGCTATCACCTTTGATATTTTGTGTCTGCTTAAACTTCAGGACCAATGTTAATCTAGAGAAAGTCACTCTAGTGGGAAATGTACAATACAGGTTCATAGTGATGTTCACTCATGATTAAAACTTATTCAAATTGATAAAAGAGCTTTCTTTTCTCACAGGTGATGACATCACCTTCCAAAACATCATTAAATGATATCTTGAAGTTATATCATAACCATGGTAACTAAAATGGTGGTCAGTAGATTTTCAAATATTTCAGTTCATATCACTAGACCTAGATAACGTTACATGTAAGTACTATTCTGACTTGGGGCTACAAACCAAAGTGAACCAAATTGAATTTGAAATTTATACATAGCATAATCCTACATGTACTTCAGATAATTGAGTGGTTGCTCTTTAGAACATTACAAGTTAGAATAGTTTTCTTTTAAATTATCAACAATCTATTCACATACATGTAGCTTGAAAGGGGTTAAACAATGAGATCCCATCTCACATAGAAAAATTCAATACTGTAGATCATTATTTTTTTGGCGGTACTATATTGAATTTTACTTCCATCTGTAGCGCAAACTTATTATTACAAATAATTTGCTTTCTTTTTTCTGCAGCTACCACCACTGCGGACATATACAATGTAGTTCCGTGAATATGTCCATTTTTCTCAGATCATGAAAGTGATTTACAGTATGCCTTTCACTAAACCGATCTAGATCTTACCTATAACACTATATACACAACCAACAGTTCACAGTATGTACATTTATTTATAACATCCTTATATTATCAATCCTAACAGAACACAAAATAGTAAATTCACCGTTCTTGATAGATACGATCTTAAAGGTATCCAATGCAATTTTATGGGGCAAAACAAAATACATCCTAGATGAGGAAATCTGTCTCATATTGATATTTATTGCCATTTGTTAGCACATTTTTGGCTAGAACCTGAGCCTATGGTACAAAACAAGCAACTGTTTTTACATTTTTTCCTCACAGATGTGCTATGGAATAATGTTGATTCAACTTACTTCTGAATAGAAATTGACTTTGAACATCCAATTTTGCTGCCCTGTAAATGTCTAATTGGATGCCTTTAAGTTTCAAATAAAATTTATATATCTACATCAAATTCAGATAACAGCTTAAGTTAAAGCTTTAACCACAGTGATTATGACTGTACTCAAGGTAAAAATACATAATTACATTTTGTTGAAACGTACATGCATCCGATACATAAATCTAAGTACCTTTTATTAAAACTAATGATTGATGTTAGTCTGGCTCCTCAGGCTTCTCCTCTGGGCTGGTTCTTCCTGTCCTGTGCTTGAGGACTGCGTCCCAGATGCGTAACTGTATCCCTCCCCTGTGTACAGTGTTGAGATGTTTTCATTAAGGTAAAGGGGCATATATTATATATAACATTTTGGCACCAAAAATTGGAATATTTTGTTTTGAAAGAATATTTGTGTGATTGTCATTTACTTCCACTTTTCAACATATTTGTGAAATTATCTCACATTTCTGACATTTATGGTTGACACTAGGCGCACTCAGTTTCTGGTGCCACCATAAACTACGTACCATGAGGTAAACAAACATGGCTGACAATTGTGTTTCAAGCTTTTAAACACACTCATATGGCGTCATATTTTGGCATCTATACTTCATGAATGGCATTTATTTGCAATGGAGTAGGGTTGATTCAACTTACTTTGTAAAGAAATGAACAGAAAATTGAACTTTTTGCATCACGCTAAAGTTACATAATGGGACCTGCATTTAACGTCCTATCTGAGGGATGTCCCTAACCAAAGCTACATGTGTACATATATGTACATGTGAAGTGCCTTTCAGAAGGGCAATTTTGGGGGAATTAGGTGGATTCAAACCCTTTTTTTAGCAATGTGCCATTGGGCAAAGTTGAAGATACATGCATGAGAATGATAGTCACTGTTTTCAGTCAAGTTTGATTAACCTACCTGAGGTTCAACTGCCTGAGGTCATCTCTAGTCATCAGCTCCAACACATCATGCAGGCTGTACTCTTCATCAAAAAACTGCAAAACAACACATAAATTCAGTAATAAACAATATTATGCAAACCTTTATATTTGATCAACCAGTGACTGTCCACAAACAAATTAAGGCCAACATACATAAATTATGAATTACTGGGATGCAGGTTTAACCTCTACCAGGCTTTTGTAGTGGCTGGAAAGAGTAAAAATTGGCCAAATAGACAGATTACAATGTACATGCCAGAGGAGTTGGTCCGTGCTTTCCAGAGTGGCAAACTATTCCCTTAGCATGGGCCAACTCCCCTGGCATCTATCTGTCTATTTGGCAAATTTCTACTCTTTCCAACCACTTCCCAAAGCTTGATAGAGACTACTATAGCTTGTGAATTGCATTCTATAACCTAAAACTGTAACAGTTGTGATACAGTGATACAGCTAGAAACTGTGGCAATTGGTAAGAGTCTTTGACAATAGAATTCGTTGACTCAATAAAATTTTGTCTAAAATTCAAATTGTAAATTCACAAGACTTGAACAGAATTTTGTTTAAAATTCAAACTGTAAATTCACAAGACTTGAATTAAAGAAGAAAAATAATGACAACACTATAATTATCAATGGCAAGTCATACATGTAAGTGTCAGACTTAAAACTGGAAATAAAAAAAATTAGAAAAGATATAGTTGTACTGACCCTGTCTGCCACCGCAGTGTCCAGCCCCAGGTCAGTCAACCATCTGTCCAGTTCTACATCTCTCTTGACCACTCTGCCTACACTGGTCACACTAATGCTGGCACTTCCAGCTGAGGAGTGCCGTGACCGCTCTCCTGTTGAATTAGCAAGCAGAACATAATGTGTCAGATTGTCTTGAGGTGCAACAAATAAAAAAAACTCCCCTCTTTTAAAATAAACAGTTACAAATCCCTACAATTCTTTCATTAGAATACAGAATGCCTGGCATTATTGGGATGAGGTAATGAATCGATATAGACTCACTAATTAATGTTGATGATGTAAACATCTTTTGTCTTGTCTAGACTTAATTTGCTATCATAAGTGCTTGATGTATTGGAACTTGCAGAGAACAGCTGTGACATTCATGAAAGTTTGTCTGTGTTGGTAATTACATGTTTTTAAAAGTTAAAACTCAAGAGAGAAATGTCCTCACCTACATGTAGAACTTTTGACCAGTCACTCTGGATTGCCTCAGTAGACCCAGTGTTGACGTCACACTTCAGAGGAGCCAGTTGTGACAAGTCTCACTGGGTCAGACCAGAGTGATTGGTCAAAGCTCTAGGTCAGAGCAATTCTCTCTTGTGTTGGAACAGAAGCTTTAAATTTGAGCACAAAACAGCAGCAGCTGTGTTTGCACATTCTACATTACAGTTACCATAGTGCAGGACATGTACAAATGAGTCTTTTCTTTGTGACTGACTAGCTTGATCTGAAGGAATTATGCACCAAAATTGTACCTATGTCTGATCAATGAGTAGGGAAACAAGATAAGTGTTACCTTCTGACTGTAGATGCCTGACCATCTGTTGCCTGTCCACCACCTGCATGTGTAACAACTCGTTGTACTGTCTCTCACTCTGCATCAGTTCCTCCAGCAGTCTGCCAACAAGATACACCACTTGTATTTAACATGGCAACTTTACGATTAACTATGTGAGTGAAGATCCATAACTCATATACAGCTAAAGTTTAGATTCTTTAATAACAGCACAACAGATAGTTCACCTCACTGTGTCATTATATGTGTATCCTGTAATCATAATATTACATGAAATTTTATATCAAAGTGTTATGGGACCACAAAAAAGTAACTCAAAGATGTTAATCTATATTAGATTATTTAAGATGTTTCAAGATGATTCATAATCATCATCTGTACTGATGAACAAATGATACCCCGGTAGTACAATTGTTCAGTAATCAGTACCAAGGACAGGGATGTTGGTTGTCCTTTAGTGTCCGTGATCAGTACCAAGGACATGACACAACACTGCCAGGGCTCGAAATTTATTTTTGGGAATAGGTGCACTGGTGCACCCAACCTAAAAAATTAGGTGCACAAAATCTTTTTTGAGTGCACCATATTAAACAAAACCTATCTGATCTTACTGCTCCTCTTCTGAGCTTGAATCTGAAGTGGGAGCTAACTTCAAAATCTTAAACAAGTACTTCAACAAAGATTTCATTATTTTCTGACACTTAGACGCCAACAATATCCTGCATACTATTGTACAGTTGATATTTACAAAAATACCTACAAAAATATTTGGGTGCACCAGTGCACCCACAGAAAGAAATCGGGTGCACAGATCCAAATTCGGGTGCACTAAGGTGCACATGCACCCAGTATTTCAAGCCCTGACTGCTTACCAAAAACTATTGGATTCTGAGTTAAGAACCCTAACAAGTCCACTTTGCTACCTTTGATGATTTTACCCACAGTAAGACTGTCGTACCTCCTGTTTTCCAACTGTAGCCTGCTGACCTGTTCCTGTAAGGCCAGCTGTGATGCCTGGTTAGCGAACATGACGTGGTGGTCGTGTGAGCGTGTGGAGCTCAGGGTGGACACTCCTGACGTGTTCCCACCCTCCTCTTCTGACGACGGTGCCATGGCCCCGTCAGGCTGGTGCTGCTGAGGGGGAGGGGGGTGTGGATGGGGATGGGGGTGGGGATGGACGGGTGCCGCCACAGCCGCTGATGATGATGATGGTGGTGGTGGTGGCGGGGCTCGGTTAGCATAGTCTGAAACAAAGGACGCGTACGTGGTTCATTATGCGGCACTTGTTACAAGGGAATTTAGTCTTACTTGTGGTTTTAATATAAGGTAAACAATGAATCTTACAAAAATTGAAACAACATTGGATAACGTCTCTATACGATAGGAGAGTTAACTTTTGATGTTGTGGCTGGGGTTTGGTAGGTTGGGGTTGGAGATATGAAGGTGAAGTTTTATAATGGCATTCTAGCGGGATTCTAAGCTACTGTAGAGGAACTTTATGGTTTGATATGTCTGTACATATAGTGGGCTTTCTAGGAATCTAAATAAAATGTAGGTCAAGGTATTTCACTATTAGCTAACACATGGTCACACACCAGGGATGTATTGCCACATATATACAATGTACCCTAAAAGGACGATATGCACGCCAAAAGAAATTACAGAACAACCAACACAAATAACAAATGAGGAAGGTATGAGATCTTTGACCTCTAGTGAGGGGTTGTGTGAATGAAAAAAAAGAATAAATCACACATCAAACTGTTATTTTTCCAACAATGAAACAAAACAAGATGACAGTGACATGTTTCTTTTTTAACCACACATCACCTGCTCCTAGCAGTGGAACTTGTTTAAGTTGATGTTGTCTGTACAGGGACAATAATCTGTAATCTGTAAGAATGTACATTCACAGATACATATAGGAGTCACTGACAAAACAAACAACATTTAACTTTTAAATTAGTATACCATTAAAAGAACATCACAGCATACATGTACATGACCTCCTTATTTGTACAGACCCTTTTTTGGCTTGTTGTTCTTAGAACTATTGACAACAGGACACAAGGGTAGGGGATTGTATTTTTTTCAGTGATGGCATGGACACATTAAAAGTCACAGGAATAGTGTGTGCAGGAATAGTGTTTGCAGGAATAGACAGTAAATACTGAGTGATCCTATAGACCCACCTGGGATGTATGTGATTGCCAGCTGCACAGCATTTCTCACCAGGTCATCCAGGGCAAACATCCAGTGAGGCTGGATATTGTGTTCCTTCAGAAGGTCAAACACCTGCGACCATCAAATACACCAAACCTCATGATCATACAAAGCATATTATATTGTACAATGTAAGTGTTGTCTTACTTGCTTCCTTTTCCCTTTTATTTACTAAAATGCAGGCAAAGCTAATACCATGCACAGCTCATAAAATTTTGCAACGTAGGGAGACAAAACTGCAATTAAATAGTTCAACAATGCAGCTCAAACTAAAAAGGTAGCAAACAAACATTTAACTCACAACATCCTGGAAGATGTAGAGAGCTATCTGAACCTCGTTCATAGCCTGGGAGTCAAACTCCAGTTGCTGCTTCATTGTGCCTGGAGATAGAAATTTTAAACAATTTTTATTATAATAACACGCGGCACTTTAATTCTGGACAGATACTCTAATTCCCGACTACCTCTTACTTTTCAAGTGTAGTGCAGAAATCTGCACAGATCTCTGCATCATCTGTGAAGATTTCTGCAGAAATATGCAGAAATACCCTGATCCCAAGGGAACTATCAATTTTATCTTAGACTGTCACAATATGGAATGTCAATTGTCCATGACAAAAACTATGCTTGAAAAGTGAGAGGTATTCTGGCATTTAGAGTATTTGTCTGGAATTATAGTGTTGCGTGTTTAATATGTTTTAATGTGCTCATGGCGACAAGCAATCAATTCAAAATATTATACTCTATACGCACATCTATAGTATGTGAATTTAAAGAGACTAACAATGACCTAATTGTAACATTTCTCATACAAAAATCTTACTGAATTTTCTCGATGTTATTCTTCTGTAACATAATAGTACAACAGGTGCATTTGCCATGCATGTAAATTATATTATTGTTATTAATCATACCTAGAGTTGTAGCATGTAAAAAGTCTGAAGCTCACCTATAGCCTTGGCCAGAATAGACCCCACCTGGTCCTTGATGTACTGTCTCAGACTTTCTATCAGGTAAACCAGGTGTGTCTGTGGATGAAGCACATCTTCAACTTCCCATTCTCACAAAATACATGACATTGTGCATGGTAATTATATAATGTTCTATACACTGCTGTATAGAACTTTTTTACTACGTATGTTTATATAAATATGTTTTAATCATGTCTCTATCCGAATTGTAAATGCATGATTATACGTATAAATATGTTTTAATCACGTCTCTATCCGAGTTGTAAAGGTCTTGAAGTAATTCAGCCATTTTGGCTGCAACGTTTGTGACAATGGTATATAAACAAACAATAAATAAGATGCAGAATAAATAAACCATTGATTATTACTATTATTATACACTTCACTGAGTGTACATTATATCATGTATTTGTTTGTTACTGACAAATTAACTGCAGCTGAAAGCTACATTTGTACATATAGCTACATACATCAATTGATTTAGTTTCAATTCAAACTGAATCTATGTAAACGTGCATGAACTAATCTAACATTTGACAGTGTAAAAAAATCTTGAAGCTCTAACCTTGGAAAGCCTGAGACTGGTGGCAGAGTCCTGTTCTATCCTGGCCAGCCAGCTTGTGCATACCTGAGAAACATGGATGAGGAAGATACAACAAATTGGTGTCCACCACAATATCATTAACATACACAGTACCATTGCAGGAAGATAAATCAAAATATTAATGCACTACAAAGCATATTAAGGCAAATGCTGTCTCCATTCTGGTTGATGGATCACAATTACAATCCAAAGAAATGATTAGAAGTAACTTAAAGACACTGCTACCATACCTTGTCCTCATCTTCTTCCAGTACTTTAACAAGAGTGGACCTTCTCTCACTCTCCTTTCTCAGGTTGTAGAATGGAGTAAGACCTGACCCTGCTAACAACATTATGACACCACAAACTTGCAACATTCTGTAAACCACACCACATGTACTTGTACTTAATTTATCATCAAAAAGGTAAAGTTACAGTAAAGGGTCCATCAACCCTTTGTGTTATAAAAAGTTGTAGCAACTCAATCATTATGATTTTTTTCATCAGTAACTGCTGCTAGTTTTGTTTGCACAAAAAATTCTTGATAAACAAGACAACTGATCCATTTCCTTCCCCCACCTATGGTGCATACATGTAGGGCAGTGCCCATCTGTTTCTGTAGCCCTTGGGCCACACAGTTGTGCAATCACTTCAGCAGAGGGCTAGTCATCCACTGGTAGTGGTGTGCGTTAAACTCCAACTTTCTCAAATACTGAGTGCTAAGCAGCGAAAAGAATATGTACCATTCTTTAAAAAAAAGGCTTTGGTATGACTTGACCTACGGTATGCAAGGCGAACACTCCCCACTTGGCAATTGCACCATGGATTATACTTGGTATCAAATTATAACGAGTAATGGCTATGATCTGCAACAAACCTGTGTTGTCATCTTGGAAGAACCTGGGCCTGTCCATGGCATCTGTGGACCCATCTGAGCTGCTTTGCAGTGGACTGGGGGTGCGCAGGTGACTGATGGAGGTGGGACTACTGTAAGAGCACAAACATTACTGTAACAGTAACCATGCAGGTCGTGTACATGTACAATATACAATGTACATATGCATGTAGACCTACAAAATACAAGGAATCTACTGTCATGGAAGAAACTTTAAACAACTACGTATTTCTAGAAGTCTGGCAAATTTGAACTAAATGTATGTAGTACTACATGTATAATATGTTGACTTCCTGATTTTCAACTTTTAGTGAATATAATGGTAAAACAGTACATGCCATTTGAAAGATCATGTTATCTTCTATACAAGGTTGCTTTCTACATTCACAACGTACAAATTTATTGACATGTTTGCCTTTAAGAATTGCATAGCCAGCAATGTGAAAGATTTATATAACACGTAGCTTTGTAGTATCCTATTTCTAATCTATGGTTCTAGTGGATGTGAGTTGTCATCTGCAATGTGTAAATTCCCCACCAAGGAATGGGGTTGCACCAAGAAATCAAAGGATTGAAATTATTGGAGCTGCTTTGGCAGAAGAATACAATCATGTAGCTCAAAATCAAGATCCAACAAAGAAAAGAAACATTCAGATGAATCAAGCAAGCTCACTGCAAGTAAAAGTTGAGTCCACAGCAGTCCACACCATTTCTACTCATTATTTCCTTTTACAACTCTCGACTTACCTGCCGTACACAAAATCAGAGGAGGAACCAGCAAATGTGTCACATCTAAATGGCAGGTCAATGAAAAAAAATAAATAAAACAAATCACAAACATAAACATCACAGAAAAAAAGGTGATACTGAACATGACATTTAAAGGCATCCAATGCAATTTCAGAGCAGCAAAACAAAAAAAAATATTCTGGATGATATTGACATTTACCGCCAGTTCTTAGCATGTTTTTCCTCTATTTTCATACTTGAAGTGTTTGTAATAGCCCCCAAACAAGCTATGTGAGGAGTCCCTTTATTTTTGGGTACCACCAATAAATAGCTAGAACCAGGAAACAAGCAATCGTTTTCTGTCAGCAACATCCCATTTTTGCCTTACTGAGATTGATTATGGTATGGGATATAGGCCTGATGCAACTTACAAAATGTACTACATGTTGTACATTAAAATGAATCACCAGAAAATTGACTTTGAAATAATGCAGTTTTACTACCCTGAAATTGCATTGGTTGCCTTTAACCTGCTATACATAGATAGAGCAAGACTGACAGAAAGAAAAGTGATAAATAAGACATCAAAAAGATGAGAAAAAAAAGGAATGTTTTTACATGGGCAAGGTGCAAGTGTACCAAGCTGTTGTCTTAACTACGAGGGGTGTTCAAAAAGTTCTCGGCCTCACCTAGAAAATAAATGTCAAACTCCTATTCTTTGGTATAGTTGTATACTATGACGTCTTACATCACTGCACACAAAAATTCAATTTTTTGTATTCATTAATGAGCACGTGACACCCCATGAAAATGGAGTGGGTGAGGGCAAATCACAAAATGGCCGCAAAAGAAGCGTGTGCTGTGATCAAGTGTATCGATAAAAAAGAAAGTCTCCTAAGGACATCCATGAGGACATGGTCAAGACACTTGGTGATGACTCCCCTTCTTATTTAAATATAAAGAACGGGGTTACTAGCTACAATCACGGCAAGGAGAGCACAAAAGATGAACATAGGTCAGGATGCCACAAGTCAGCACCACGGACAATCCAGTTGAGGCCATCCCCCACATGGTAGTAAATGACAGATGTGAGACTGTCCAACATGTAGCAGGTTCTTTGGCCTGTGTTATGACTCAGTTCACAATATTTTGTCGAACATCCTGGGGATGAACAAACTGTCTGCATGGTGGGTGCCTCGAATGTTTTTTGAACATCAGAACTTAAACAGGCTTGACATTTCAAGGAACGAATTCAGTCCAATTCATGCAGTTTCCTCAAAACATTTGTCACTCAAGATGAGCTGGGTTCACCACTTTCACCCCGAATCAAAACAACAGAGCAAACAATGGATGAAGAATTTTTCCCGCCCCCCAAAGAAGTTTTAGCGAGTTTCGTCCGTTGACAGGGTTTTTGCCTCTGTTTTCTGGGACAGTAAGAAAGTAATCATGATTGACTACTTGCGAAGGGGTTAAAGCATCAATGGGAAGTACTATAAAACAGAATTACGACATTTGAGGGCAACGATCAAAGAGAAAAGGAGAGGAAAGCTCCGAGCTGGCGTGATGAAAATGCACCTGTCCACGCAACACAGGGGTCAGCGACAGCAGCAAACGAATTTGGGTTTGCAGTCTAACCCCACCCTTCCTATTCACCTGACCTAGCACCGTGGGCCTTCTACCTGTTTCCTAAACTCAAGTTCCACTTACGTGGTCAACGTTTTGATGGTAATGATGACGTCATCTATGCGGTATAGGCCTATCTGGGGGGTCCAGATGCAACCTTCTTCCACAAGGGGAAAATAAAGCTGGAACATCACTGGACCAAGTGCATTGCAGTTAGAGAGGACTATATTATAAAATAGTTTAAGAAAAATTTTACTGCCCTGACGTTTTCTAGGTGAGGCCGAGAACTTTTTGAACACCCCTCGTATTTGTATTTTTTCCTCCTTGTGTACTTTGTTTTCCCTTTTTATACTAAATTGAGCAATACAGCTTTTACAAAATCATCTTAAGTGATACACATGTATTCTCCCCATTTAATAACAAGTCTATTGGTAAACAATATACCTGTACCATGATGAAATTTCGTTATGGTCTATCATCATACACAGCCTAATGCCGTTTGTCTTCACTCTTATGACTGTTATGTTGACTCTTGGTACTAGTTTCCATTATATTACCTTTTCGATATGCTATATTGTAGGTTACCTGGTACAATCATTATCATGTAAACTATTATTCAGTTGAACATAGACTAATGATGGAATGTTTGATAAGGCCACACCAAGTAAATTTTATGGATGACGTCCGCGCGCGCATTGATTTTGGCCTGTTCCTAGAAAAAAAAACAAGAAATTCCGCTTCCTGTAACTATGACCAAAGAGTCACGACAGTGCCACAAATCGTCCAATTGACATGAAACCCGTAACACGAAAACAGGACAGGACGACATTTGCTGTTCCACCTGATTTATTGCTGTTTTGATGATGAATAAAAGACTTCTTGCTTGTTACACTGTGTCACCTCATTCAATTTGTGTCCTAACATTTGTCGTCTCTTAGTATATTTCTAATCTAGGCATGTTGTTTTTTAGGGCCCTTCTTGTTTTTTTTAGCCCTCTCGCATTAGATCTTAAGGGTCTCCAAAGGACGTCATCCATAAAATTTACTTGGTGTGGCCTAAATTGAGCATATGTACTGCACATTGAGGAAACCATTGCTCTCTGTTAACAAAATTTTTTTCCATTATGATACATTTTGCCCAGAATGTGAGTTAAATGTAACTACAGGAAGCTTCAAGGTCTGAAACAGTAGGAGAAAAGGAAAGGCAATAATTTATAATCAATTTATTTTCTACACAAGTCTAATAGAAATAGATCTGCACAAGACACATATCTAAAAGTGTAAAAACACTGCAAACAAAGTTAGTTCTTTTGGGCTTTGACAGAAGCAAGAAAAGAAAAGCCAATGTAAAATAAAAAAATGAGAGCCAGCATTTTTAGTTTCAACTTACATGTACAGTGAAAGAAAGCATTGTTACGGTACCAAGTCAGAGTCTATTGATAAATAAGCTTCAATTCTGCTGTAGAACTGATGCTACAAGAACAAAAATAAGGAGAATTATTTTTGAAGAGTTTAATTTGAGGAGGAACAGTGCACACTGCGAGGGGGAATTGCCACTTCTAGATCAAAATAAACTTGCCGATGGAGGGGATGTTCCATTACGCTGGGGAGGTCCAGTGACAACCTTGTATGGAAGGGTGAATAAAATCAATGTGAAATGTGAGGGGGTTTTGGAGAGAAAAAGTATCCTTCTTCAATCAGCGAAAGGAGGCTCTAAGTACCAGTCTATTATTAATTCTACCAGGAGGTATGATAATTGTGTTATTTTTAATACAAATTCTCTTTGATTCTAGTACTAGGTTAGGGAAGTGTCTTCAACTGCTAAATATATAGTTAAGAAACTTACATGTACAAATGTACACTGTCAGTTAAATTGACCATAATTTTTTTTTTCCTCAGCAGGAACTTTTCTTTAATTCCTTTTTGCAACAATTTGAACTTTGTAACTTGTATCAATTTTTCTTGTATATCTTGTCCAAGTTTGTGTCTGTAGGTAAAAAAAATCTGTAGTTTAGAGAGAAAACTCAGAGAGCCAGTCATGTGTTTCAAACTGTCTTACCTGTGGCGCTCGATGACCGGTGGTGAGGGATGGACATCACCGGGAGCTGGGAGGACAGACAAACACAGAAGCCTGATGAAATGTGATTGACACTTGAGTAGCAAAGTTCTTTAGTCACAACCACTTGTTTAACACATTAGCGCCAATGTATCAATGACCGTCTGTCATCTTAATCAGCCTGAGGGCAATTTATGACTGGTTCACTGTGCACTGAAGCTACATGTAGGTGTTACTGGTCCACTGCACTGAAGCTACATGTACATGTAGGTGTTACTGGTTCACTGTGCACTGAAGCTAAGTGTTACTGTGTACACTGAAGCTACATGTAGGTGTTACTGGTTCACTGTGCACTGAAGCTAGGTGTTACTGTGTACACTGATGCTACATGTAGGTGTTACTGGTTCACTGTGCACTGAAGCTGGTGTTACTGGTTCACTGTGCACTGAAGCTAGGTGTTACTGGTTCACTGTGCACTGAAGCTAGATGTTACTGGTTCACTGTGCACTGAAGCTAGGTGTTACTGGTTCACTGTGCACTGAAGCTAGGTGTTACTGGTTCACTGTGTACTGAAGCTAGGTGTTACTGGTTCACTGTGCACTGAAGCTAGGTGTTACTGGTTCACTGTGCACTGAAGCTACATAGTGTACATGTAGGTGTTACTGTTTCACAGTGACTGTGACTAAAGCTAATAGTAGGTGTTTACTGGTTCACTGTGCACTGAAGCTAGGTGTTTACTGGTTCACTGTGTACTGAAGCTAGGTGTTACTGGTTCACTGTGTACTGAAGCTAGGTTGTTACTGGTTCACTGTGTACTGAAGCTAGGTGTTACTGGTTCACTGTGCACTGAAGCTAGGTGTTACTGGTTCACACTGTGCCCGTATCTTCAATGCAATTCAGTGAACCAATAACACATACCTTCAGTGCAATTTAGTGAAGCAGTCACAAATTCCCTGATGAAGATGACAGAATGGTCAATTAAAGCGTCGGCTCTTGTTAAACAAGTGGTTGTGAATAAAGAATTCTTTGCTACTCAATCATTCATCAACCTGATGAAATTATTCACTTATCAATTCAATTGATGAACTGTACAATATTAGTCAATCTGTGTTCCTATCACGGCAGTGTAAAATGTTTCGAAAAGTAAGACACAAACAGTTTTCCGGGTTGACTAGTAGACAAGTGTTCATCAATTGAATCAACAAGTGTTTTAGGAATTACAACATTATTGTAAAGGGAGATACTGAAGAAATAGGTAGAAATACAGAAAAGGAGTGAAAAATAAAATGTGAATAGAGCCATGCTGCAGAAAAGGATGGGGACTTCAATTGTGGCAAAAAGAATTGCATTTGAAAGCTTAGAACAAAGCTCAAACAAGATCCAAACTGAATCTCCACCACAGTTGTTCACACTATTTCAAAGATTAAATTATATAATTTCTTTCGGGATGTCAGTATACTGTTTGCAATTTAGTTAAACTTTTTGAATTTTATTTTATTTTTATTGTTTCAAGACTTTAGAGACAAATTTCACTTTATGAAAAGTATACATGACTGTATACGAGTTATTTTGTGCAACTCAAAAGTGCTTCAAAACAAGGTGGAACTAAAAAGGGATAAAGTCAGTGCAGTGCACAACAAATTAAAGGCAGCTGCTCCTTTTGCCAAGAGTGCTTGTATGTGCATTACTTTGGCAGTGAGGTTGTATTAGGCAACTTACAGTATGACAGTTTACGAGGCACCTCTATCATGGAGGACCTCCTTTTGTCATAAGCTAGATCAGCAGAGGGAAGATAGGAAGCGTAATATAAAGATGGAAGTCCAGTCACAGAACTGGTAGTGTACATGTACAAAAAAAGAATCCAGGGCTCAAAATACTGTTTTTCTGCATACATGCACTGGTGTATACTAAATGTATGTAATGTTCAAAATTACCTGCACCAGTCAAGTTTTACCTACACTAACTTGCATATGCAGGTGGTATTTCGAGTCCTGGAATCATATCCTACTACAGCAAGGAAAACTGTACAGTAACTCCATTGAAATCTTTCAAAACTGTGAGCTACATTGTGACTTCAACTTGGTTTGTTTCCACCGTGTATCAAAATGATTGCGAGTCACAAAACAAACCCATCTTAACTTAACACAAGTTATTTTTTTTTCCTTGTGCAACCACTATTTGCAGAGGCCATGAAAAATATTGTAGACCAATAAAATTATTGACTAATACATTGTACTTTGTTTCACAATTCAATGGTTTATGGTGTACAGGTTTCCTTAACTACATTCTACTGCACAGTGTTATGTATGCCCAGCTCTACAACATCCTATTGCTAGAAAACAGAAAGCAAGCAAATCATGAACTTCCTACTGCTTCCTACTGAAAAAAAATGTCAAGCATCATTAAGACAAATACATCTGTTACACTCCTGACCCTTCAGCTAGTGCTGTGTACCTAAACCCACATTTAGGTTCAGGTCCGGATTCAAGTTCAGAGGTTTAGGTTCAGTTCCAGACTCATAAGTCCGGACCTTATCCCATATATGGCATATACAAATTGCATGTTGGTAACCTTGCAATGTTGTATTGGCAAAACTGTAGTCATATGACATGGATGCCGACACTTGGCGATGCCCGATGGCAATGTTTTCTTCATTTTGCAGCAGAGATTTTGCAATCTATGGAAGGTTTTAGTTTATTTGGAAAGAAAAGGGGTATGTGACATGTTTTATTTTTTTGGTAATACATGTAAGTCCAGAATTGGTTCTTGACTTTTAGATTTTTTTGGACTTGAACCTAAACATTTTTACAAGTCCGGAACCGGTCCAGTGAACCGATACACAGCACTAACCTCAGCATTCAAATACTTCTGAATCAGTAGAATGTGGCTCAAACAAATCAACATAGACTATTCTGTGGTTGTTGTGTGTTAATTCGCCTATACTACAATACAAAAACAATTGTCACTGATCTCAAACATGCTAAACGTGTACTGAAAAAAAAAATAAGCCCAGGCCAAATGAAAGGTCCACGTGACACGACAGACACCAACACTTTTTCCACAACCCACTTACAGCCAACTTCATGATTTTCATCTATAGATGATGACCGAGCCCATGAAATGTGTCCACTATCTCTGCGTTCACAGACTGCATTGTTGAAGAAATGGAAGAAAACTTTACTTTTACTATAGCCCCCGTCACACATGCAGAACCTTCCCCCAACCACCAACCAACCAAGGTTGGCAGTAGATTGGGAGCAGTCTGACCAGATTTAGACCACACCTATCTTTCAGTACCATTAACAAATGAAATAAAATTTGAGCTAAATTTGAGTCAAATTTGACTGCCAACTATGGCCGGACCACTGCTGAATTACTCCCAACCACCAGTCAACCTGTTCCCAACCATTTCCAAACCTCCCGTCCACTCCCGAATGTTTTAAACATTTTGAATTATACGGCTAGTGCAACCGAATAGTAGTCAACCACAGCCTTGCTCGCAGCCTACTCCTAACCATGGTTGGGAAGAGTTTGGTAGTGTTTGGGAGGTCATATTTGGCTACATGTGACAGAGGCTTAAAATCCAGGGAGCAATGAAAGATTCTTGAATTTTTTTCATCACAACCATAGATTTCAACTTCTCAGATCATAATAAAATGTGTTCTAAATGTGCACATCTTTTGATTTCAGGAAAGAAAGTGAATGAACACCAGCTATTACAATACAGCCTGGTACAAATAATGTCATTAGACCTTTAATAGTAAAGGGCAATTTTTATCTCTCCTAAGACAAATGATCATGCTTCATATCTAACTGGTATTGTCAAAAATTTATTTCTCATCTTGAAATTTGTCCAAAATTTTCACATTTTTCCCAGTTGATAATTATAGTGTGTGAGAAGGATATAGGATGACACATGCTCAATATCATGACTGCTAAGCTACATGTAAGTGCGAATACAGAGTACTATCCACATACCTGATATACTGCGATCAAACCCATGTCCATGGGGACTTTTAGAGACTTTGGACTTTTTCCTGTAAAAATGCAGATGCAGAAGATGTCATTCAAGCAGTACAATTGTGATAAAGTAGATATGGGCATATCAGGAAGGATAGGTACAGTGATGTTTTTAGTGCAAAGTAAATAGTATCCAATTTTCCCCATAAAAATGCAGTTATAAGGTCCAAAACTTTGGTTTGATATCTTGTATCTATGAAATTATCTTTGTTTTAGATGTATCCTATTACGTAAATCTACAAGAACCCTCTAATCAATGAAGTACATACAATCAGCATATCACAAATAATCTCACAGCTCAGCCACCCAAACAATACTTTAATACAATGGATATTGTCTGGCTAATGGATACTGCCTGCCAATTTGATACTATATTTTGTGGCCACTGAAAGATCTGCTTGGAGATTAACTTGCATACCCAGGAGTAAAAATGAGTTACTCTTATTGTTTCTAACCTGCTGAGCCAAGGGTCAGTCAGAAGGTCCCCGGCTGTGGCACGCTTCCCTGGATCTGCCTCAAAGCACCTGGGAAAAAACAAATGCTCTTTGATATAGACTTAATTATAACTCCATAATAACACACATGGATCAGCACCAGGGACAGTAACCATCAACAGTTCTTAGTACCATGGAGATCAGAAATAAATGGTTCTCGGCATCATAACAAGAAAACATGAATGGTTTAGAACTGGGGGCAATGTATCTATAACCAGAAAGGGCAATTGTCATTGAGAGGTTTTGTAAACTGGGACAGGGCACACACAAATAGCATTTAGCACCAGGGACAGGGCAAATATGGATAGCATTTAGCACCAAGGACAGGGCACATATAAACAGCATTAAGCACCAGGGACAGGACACATATGAATAGCATTTAGCACCAAAGACAGGACACATATGAACAACATTAAGCACCAGGGACAGGGCAAATATGGATAGCATTTAGCACCAAGGACAGGGCACATATAAACAGCATTAAGCACCAGGGACAGGACACATATGAATAGCATTTAGCACCAAGGACAGGGCACATATGAACAACATTAAGCACCAGGGACAGGACACATATGAATAGCATTTAGCACCAAAGACAGGGCACATATGAACAACATTAAGCACCAGGGACAGGGCACACACAAATAGCATTTAGCACCAAGGACAGGGCACATGTGGATAGCATTCAGCACCAGCGACAAGGCACATATGAATAGCATTTACATGTAGCACCAAGGACAGGACACATGGCTGGAACAACAGGTTATACTACTAGTATATAGCATGCAGAAAACATCAACCCACCTGAGGAGGAAGCTGTTGGCCTTCTCTGACATGACATCTGGGATATCAGGGTGGATCTTGTAGTATCCCACCTTAAACATGGCAGCCTGGGGATTCCCAAGCTGGCAGGACACAAACGAAATCCTCAGTCAGTGACTAGCAGTGACAAGTATGTCTCTCATATAATACCATCTATATCATATCTTGGCTGCAATAACGTTCAATACAGGTGTTCCAGTATGTGTGTGTGATAACCATCGGTACAACCCAAGGTTCTATTTGGTTATTACGCTGTTCAAATATTCCATGACTCGAACGTGTTTCTTCTGTGCTGCCTGCACGGCTTTCGAAAATTCTAATACCGGATTCAGGCATTAGAATTGATGTTTTTTTGTTTAGGGACACCAAATTATGGCGCACATTGCTGTATTCTATATTCATTATAAAATACAATCAAATACTACATATAATATACCAAGATTTCTTAATGATTGTTACGGAAAAACTTCAGGTACAAGAAAAAAGGATGTCTCAAGCCAGCAAATTTAAAGTATCTTTTTCATTATAGTTTATAGTTTTGACATCATAGTTAAGACTCAACATCTAGGTAACCACATAGTAAGCGGATCACTAAATCATAGTAAATGACCAATGATGATGACATTTCCAATTACCTCAATAAAAGGCGGTTTCCCTGTAGCCATCTCCACAATGGTACAGCCCAAGGACCAGATATCAGCCTGTGACAGAGGATAGGAAGCAGATGAAGGACATGGGAAAACAATGAAATCAGACTTCAGATAATGTAGATGAACAAAATAACAGCGCACATGGAAGGCTTTCAGCACCAAGGACAGTGTCCATGTGTTCTTTTACAAGGAGCATACTGCACAGATCTTAACTACATGTAACTTTCCTTCCAGTGCATTTTACACACAGTTTTAACTCATTTCTTTCTTGAGCAAAAGATGTGTTTAAATTAAAACTTGAAAGCCATGAAAAAGCCATGCACAACTGTGTGCACTAACTAGCTACAATCATATCTTTAAGACTTAATCATACAACTTCACATGAACATCTACACAGTCACAGTTTACACCAGAAATGAATGTGATTTGAACGAGAAATGCATGGCTTTTGCGTCATGTTTTAATCAAGAACACAACTTTAAATGGCATTTTGCAAGACTTTTGATTGCAATTTCCACAAAATATAGTTTAAGCTAGACGTACATTTACAGCTGTCCAAAAATAAGTTTCAAGTCTTTTAGAAGTAGTTAAAAATAATGTTTCTGATTACAACTGTTACAACAAAAAGTAAGATATATGATGGAAAATATCACAAACTCACTGGTGGTCCATGCCCTCTCAGTCCTCGATCAATCACCTCTGGTGCCATGTACTGCAGTGTGCCTGAATACAGATAGAGGGCGTACCAACACCATGAGGACATACAACATTGTACAGATGACAATACCCTTATCCACGATGATGTTTGTGATGATTTGCCCCACCAGACTTCCAGATATGAAATGAAATTTGATTAGTAACAAGTAGAAAGGACTTGAATGAAAGTTGATCACTGAAACAGTGCCCCCTGATTCAAAGTTGTCATTTGCATGCACTTGTAGCCATGGTCTGGTCACTTTTGAGTATTATATTTGAAATTTTCATTAAAATGTTGCTGGCTAGAATGCCTCAAAGACCAATAAAGAAATTGTCCCGTTATACAAATCATCATCTTTTTTTTCACTGTAAATCTCTATATAATGTTTTACTCAAAGTGCTCCTAGTAAAGTTTTCTTTGTGGCTTATTTCCTTAACTAAGCATAATATCTTTATATAATATACATCAGGTATATTGGGCAAAAGCATCTATCAATAGTCTAGAGTCACAAGAAAAAGCTTTATTTCAAACATTCTGAAGCAAAAGAATACAAAAATCTCTAGAAAGCTGGGATAAAAGTAAAATGTTTTAAAAAAAGGTGAGCTTACCCTACCATTTACAAGGAAGAGCATGTACATGGCTTGATCTTATTTGACGAAAATCATTATGTGATCTTTGCTTTATTAAAATGGCACTTGACAGGCTGACTTATTTGCGTGACCAGAATAGAGAGCACAGAAAAGATAATCAAAGACATGCAATGATTGTGTTACATGTACCACATACATGTATTAGTGTACCTTAAAATATTTCTCTACTGTAAGCCCATCTACATGTATGTATGTACTATACCTACAAGTGAAGTCCATCACTAGTCAAATTTAAAAGAAAAGTTGGAAAGTAAAGCTTTTTTGATGGTTTTCTACTGTTATGAAGATCTAGCTTGATGCAGAAATGCAAAGGGAAAGCATGCAGTAAATGTTATTAAAGATAGCAGAAATGAAAGATGACTTATAATACCAGGGGTAAGCATTTTCTTGGCTGCCACTGCAGCAACGTATCGGTAATCTGTAGGTTCCTCGAATTCATACTCTCCATCTGGGACACAAACGGGGCATAAACATGGGGGGATGGCAGACAAATAGTCACATTTAAAGTTAAAGTGGTCATGACACCAAAATAGGACTTAAGCTGATTGTAATTGACATAACTCGTATTCCAAATGCCAAAAAGCAGTTACTCAAGCAACTGGATTATGATTTTGGTCAGACGTTTCAGCTAGTATCCACTAGCTTTCATCAGTGACTGAGAGACCAGAGGGGAAATGCAGGTTTACAAGCACAAAATTTTGATTGTTATGCAAATAAAGTGAAGACAATTTTTTTTAAAGTCATAAAGACATAACTAGTATTACCTGGCTAACACTAGTAACAGACACATTTACAATAAATATGCACGGTTCTCCTGTTACATTTGAAATTCTAATGCCCTGTCTTGGAAAAGTTAGCACAAGCCAGTACTGGCAGGCAATTTGCATCTCTACATTTTATTTTTGCATGTCCGTATTTTTTCCTGAGCTGATGTCACCCAGTGATGTCGACTCAGGAAAACGCACAGAAATGGAAAAATAAAACATAGAGAGGCAAATAGAGATGCCCGAAGTGGGCGATTGGAAAGCTTGCTAGAGAGTCTCCAAAAATTAACTTTTAGAAGGCTGTACAAACTCAATTTCTCAGTCATCATGATTGGAACAAACTTCAAGTGACTATATTGTATGTATGCTTCCGATATTTGTATGTATTTTACAGACTTATTTTGGTGTCATTTGGTCTTAATTAATGGAAGATGTTGTTAGTGTCCATTTATTGCAGTTTCTATGGTTTAAAGACAAGTTTCTTCTAACTAAAGCCTAATCGACATCTAATATTGGCCCTAGGTCACTGAAGGGTTCTACAAATAAACTGCAAATAAAGCAGAATGCCCGAACTGTTTCTAATTAAAAAGTGGAAAAGGGATGTATTATTATTCTGGAGGAGGGGCACTATACTACCATGCATGGGTGTGGTAAAGAAGAAGACACTATAATTGTGCCACAGACAAAGATATGCATTATCAGCTAAAATATGATCATACTACCATGCAAATTATATCGGACCAATCCAGAAGAGAGAAGTATTTTACAGAAAAAGTTTTCAAATATAAAATAATTTCTTGCATTGAGTTTAAACTGTCCCCATAGCTTAGTGCAGCAAGCAGGCAAGTTGAAGCAAGCAGAAAAGGTGAGCAACTAAATGCAAACTCTGGTCAGTGGTGCTTTGTACTAATTGTTCTCCTCTCTGTGCATGGGTGTCAAATGATAGAATGGAAAAGTTCTATATGTATACATACATGTACATGGTCTTCCAAGGTAGCAACAGAGGATAATCAGAATGACAAAAATTGTCATCCCCAAAAAATTAATCATAATGATTGTGTATCTTTCAAAGCTGAATATAAAATTATGTGTGTGTGGGCTATGGTCAACAATCAAAACAACATTTTGTTTGAATTCAAAGGATTAGTTCATACAACATTGGGACAAATTTTCTCTCTTCTGAATTGGAATATCTAGTTCAAACTTATATTTGATAACTTACTAGTATGGCCATGTTGATTTGACTAATGTATGGATGATATCCTCTAAAAACCCCAAAACTGATGTGAGCATGCGCAGGAAAGAAGTTTGGCAAAAAAAGTTGCCTTCATTATGAAATCTACATCTCAGTACGTGGTCATGGAGGTTGAACAAATGACAAAACACACATGGTATGGTGCATAATAGACTCTTCATTTTCATTTCTTCACATTTTCCTCTTTTCCTTTGGAATTGATTTTGGCATTCTACGCCATTAGTATCGTTTTCCAATGTTTCTTCCAATTTAAATACATATATTTGATCATTTTGCAGCTACTTTGTATAATTTACAGAATGGTTGCAAACTTTTTTTTGGAAACAGAAAATTCAAGTGTGTGCAGATGTCATCCATACAATCAAATCAACATGTTTGTGTGACAATTTTATGATGACACTGTAATACATTGTTTACAATCAAATTAACACAGCCTATGGTACACAAATAAAATATCTGAATTATGAAACAACATTATGGTATTATCAAAGGTTCTTGAAAGAATTCACAACATTTTACGTACCACAAGTTACACAATTATTACAAAGTCAACTTAAACCTAATGATAAACTATATATATTATATCACTCATTAGACTTACCAAAATTACCTTCAGTTCAAAAGCTGTTTTGTTTTTTCTCACTATAGCAAACAATAGGAAACAAGCACTCTCACCAGTAAAGGTGTCAGTACATGGGTTGATGCCAGCCAGTCTTTTGGAGGTGCCAAAGTCGGAGATCTTGACCACTCCACTGTACGTGTTGACCAGGCAGTTGTCTCCCTTGATGTCACGGTGGACAATTTTGTTGTCATGCTACAAGCAATGCAATAAAGGGCAACTAATTCAAAAACAAGAATTTGGAGACCTCAGCTAGACTTCCATGAAATATCTACTATTATATAATAATAGATCTTGTGTGATGGTGATTGTGTCTCATTTCATTTTATTTATTTTGACCTACATGTAATTCACCATGGTGTCTACAAGACACAAGTAGTACAAGTCTTTCTTTATTGTACAAGGGAAACAACACCAGCTGTCAAGGAGGTCATGTAAGTGCTGTGGAAACAGTTAGTGCTACCAGATGTACAGTCACTTGATTAATGACTTTCTCCCTCTGGGACAGACTGAACCCAACCATATCCATTACAACCTAACCTAAGGGCCATGTGGAAACGCCATGTGGAGACACACTGAAAACAATACCACTATTTTTCATGGAGGTAACAAGATCATGATGCACAAAACCTTTAAATTGATAGCCAAATCAGCACCCTGGACAGACCACAATGCATACTATGTCTGTCCTTGGTGCTGATTTGGCTATTTTTTGAAGCAGTGAAGCTTTTGAATGTGTAACAATCTGAGAGCTAATTCTCCAAGTGTTAAAATCATCATGGTTAACATGTGATCTACCTACCCATTGAAAAAAATGTGTCAACTATATTTTTTCTCCAGGTAGGGGTGCATTTGACTAACACTGTCTAGGTCTAGAACTGTATCCGATACAGGTAAAGGTAAAAGTACAGCATACCGTTACAGATCCCTAAGTGCAGTACAAAAGTACAGAAAACTATAGATGAAATAATGCAGACATGTATTGAAAGAGTGCTTACTAGATACTTCAGCCCCTCCAGAATCTGTCTGGTGTAGAAGATGATGGCGTTTTCATTCTCCTTCAGAGGTCCCCACTTCTGACGCAGTAGGGATGATAGGCTCCCTACATCAACAAAAAAACATGTCTTATATATTACTTTATCTGATTGTCATCACATAAATGCTGCAGCCTACGTGAGTATTTTCATCAACTAAGAGAGAGATACACAGCTTTTCATTGTGAATTTTGAACATGATTTGGACATGTGTAGATGGAAAATTATTTGAAGTTTGTTCTAAAGCTGCTATTTGTGAGGTGGACAAAACAGCTAACATATTTATGTTTGCAGAAGGAAAACAGTTTCTTCTTCTTCCGTTCCAAACAAATAAGGTCAATGACCTGAACCAGATGTCTGCCACCATGGTAGCTGGTTACATGTGTACATCATGTTGCAATTTTATAGCAGGAGGGATTTAGACTCCGGTCACCATATATATGAATGTATTTGTAATGAGTAAGAATTAACAGAGCAGACCACATGCGAAGGTAAATATTATGTATTTGCTTTGCAAACATTACCTAAGTTTCTAGTAATTATAATACTTTTAGATACCAGACTACTGACCTCCGGGCACCAGTTCCATGAAGATCTTGATGACTCCGTCCTCACTAACAGACCCCAGGTACTTCACAATGTTCTTATGGCTCAGACGGGAGTGCAGTCTGATCTCTTCATGGAGCAGCTCCGCTTGGCTACAGGGAGGAATATGTATTATATATACATATACTAAAAAAATATAGTTTCACACAATTGTTGCAAAGAACTGGTGCAATGACAATGCACTTAGTACATGTAGGTAGAAATAATTTAGGAAAGAGTATGGGAGTTAAATTCACATCACTTTAAGTGGACTAGCCCCGCACTGTAGTGATTGCACAACTGTGTGGCCCAAGAAAACGGAGAAGGGCGCTGCCCTATGCACCATATATAGGAGCAGATAGAACTTTTTTTTAAGAAGAACAGTTCATAGAAACACTGGTTTAATTTAAGTCTGTTTTTATAGGTTACTGTTACTGTCAGTAAAAAATCTATAGTACATTACAGCTCATGATGATCATGATTGTGATACAAGAAAAATTTAAAGTGCTTCACAAATTGTTAGTTATTTACATTGTACTGTAGCTATACTAGTACTATTGTGTGGTACAAGCATTTCAAAGGTATATTTCTGTGAAACTTTCTGAAAGCAGTCGACAAAAAGGAAATAAGAATCCACCATACAATTATACAATGTACTAGTTTGCCTCTTGTGTGATATCTACTAAATATCATCAGATTCTGCAGATTCTGTAAGTGATACATAAATTACTTCATTTGATACAGTAGACAATATGATTGTTGTGTTACAGTAACTATTCTTACCTTGAATCCCTCTCTGGGACTTCCTTGATGGCAATCCTGACTTGAGTGTTGAGGTCTCTGGCAGCGTACACCACACCAAATGTGCCCTTCCCCAGTACAACTCTGTACCCACTCTCTTCAAACTCATACTCATACTGAAAACACGTTGAAAAATGATCTTTTAACATACTTCAAAACTTCCTCAGATTTATCAGAAACTTTTTTGCTTTAAACGCAGATAAAGGTTATGATATTCACAGACTACTTAAACTCTGCTTCTGAATAGAATTTGGGGACTGCTTTAGAATTTGCTGTAAAGACACATGTCTGTAAAGTCTCATGTGAATAAGGTCACCCTAACCGTATCTGTAAACATAACTCTCACATGCTTATGTTGGAAGTGATTGGTAATTTATTATCTTGATGAAGGTGACAGTGACTATTGTCTTACCTGTAGCAAGTCTGGTCCATTGTCAGCCTCCTCCTTTTCAGTGGGAGATTCCTCTGTCATACTGGTTACTAGGTGGTAGAATCTACATGGAGAAACTTTTTGTTTTAGTGCAGAGTGTGTGCTTCATTAAAGAGTCATCAATAGTGCAAACATGCATGCATGCTGGCCAACATAACATTTGCATTGGTTTAACTACAAAATGTACCAGGTAATTAAAAAAATAAGAAGACGACCACAATAAGCTTAATATGGTGTTGTCCTCAAACTGTATCCTACATCTATATGCAAAATTCTGTTGGATAATTTCAAATTTCAAGCCCTGTCCTATTTCATCCATTCATCTCAAGCTACATGTGCATGGAAACGTTCAAGATATAAGTGTACATTTTGTGGACATTAAGTTTGATTTGTTGACCTTTGTCTGAGATGGTCGGCTGGGAAGAAGAGTTGGAAGTCATCCAGGTTCTCCTGTATGTACATGAACACACATCGGTCGTCTCTCTTGTACAAACTAGTGGGGGGAAAGAAACAGACATAAAGGAGTTAAATGCCATGTGCACAGATTAATCTAACAGGACTGTAAGCTAATACGGGCATACACTCTGGTACATCTTGTAACAGAGACTTTGAGAATTGCTTTCTCAATAGAAAATAACATGATCATATTTATTTCTTTCAAGAAATGTAGACTTGTCCCAAAATATCATGAATGTATTAAAAAGTATAGAATCTGATGCACTGTTAGTCTTCATCATTTAATTTATTGGGTATGCTAGCCTCATAATCATGTTTATACATGGCATGTATACTATATTAGACATAATCTAAATGTATTACGAGAAAGTTATTTGTCAAGTAAATGTACGAGGGGTGATCCAAAAGTTCTCGGCCTCTCCCAAAAAACGTGATGGTTGAAAAATTTTTCTTACACTATTTTTTAACATAGTCTTCAATGCACTTGGTCCAGCGATGTTACAGCTTTCCTTTCCCTTGTGGAAGAATATTTCGTCTGAAGCCCTTAAAAATGCCTAAACCACATCAATGACGCCATCATCACCATGAAAACGTTGACCACGTAAGTGGAACTTCAGTTTAGAAAACAGGTAGAAGACCCACGGTGCTAGGTCAGGTGAATAGGAAGACTGGGGTAAGACTTCAAAGCCACATTCGTTTGCTGCTGCCACTGACCACTGTGCTGTGTGGACAGGCGCATTGTAAGCACGTCAACTCGGAGCTTTTCTCCCCTTGTCTCTGTATTGTTGCCCTCAACTGCCGCAATTCTGGTGCACAGTACACTCCATTGATGATTTGACCCTTTTGCAGGGAGTCAATAATGATTACCCCCTCACTGTCCCAGAAAACAGAGGCAAAAACCTTTTCAACGGGTAAAACTCGCTTGGGATGCTGGGAACCATTCTTTATCAACTATTTGCTCTGCTGTTTTGATTCGGAGTGAAAGTGGTGAACCCATGTCTCATCTTGGGTGACAAATCGTTTGAGTAAGTTGCCTTGATGGACTGAATTCGTTCCTTGAAATGCCCAGCCTGATTAACTTCTGATGTTCAGAAAACATTCTAGGCACCCATCATGCAGACAGGTTGCTCATCCTCAGGATGTACGACAAAACATTATGAACTGTACTACAAGTCAGGCCAAAGAACCTGCTACATGTTGGACAGTTTCACATCTGTCATTCACTACCATGTGATGGATGGCCTCAACTGGATTGTCCATGGTGCTGATTTGTGGCATCCTGACATATGATCATCTTTTGTGCTCTACTTGACGCGCTAAGAGCTAGCAACCCAGTTCTTTGTGGTTAAATAAGAAGTGGAGTCATCACCAAGTGACTTGATCATGTCTTTATGGATTTCCCTAGGAGGCATAGCTTTTTATCGATACACTTGATCACAGTACACGCTTCTGGTGCGGCCATTTTGTGATTTGCTCTCACCTACCCCATTTTCACAAGGCGTCACGTGCTAATTAATGAATGTAAAAATTTGCATTTTTGTGGGCAAAGATGTAAGACGTCATAGTATACAGTTATACCAAAGAACTGGAGTTTGACCTTTATTTTCTAGGTGAGGCCGAGAACTTTTGGATCACCCCTCGTATTACAAGTAATTGAATATTAAACAGCTGCTCACCATGTAGAAATGTATTTAAAAAGTTTATTCATACGATGCATGATTGTCATGTATATCAGCCACAGTGTTTTTAAGCCTTACCTAATACTTTTGATGCTGGCTGCACTAAATTTCCAGTCATGAAGCTCCTGTGTGTGTAAAAGGAAAGATGCAGTTAAATAACTCACACAATAAACTTTCAAGTCACCGTACATGTACGAAATACACAAGCCAAAAGGATGTAACACACATTTATCGTTACATCTACATGTATATGACATTGTGCAAATGAAATTGATTTGGAAATACTAATTAAAGATGACAAGCCTAAAGACCCCATACATGTACCTTGCTGTCAGGAGGCGGGGCCACATGCCACAGATGAACAGACTGGAAGGGCATAAATTACAAGACTTAAAACATTATGTATACAGGGGGTACACTCTCAAAAATATTACCTATTAAACAAAAAAGAGAGAACACCCTTCAAAATTTGCTTAACACTTCAAAATTTGCTTCCAAAAAGAAACCATGTGTACAGATACATTGTATAATCATGTATGTATACTGGATAATGTACAAAAATACATGACTTGTACATGTACAAAAAATGTACGTGTCGTGAGTGCATGTGTATATTGCACATTGCAATATACATTGCATTCACGACACATGTACATTATCTTTTTCAACTTAAGACAATAATACTAAGTTTAATATATTTAATTTGATACTTCGATTTATATATAGTCTGATGCCACAGAACCCACAAATATCAGAGATTTCTAACATTACAAATTAAATGTTTGAAGAAAGATACTAGATTATGCATTACATGTGCATTGTATGCTGATAATACATCATTCTTCATTTGAACTTAAAACAATATCACTAAGTTTAACATATTATATTTAATTTGATCCTTACATTCATGTGCAAAGAAGATATTTCAGACATTACAAAATATTTATTCTGACCTTTTCTGAGCTGTCTGTGTTGACTGTAACGTATGAGGGCATGAAGAGCTTGGTCGGTTCCAACAGTAGGACTGGGAAGCGAACATCGTTGGACTCCTCTTCTTTTGTTGCCTCCACAAACACTTCTACCCAAAACTCAAACAACTGGAACAAGATAGCAAACAAAAGGTTGAATATATCTACAATGTTGCCAGCAGCCCTGTGGGTTCAGAAAAAAAAACAAGGAATAAAAACTAGAAACTTAAGGTAACATTTGAAAAGGGAACCATCAAGCCTCACAAACTACAGCTCCTCTGTTTATTCTTATTCAAACACATTATATACTGTTACAATGTATATGGTGACCAGCCCCTCCAGCTCTGGCCTGCAACTTGCTACATTATGTAATTCACAGGGTGTCTGCTACAGCACCAGTTATCAAAAGGATATTTGCCATATTCTTCCTTTTTCATACATGTACTGTCACCTTTCAATACATACAACAGAAAGATACGGTAACCACCTATTTGATACACTTTTTTGAAATGAAAATAATATAATTCTCATCAGCCAGTTACATACATGGCACACTGTCCTAAATGTAACAATACAAAGATAATGTATCTTCCTCACTGTTCTTTCTCTGGACATTTTCTTGTCTTTCCTGAATCTGTCTTGAAGTTTGATGTTGGCAAGTGTAGATTTCAGGTACCTAGAAAAATAAGAAAAAAAATGCTGGCCATCAACATTGATGATTAACCAAAATTTGTAGCCTCAACAGTGTTTCTATGATGTATATTTCTGACTTGGTTTCTGCCACATCAAGCTAGACCTACACCTAGACCTGTCTTGTATGTGTATGCGACATGTGTTCTCCTGGATAAATAAATAAACAAACAAACAATGTTTACCTTCACCTGGTCTAGCTCAACAAACTACTGCAGCACTGTTTCTTACTCAAAGTCAGAAACACTCAAGACATATGTATGGTAACCAGCCCTGCAACTCTGTTCTGCTACATTAATGTAACCCAACACTACAGGGTGTCTGCTACAGCACAAGTTACCATGGTGACAGACGTCTGGTCATGGTCATTGACTTTACTTGTTTGGAGAAGAAGAAGAAGAAGAAACTGGGCAAAAATGTGAAAAATGATCATTGCAGGGCCCTGACCATGTGGGTGGTTTGAGTTTGTACATCTGTTCGGCTGCCTGGATAGCCTTGCTGTAGTCCTGTGCCAGGGCACTGATCTCAAAGAACGTGGCCACGTCCCAGTAGTCCTCCAGGGATGGGAGACTGCCCTTCCTCCCTACCAGGTTGTTCAGGATCACACCTTAAAGAGAATAAGGGGAGACAGGTGTTGAGGTTTATTGAGGTTTATTGAGGAAATACTCTCCTTAAGCTGCCCAACCAAGGGTGGCAGCTATTCTTCCAGGAGAGGGTACATACATGTAAGACATAACAATACATCACGTACAATTACATATACATTTACATTACATTGGAATTTAAAAGAGAACAAATGTGTAACATCATATGTGCTTTACATATTCATGTCCCTCATGTGCTTTAGTAGGCCTTGTTTGAACTTCTCATGTGATGCCACTGTTTGCAGCCCATGTGGTAGAGAGTTCCATGCTGCAGTAGCTCAGTCTGTATGTGAAGGCTTTTTTAGTGCTGTTTGTTTTTTGTTTGTCTAGTTTGAAGGTGTTCCGAGTAGCATATCTGTAAGTGTGTTGATGTGACACCGGTGTATTTCAGGTCAGACAGTACCATTACGTTTGGACATAGAATTCTATGTTAAAAATACACTGAAACAAGTCTTCGTGAAAGTACTTCAATCTCAAAAATTCTTCTGCATCAGAGAGCCACAAAGGTCTAACTCCCAAGCTTGACCAGATCAAACTCTGACAACGGCTGACAACAGTATACAAACACTTATATACTTTTGACCTAATTTTTGACATGAATCCATCTGTTCAGAGCAGGCAAGACCTCATATATAACTCAGGTCTCTCATTATGCCCACTAAACTGATGAAATAAAATTGACCAGATTAGTAAAGTTTACACCCTACCTGTTCGTTCTAGCCCAAAGATATGAACTAGGTACTACAACCGTGTTCCCATTTTGGGACCCTCCAATAGTGATGTCAGCCCTTAACAAGACATAGTTAAACTCACCAACTCGCTGCAGCTCTGGAGACTTGTTGAAGTCCTGACCAGACACCACCAGTAGAGTGGCCAGGTTGATGCCAGCATAGGTATTGGGCTGCACCTCAAAACCTTTCCTATACCTACATGTACATGTACAAAGATTTAAAGAAAACAACTGTACAGCATCTTATGTAATATACATTTAGACAACCTGATAATGTATATCAAATAATACAAACGGGGTTACGTCAGCTCCAGAAAAAATACAGAAAACTAAGCAAAAATAAAACATGCAAATGCAAAAGTCTGCCGGTACTGGTTTGTGCTGACTTTTCTGAGGCAGAGTATTGACATTTAGAATGTAACAGAAGAATCGTGAGTATTTATTATTAACGTGTCTGTTAGCCAGGTAATACTGGATAACTACAATCAGATAAGGTACGTCATATTTTGGTGTCAGGAGAACTTAAAAGGGTGCAAAATGTAATTCGAGAAATACTTCAGAAATACTTACCAGTGAATGGCATTTTCTCTGGCCTCCAGGTTGGTACACTCTGACTCTAGGAACAGGTCCTTGTAGATCCGTCCACACATGCACAACAGATCAGGGGCAGGCACGTCTGACTTGTCTATGGCCTAGTCAGGAAAAGATACAACAGTCACGAAGTAGAGTCAGCAGAGGAATAAGATCACATGATTAGGCAATGTTAATCTAATTAATATTATTATGGATGACATCCTCTGGGAACCCCAAAACTGATGCGAGCGTGCGATTACCAAAAAAGTTTTGCAAAAAAAAAGTTGCTTTTATTATGAAATCTACGTGGTCATGAAAGTTGAACAAATGACACAGAGTATGGTATGTCGAATTATTTACTCTTCAAATTCATTTCTTTACATTTTCGTCTTTTTCGCTTGATTTTAGCATTCTATGATATTGATATCGTTTTCAAATACTTTTTTTTCAACTTACGGTATATATTTGCTCATTTTGCAACAGTACTGTTTTGTACGATTTACAGTATGATTGAAAACTTTTTTGGAAACAGATGAAAATTAATAAAATATTATGATGTCATCCATATGGTCCATAAAATCATATTCATAACCCTTTTGTACCCCGGTATCAATATTCAGTACAACTACAGTTCTTTCTAAGTTTCTTTGTGTTCTTTGTGACAAAACGATGGAAAGTTAAAATGCCAAATTAGCCAGTGAGGAAACTTGGCATGCAGACCCTCTAGTCTACTTCTGTCAATCAGCTATCTGCATTCTTCAAAGAAGAAGAAGAAGAAGCAAGAATGGTGTTCAACCTCCTTCAACTGTTCAGTTGTCACCTTCCTTGTCCTGATGTTTGTTTTGTGTTTTACCAGAGCAAGCAAGCTCTGGAGGTGGAGAGAGGAAGGACAGAAGGGGAAAAAGCAAAGAAAAAGGGATGCATACATGTATGTGAATGTAAAGCAAGTGGTAAGAATAGGGAAAATGAAAATACTACATCATTCTGTAACAGTTATAGGTCTAGCATTAGTATTGACAATCAAGTTGCTAAATAATGAATGAACAGTCTGAGGTAATGAGGATTATTGTATACATGATGATTTAACATTGCGGTGCATGAGATATTGATGAGTGTGTATAATGTTTTTAGTATGAATCAAATATTTATGAAAGAAGGTGTTACTGTGTATATGAAATAGAAACAATGGAGCACCTGTGTGATGATGTCAAGTGCCTTCTCCCTGTCACCTGGCCTGTTTCTCCTGGTAAAAAAAGGACCCAATACAAACATTCAATTAAAACTCACAAGGAATTGTTGACATGCACTGTATATAAAAATTGTTTTGAATGTTGATGTACAGTTACTAAATTTACTAATTTAAAAACTTTTATGGACTACAACATGCTAACAGCTTAATCTAGCAACTGATAAAGTTTATTGCAGTTTCCTGACCTATGGCTTAACTGCAAATAACGTGGATAAAAGAACAGTGAAACAGGGTACAAAATAAAATCTACACATTCAATAGTAATTGTCTGGAACTATGCCTGAAGGTTTTGACTTCTACTTTGTAAGCCATGGAAGAAGTAATGTCCCACATTTTCCAAAATTTATGGGTTTTGGGTAAGAAAGCTTTTTCTTTCAACAACTGTAAGTGAAGAAATTGTTACATAGTAAGATGGAGTTAGAAGTAGTATAGTTACTGTAGTGGTTTGACTAGGCAACTCATTTCGTGCGTTAACAGTTTCAAAAAAATTGTATTATGTCTAAAACAATATCTTGCGACAAATCATTTAGAAACAATGATCATAGACATCCAGGACATACAAGCCTAACTGCTTGAGTACTACTTATTCTATAGAAGCACCAAGACACACTGACCTGTTCAAGGCAAAGGCATAGAGGTGCTGTATGGAGGGACAGTCTGTGATGTTCAGGTAAGGGATGGCCTGTAAGTCTTCATATAACTTCACCATGGCATTGTAGTCCTACATGAGAAAAATGAAAGTCATAGAATTTTTATTTACATGCAAATGTATAACAAATAACTAAACATACATAAATTAAAAGATAAAATCAGGAGAGTCAGTCTTTAGATAATTGTATTCAGGCTTTAGTTTGCATTCAGACAAGTCATGTAATGCTACATGCATCTTCAGTACTAATAGTTTAATCAAAAGAATGTTATTTGACATGTGTGACATGTGACGTACATACATGTATATCCCTTCCTCTTCCTTCATAGCAAACTTAAAACTTTGTGAATGCCCCCCCCCCCATGCACACACACATAAGCCACACGCTCAACACTCACACATACTCTTACTATGAAATGTCCACACAATACTTTTGAAATTCCATCATTTGACAGAATTTTGCCACTCATGATGGACAAAATAATTTGTCCCAATCTGCCATCTTTGATGAACAAAAATCGCCATATAAAGATATAGAAAGAGATGTCATGAAACTATGCTTCATCTACCAGCAAAATTTGACCCTAAAAATGCAAACAGCAACCTTAAACACAGATGGGCTAATATCGCAAACCATAGGTAAGAAATATGTAGCAGCTATTCGCGACCCCCTATTAGCCCAACTGGGTTTAAGGTTGCTGACATATGGGAGGTTGTCCGGAATTAAACTGGAAGTCCGGAAATAAACTGTAGGCTGTTTGCAGGAAATAGCATTAGAGGGTGAAGATTTAAAAATCTTCCATGGGGAGCATGCACCCAGACTCCCCTTGGATTGTCATGCCATTCACTCCACAATAAAGGATGTTAGGTCAAGAAAAATTAAGATCATGACAGAAAAAAAATTCAGGCTGGCTAGAACACCATCACAAAGTTTTAAATGAATTTGCAATATTCCCTCCTGCCTTACCTGACACTCTCTGTAAGACAGTAGGAAGTTGTGGACGATGTCACCTGACAGAAGTGTGGGGTCATCCAGACGGACACGGAGTGTGGCCAGCTCCTGGAGAACACCAAGGGTCAACAGGATCTTTTAGACAAAAGCTTTCAACCTACCTAATGCTACATTTCCAATCCAGGGCCCAGCTGGACTGTTTTGATTAACAAAAATCAGCAATTTATAAATGATACACTTAGTACTTTTTTCAATAATCTTGGGCTTTGTTGTCTTTTATATCATACTTTTCATTCCATTAGACTGCCCCGCAGACAGTTAATAATAAGGCCCTCATATCTGTTACTGGTGCCTCCCAGTCTTTTGAGTGACTGTTAAGATTATGTTGACTATACGTTGTAGAACAAAATAGCTTCCCTTCCTTTTTACCAGCTCATAATACAAATGGAAGTACAGTAACCTGCAAAGCACATGATAGTATCTATCCCAATTTAGCTATACTGCTATGCTACTGATTTTAGGTGTAGACAGTTACTGTTATTATTAGTCTTTCTTACTCACCTTTGCCAAGGCTTGACCCTGGTGCTTGGACCGAGCCTTCCTCAGCTGATTTAAGAGAAGGTCCTTGGCTTGTGTTCTGTATAAAAAGGACGGAATCTGAATCAGATCAATGATTATTGAAGGTCTTAATCACCTAGACATTAAATTTTGTTACTCTCACAAATGCTCTTATAATCATAAAAAAATGTATAATATTTGCTAAGTTGCTAATCTACCATTTGACCAGCAGTATGGAACTACATTGTACATGTATGAAAATAGATGGATGATGAATTATTTATCACAGGAAATTGTGTTTCAGAAGCTCAAGATTTCATGATTTTCCCAGGGGAACATGCACCTGGACCCCCCTAAGATTGTCGCCTTATGCCTCCACCTTCGGTGCTCAACATGCATGATGTTAACAACTATGTTAAACAAAATTGAGATGTGGCCGAAGAACAATGTCAGGCTGGCTGGAGTTAACACTGGGAGTGATCACAGCCCACCTCTTTTTCCTGGCCAGCTCCTTGAGTTCTCTCTTGAGGACAGTACTGAGGAACACACACACGCCCTGTCCTGACGCCGCCGCCTGGCTCGACGTGTCCACGTTCCCGCCGGCACGCAGCAGGACCACGGGCTCTGACACGTAGCAGCGCCCGCGCTCGTTAGTCATGTACGGGATGAAGGTGTAGTACGAACATGACGCCTGGGTGGGGCAGTGGCAACAAGTTACACAACGGAAACAACAAAATGGTACATGTTGTATCATAGTTACAAACTGTTCTCTAACTAAAAAATTTGACTTACCAAAATTTTCAACGGAATCTCTCAGTCTTCATCACTGTAAGAATGTATCAGATTCTGACCCAAGTGCTGTAAACCTGATTTTTCTGCACATGACGTCTGTACTGGGTCAAAAGTTACAATGTAGTTGGAAGTCGGTACTGCACTCTATTGAGAGAAGGTTGGTCTGCCCTTTGCTGATGACACAAGTGAGGAAATATCACGTGTCCAGTCTATGGGCAGATAACTTAAAGACTGAGATATTCAGTCGAAAATTCCAGTGAATCAAATTTTTTGTGTTGGAGTCTGCTCAACAGAATCTGATCATTTCTCACTAAACAGATAGTCATTATTTTCAATTATTTACTTACACAGGGTACCAATACTCTTTATTATCTTATTATATTAACTAAAAAAAATCAAAATATTAAGCAGCAAAATATAAGCCCGATGTTTTTCTGCAAAAAGCCACCAAAAGTTCTTAAGCTGCTTGAAAACACCTCTTTACATGTATGCAAAATGCTTATTAATAAATGTTCATAAAAATGGCACATACATTGTGTACAATAAAAGACACCATCATACATGTACATTTTTGTGTACAAAATAAAAATATGTCAAGAACAAATACCAACATTGAGGTTATACAAAAATTCTGCTTATTTATGATTATTTTATGCAGTAAACTGATATTGTGTAACAGCTCACCCACATTGTACATGCAAATAGCATTGTACATGACTTTGGTGTATCAAGACTAGTTAAACATTATGATAGTACATTGTACTGATGTGTAAAATTATGGCAACTACTCAAAGAAACTTTGCCATTAAATCATTGTTTTCTAAATCAAGGTAAAGTTGTAACTAACCCCAAAACAGCTATCCACCTGTGAACAGCCGTGGACAAAATGAAGACTTTAAGTTATTATTTCAAGCATATCTGTTTTCTTCATGCATAACAGTCTTGCTTCATGCAAACAATCAGCAACCAAAAAGGAAGCCATGTGGTGTTGTATTTTGAGCTGTATATACATTGTACATGCACTCTAAGGCCACACCAATTTAATTTCTTGGTTAACGGATTCGCCGCTTCATTTTTTTCTGATTTGCAAATAAAAATAAAAATTCAGAATCAACTGCAAAATGCTCATATTTTGCCCTGAACAGTTGAAAACAGTCCTTTTCATCCTAGTTGTTACAGTTATTCCATCTTTCAATGCAGTGGTATCATTAAAAGTTCAAAATTCATTGTTTAAATTTTGAACCAGCCTGGTGTGTTGACTTCATGGCTCCTAGCGTACCATTTTGGGCCATAATAGGATGCCTAGGCCTGTTTTATTTTTATTTTTTTTCGCCCACCCACTAAATTTTTTTTCTAGAAAAATCCATTAACCAAGAAATTAAATTGGTGTAGCCTAACCCTGTCTAGGACCATCACTGTAGTCCAGCTCTTGTGGGTTTTGAAAAGTGTTAGCTTTGAGAAACACCCAGATTTTGAATCATTTTCATAATTTGAAAGTAAAAATTATTTTGCGATGTGATTCTGAAAAATATGTGCCAGATCTCAATTTCCACAGCATTGTTGATTGGTCTCTTAGAAAATTTAACGCTATTCAAATTTTATTCCTCTGAAAGCTTTGTTCTTAGAGCTTATTTTCTTAATGCTTAAATCATTTTACTACCCAAATATTATTAAATATTATGTTCACTTAAGGCAACACAATGCTGTTCATTATTATGTAATTTATTTTAAAACTTTTAAAAAGGTACTTTAGACAGCATCTACCACTTGGATTTTTCCATGATTCTGTATAATTATACAATCATCAGCAATTATAATACTATGTAGTTATATATAGAATTTGGTTTCATAAATAATGTACACATTACATTCTGCAGTTATCATGCACTAACATTTTTATAATTTCTGGACCCTTGCATTAAAGATCCTACATAGTACACAAAAGGTGCTCTATAATGTTGTTATTATCATACTTCATCTAAAAACAGACCCTGACCCACTTATTCAGTACCCCCCACTTGCCTCAGGGTAGAAAATTCCTATAAGGCCATTCACCTTTAGTTTAAAGTTATCCTACAAAATAATTCAGTCTCAAAGTTCCCTATTTTAACATACTAAAGAAATCGTTTCTCAAGCAATACGTTTTGAAGTTGCTTGTCAGTAATAATTTGTTGTGGGTAATACCAGGATGTCTAAATCGACGTTCACTATAAATAGTAATACATGCATGCTATAAAAAAACTCAATTTACGACCTAGTTTGACTCAGGGCCACATGATGTAATGTTGCATATACAGAACAATGTATTTGTCACAAGTTCTGAATCACTAGTCTACTAGTAGCTGGATGATCATGACTAATTCTTTAGGCACATTTTGGCCGTTTTAAGCTCTTTGTTACTGAGATGAATCAACAGAAACTAAGAAATTTATGTAACAGTAATTCCTAATGTTTTTCACATTTGTTTAAAGGTCGATGTTTACATGTACAAAGTCACTTCCGTACTGTGAAATTTTCACGAATCATTAATCTTTCGCACTCCCCCTCCCTGCACTTGTCGCCACTTATTATTTGTTGCAAACTTATTGTTTGTTTATTGTTTATTTATTGAGAAAGGCCTGGTAAGGCCGAATTGCGTCCTTAATACAAAATGCATCAAAATAAAGAGACCCTATAATTAATAATAATACAAACTGAATGTACATGTTAAACCTACACATTTCTGGTACAAAGAAAAAGTCAACTTAAAAATGGATAATCTTACACACTGCACAACAGACCTGTTAAATTGAATTAAGAACTGGGATCAAATATCATCAAAATTCTAGATCTGGAAAAAAGCACAGCGTCCCATACAGTAGATGTAGGTGGCTCTGCTGTTAAAACCCCAGGGGAGACACAAATTAGTAAACAAGCATAACTGACATGCCTGTCCATTTGTGTTGACACCGGCCTGATATTTCAAGGGCCCTCTCCAACACAGGAGGGAGCGTGTGTGTAAAAATACTTGCCCTCCACCAAACACGGAAAGCGAAGGTACTGTAAATCACTCTATATTCGCGGCACTTTTTAAAATTCGCAGTCACCACAAATTCATCGTTACCGCAAACAAATAATTTGCCGACTTTCTTTCTTCTGAACCTGCCACCACGGCGAACATATAATTCTGCGAACATGTCCACTTTTTCTTAGACCGCGAAATTTTGCTACCGAGAACGTAGAGTGATTTACGGTACGCAAAAAGTGGCGCTTACCACGTCGACCTCCTCCGGGCTTCTCAGACTGTGTCGCCGGAATACATTCCAACTTTGCATGCACTACGTGAGGAATGGGGTGAACACAATGGCATTCACAACTGACAATAATATTTGGAAACCATGATCACGTTCAACTTGTTTTTTTATTGTTGGAAATTTTGGCTATAGCAACAATATGCGTGCAAGCGGGAACCATTTGGGTTTGCAGTCGGTGCTATTATTATTGATGGTGCACACATGCACACATGTAGGGAACTGGTGATTTGTTAGTTGTAAGCAGCATATTAAACATGCCAACAACACAAAAGCTGATCACACAGGTATAAAGCTGAATTTTTATCTGCATGAAGCAGATTTTTGCCAGCACTACTATAATGGACCTTTGAATGTACAACCTTCGTTGATCATAAGGAGCTTAATAGACCCGATGCTGTTGATGTATGTTACATCAAGAGTTGGCGTACAATTGCAGGAGGTTAGGGGTCAATATTCTTTCCCACGCTTGTATCCGCACTGTTTTGGCTTGCTTATGTACATCAGTGTTCGAAATACCTGTCTGCAGTCTGCAATCTGCAGATAGATTTTCAAGATTGCAGAAGAAAAATTTATACAATCCGCAATTTTGCAGAAAAAGGAAAAAAAGGCTCCAGATTCAATACTTTTCAATTTAGCAAACTAGAACTTTCTGTGGAGAAGGATCTATAAAGTCTGAAATAAAAAAGAGTGATAGATTAAACTTAAAAAATTTCCAGTAATGCTACAGATTTACAAAGCTATATATGATGTAAAAAAATAGTTTGAGATTCTGAAGGTTGTAGTATGGAGGCTTGTGTATTTGCAGAAAGTATTTTCAAATAATTTATTATTGCAGAACAAAATTTTGACTCTTCTGCAATATTGCAGAGCACTGAAAAAAAGGTATTTCGACCACTGTACATGATTGTGTATTCTCTGTGTTTCATCTGCTTTCCCTTTTCCTTTAATTTGCTTCTTTGTGTTTCTAATTCTCTTTGCCGAGCATACATGTATATCGGTGCGTGGAAAAGAAATGGACATATACGCTTGCATGCGCACGCCATTTTGTACGTCAGGCTTTTACCACAGTGTAAATCAGGTCTTAACCTAGCATTATTATAGTGGACTCTAAACATTTGTCAGGTTTTCATATAAACTTTTCTTGTTGAGCCTCTGGTAGAGGCTGAACCTCTATTGACTTTATGTTCACCTTTTCAGACATTTTGTGGGCTTTACGATATTTGTTACGTAGTCCGTGAAGATTCGGTTGAACTTATCCATTGACTGTTTTCACCTTGACATATCACGATTTCCGGGAACTTGACATTAACAAATAACACTGAAATATTATGCAAATCTTTGTAAGCATAGAACTGAGGATAAGTCATGCCTACAATGTAGCATCTAACCAAAATAAGACCAAGAACTTTATTAGAATACATAAAGGGAAAATTGTCTTTCAGGCAATTTCACAACATTCAAATACCACAATTTAATTTGACTTGAATATTTCCAATTTTCTGGTTATCTTGTAATTGTTTACAGATCATTTTAGGAGCAAAACATTTTAAGGACTAAATACAGTTGACGAGTCATTACGTCATTAGTTAGAATATCTTTATTAGGCCTAATTATTTCAATTTTATTTTATGACCTAATTTTTTAGTATTTTAATTTTCTAGTATTAATTTTTTCAATTTTATTTTATGACCTAATCTGGTTACTTTAAGAGAGATAATATCTAGTATCATTAGCTTGTGATTGGCAAATCAGCATTAAATCGATCAATGTCTTGTTATTGGCTGTGAAAATGAAGTCATTGCGTGTGATTGGCTGTGGAAATATGGGGCTGTGATTGGCTGAGCTGGCAGAATGGTGGCTTGTGATTGGCTAGCAAGATTGTGGCATCAATTATGATTGGCTTGTTACTTACAGCATCATTAACCAAGCATGAAATGTAACATAGAATCAATAGCGCAGACAATATTTGAAAAAAAATGAATACAACACTCAACACACTGAAGTTCTGTTCAGAACACTGAACACAAAACTGCAAATCTAGCATGCTACTCAAACCAACATGTTCCTCATAGCACTATCACCACAATACAAGCTTATGCACACAATCATCTATACATGTAATTGAGCGCTGAGCTTTAAGGCACCATGCTTGTTCATGCCACCCCACCATGCACTGTTTAAAGCACCAGGGATGTCCTCAGGCTAGCTGTTTTAGATTGGTTTGGGAACAAAATATAGTTTACAAGACATCCAATTCTGATAGTAAAATGGCTCTTTTCAATTATACAAATCAAACCGTACGGAGACAAAAATACAGAGATTAGATGCTTCTAGTGATCAAGAGCGAAGGATGTCACTCGAAACATCAAGAAGTCATCCTTGGAATTTATCCAGTAGTAGAGTTTGATTTGTGTTTGAATTTTGTTTACCTGGATGTCTAACCTATGTCAACAAATGGCTCTTTTCATGTACATGTAGAGGCACTGATGTATGTTATGCTCCACCTGTTTTTATATATCCTAGACAGAGGCTATTCCAACTGAACTGCAGTGTGCCTTCAAACCGTGTGAAAATTTTAGCCAAGTTTCTATGTACCAATCACGTTGATTCCTACAATTGGCAAGTCGCCAAAACCCAAGGACATCTCAAGGTTATAACACACACATGTGCATCATCATCATCATCGCCTGTCTCTTACTTAGTCTGGTTGACTGTTGGAGGCATCTCCATGCACATGCTTATCCCAGCAGTATCTTATCCTTAAAGTTCAACATAATTAAATTGCAAAGCCTTCAGGCCTAGGAAAAAAATGTTGACTTTGTGTTTCCTGTTTCCTGACCGACCTTGGAAAAAACTACAGACGCTAGCCTTTTTTGTGTGTGGACTCCTGCAAGGGACATTTTTTAGAGCTGATGTACTTTTCTAGCTCCATGATCTGACATCTGGGTGATGAAACATTGTACAATCAGTTTTCCAACATTGACATTGAAAATACAAGTGTCCTCATGCAAGTTTTACCTTGTTAAACTGTATTGTATAAGTTGGATCACCAGAGACTGCCAAAGTCTTAAAGATAATCCCTACCTATTGACAGTAATTTTTTCAAGACTGAAACAGGAAACACAATATTTTTTCCTAGGCCTCATTTACCAAGCAGCCACCATGATTACGTCAACATTTTGTTTTGTTTATTTATTTGTTTATTTAAGTAGCACACAGACCTTCAGGGATTGGGCCACCTCTGGGTCTCCTGTCTCGTAGTACAGGACGATGTTGTCGTTACAGCCGAAGCTTTCCCGTACGCCCAGGTGGTAGAACAGCGCGGCCTGCTGGTTCTGTGGCGTCACGTCTACGACTGCAACTTCTGCTGTGTAGAACAGATCCAACTCCTGTGGGAGGGAAGACAGAGGAATGATCCATATTTGTTATGTTTACAGAAGGAAAACATATAATTGTTTTTGCTCTGTTTCCTCTTCTCCTTCTTCTCCAAACCAAAAAGGTCAATCAATGACCTGAACCAGACGTCTGTCACCATGGTAACTAGTGTTGGCTTACATCATGTTGCAATTTTATAGCAGGAGGGATTTAGACTCCTGTCTGAGGAATGGTCCATATATTTGTTTACATGTATTTGTTTATTGGGTTTTTTATATTCGTTTTGTTTGTTTTTTACAGGCTACATTTTTAGTACCAGGGCTCATCATACTTTTTTCCAAACACCTGCAACAGAGCAGGTAACATTGAGCCTTTTCCCACTTGGATGTTTTTGCTTGGATGTCATATGGTATCATATCATATCAAATTGTTTCAGCTCGATCCAGTTTATTTTACAGTAGTGGGAATGGGAAGTTATCACACTAAAAACTATTCAGAAACCATTATTTCTCTTACAGTTAATAGCTAGTGAGAGTAAACCTGACAGAAAATTATATCACACCTGGTCACATGTACTGCATATTTTCTGACAAATTATATTGAAAGGACTTTTTTACGCAAATTTTTTTCACGCAAAGAAAACCTTCTCGTGACCACGTGTGGATTCACCACATGTATATCTCTACCATGGTCCATGCATGATGGGACTAGCATTTTAGACTTAATGCACAGAATAGGCTTTAGGCTTACGACTTAAGGGTGTGCCTTAGGAGGTATCTCACTTGATATTCTGTGCATTTGAACTATTTGATGGACATGACAGAGTATGGTAGAACTCTGACTAGTCCTTGAACTTAAGTTAAACCATAAAAACCAATGATTCAATGATTGTAGCAATGTCAACCGATGAATCAATGATTGTAGCAATGTCAGCCCCAATTTTTTTTTTATTTTGACACAATCGTCAAAATAAATCAAGAGTGGAAAAAAAATCACTTTTTCCAAGTTGGCTTAAGTGATACAAAGATATCTCATCAACATCTAAAAGCTAATTATAACTTATCTATGATGGATTATCAAAAAATCTGTACTAGTAACATGTTAGATCTTGAACTTAGGCCACATAAATTTAATCACTTGTACTCAGATTCACCAGCTTCTTTTTTTTCTGATTTGCAAAGGGTAAAAAGAAGTTCAGGTTATGAATCATCTCCAAAATGCTCTTGTTTTGGCTTCAACAGTTGAAAAAGTCCTTGTCTTCCTAGTCGTAACTGTTACAGTTTTTCCATCCATCAATGCAGTGATTTGATTTAAGTTCAAAGTTCATTGTTAGACTCATACACCAGCCTGGACTACGTACTAGCTAGTAACTTCATGGTTCTTATCATAGCCTTCGGGGCTGTATGATAGGACAGACCCGATATATCTAATTACTAGTAAGCTTGTTTTTTTGCCCTTTCTGAAAAATCATGAACAAACATGATGTGGCCTTTACTTACGGCTTTAGTGTGCTAAGTTTGGAATAGAATTATAGAATCAGTTAATTTGGCATTAAGCCCTCCACCAAGGGCTGTCCTCCATTCAGGGCATGCCTGATAACGTCCTCTGTCATCACTTGATTAGCCTTAACAAGATTATATACAGTACCTCTGGGGGAATAGAGTTTAGCTTATTGTTGGGTACTGGTTCAGCCAGACCGGTTTAAACTGGAACGACATTCGGGAACAGAGTCCAAAAAGCCAAAATGCGAAAACTGGATCATCGGACCTGATGTACATTTCTGTAGATTGTACACACATCTTTAGATAATCTGGCCATGGCAGGTAAAGAAAATAACCCTGAATCAAACTAGATTGGCCTTAGGCCACACCAATTTAATTTCTTGGTTAACGGATTCGCCGCTTCATTTTTTTCTGATTTGCAAATAAAAATAAAAATTCAGAATCAACTGCAACATGCTCATATTTTGCCCTGATCAGTTGAAAACAGTCTTTTTCTTCCTATTTGTTACAGTTATTCCATCTTTCAATGCAGTGGTATCATTAAAAGTTCAAAATTCATTGTTTAAATTTTGAATCAGCCTGGTGTGTTGACTTCATGGCTCCTATCCTACCATTTTGTGCCATAATAGGATGCCTAGGCCTGTTTTTATTTATATTTTTTTTTCGCCCGCCCGCTCCATTATTTTTCTAGAAAAATCCGTTAACCAAGAAATTAAATTGGTGTGGCCTTAATCCATGTTTGTCTCTTTCTGTAACTGTGTTCAGCTTCAATATACAGTGTACAAAATTACAACTTGAACAAAATATATAACACACTAGTGAGTGACCTGTACTCATGTTTCGCACTCCAAAATACGATATAGTACTACAACTGTACAATAATCAGGTTCAGGTCCGGACCTGGACCTGATCCTCTGAACCTAATCTGGACCTGGACCTGAATTTTCTATACAGGTACCTACCCCTATTTACCACCATTTTCATGACATATATATCTTGTATTAGCCCGGACATATCATCATCACCCTGACAGAGACGTGGCGACCCCGTCTTGTATCAACCAACGAAAGCCACAGATTTTGCTTTCCTTACAGCAAGACAGTGAGAAATTTCTTCTGACGATGACTTAAACTTATCTCTGACATTGCTAGAGAAGGACAGTGTCTGGAAAGTGTCAACAGTAAACTCTGTGATCAGCCTTAATGGAAAAGGAATCCCAACAGATAACACCTTCAAACACAACCGCAGGGGAGGCTTTTGGTACCCCTGGAGCTGCATGACTGGAGTACTTGATGTTGAATCTGCCAGACTTCAGCATAACTCATAACTACTGTTGTTACAGAATTACAATGAATCATCTGCATTTGTCACCTTACAGCTGGAAATCCCAGATGTATACAGGTTAGTGCAGGTTCATGGTTCTGCTGGTTCACTTTTGTACCGAGAACTTATCATCACCATGAAAAAATATATGGTCCACTCTGTTAATTCTTACTAAAATGCATTCACATACACGTATATGGTCAGAGTCAGACAGGAGTCTAAATCCCTCCTGCTATAAAATTGCAACATGATGTAACCCAACACTAGTTACCATGGTAACAGAGGTCATTGACCTTTTTGGTTTGGAGAAGAAGAAGAGGAGGAGGAAACGGAGCAAAAACAATATTTTTTCGTTCGGAAACATAATTGTGGTTTCTGAACAGTTTTTAGTCCATAACTGGTGACAACACTCTCACCTTAGTTTCCCCGAAGTCAAGCCTTTCAAACGAGATTTTCTCCACGTGGATCCCGCCGGTGGTCGGTGACGCCAGGCCGCCGCCGTCTCCGTTCAGACTGTGGATGGTGCTGGCGGTTTCCTGCGACGCACACGCACGTTCTAACTCCCGTACCGCCTGCAGGCACACCGCGGGAGAGTTGCCGTTGCCCGTAACGCACACCACGCGAAGGCTTCGACCCATACTGTCACCAACAGCAAGACCTTTAAAGAAAATATTACCTGTGTTATTAACAACATTAATGTCATATCCTGGCCCTGATAATGTATAATACAGGAGCAAGTCGGTAGAACATTCTGCACCACTGCGCAAAACCCTTTTTTTTCAGTTTTCGTTGGATTTTTGATAAAGGTTGCATCAGAATTTTGCCTGTTGCAGACTATATCTTTTCTGGCACAACATTTGGAAACTACAGACAGGATGTTAACCTTATATGCACAAATACGACCTTATATGAGACGTTCTGAAGTGCTATTCACAATACAATCTGGGTTTTGCGCAGGTGCAGTACTTTCTGTCTATGTGCTAATAATACCTAGGTGATCTGGCCAGTATGATATAACTAGCCAAAACCCATGAGGGTGTCCAAGAAAGAGATGAGACAAGTTTCATCAAATGATTGATATATATAACATGTTACATGGACGTCACTTTCAAAAATTCAAACACAGGATTCAGACATTCCAATTGATGTTGATTTTGTTCAGGGACACCAAATATTTTCTTAACTTTTGGCACATTTCAAATTGAAATGAACTTTGCAACTTAAAACTGAATTAGCTCACAAACAATGTCACAGAGACTGTCATTCTTGGAATATATGGGTCTGGACTGTTTAGCCACGGCCAACGCTTAAATTAGGGCTGATGCAAATTAGGATTAGACTTTGCGGTCAATATATTGACCGACAGAGGCCATATATATGGTGCGTTATGTAACACAATGCTCTTTTTTAGACCAGTGCAGGATAATCAATTTATTGATAGACACTAGAAACACCTGCACAACTCCAATGTACCTGTACAAATCTGCATGTACAGGTGATATTTCGAGCTCTGCATTTGCAACAATTCTGCTGACAAATGAGAAATTTGCTGTTAGTGTTAAGCAAAGCAATATTACACCAAACTATGTAGGTTGTTGTGCTGATATAAAAGGGAACACTGTGTATATGGAAGTGCTAACATGATATCTACATAAGAGAGAAATTATGCAATACCATCTGGAGTACATTGAAAAGCTATCAAACGCTGGTTTAACCTATGGCCTACTTAGTACTAAGAAATCCATCTGGCACCAAATTTACATTGGTTATGGGGTTACATAGCAAGGGGAAGGTTAACTTTAAGCCAGGTTGAAAAATTGTTCCTACCAATAACCCTAAAAACAATATAACGTCTGTGTCCATAATATCACCAGGGTCCATAATATCGCCACCTTGAGAAACAGTGTGCTTTACTGCAACATACTTTTGGTATGCACTCCTGCACACCTCAACACCTAGGGTATGTTGCAGTAAAAATATCTTTAAGCACACTGGACACAGATGTTAGATGCCCTATGACTTAAGTATTTAGCATATCAAAGTTAAGAAGCTTTGAAGCTTTAAGCAAGAAGCTTAAAAATCAAGATGTTGATTTTTAAGCTTCTCAAAATACGAGTAATCGCCATGACATTACAGCAAACAAGTGGTTGAGGCAAAAAGTGGGTAACAGTTGGCTATAATTACCTAACAATAATCTGCATAATATATGCAAATAATTTGCATACGATGTAAACAAAAACAGCGATAGCTCGTATTCAGTTAAGTTTGTGACTTTTGTTTGGCCCTTTTGTTTTGATATCAAAGACTTTAGCAAAATGATATTTTTCTGGGTGTGTATTCAATCAAACATTTGTTGTTTTTTTTTTTACTTTGTTAACTTACTTTAACGTAACAGTATTTAAATTTAATAATTTAATAAAAACGTTGTCACTGTTATGCTGCAGTGCCAAAAAAACATTCACTATCGAATAATTCTAGGTCATTCTTAGTCATAAACTGACAATGCAGAAACTTCTAAACTTGACATGGGAAATGACTCAGCGCTACCTGTCTGAAGTTAAACGTTACAAATTGCGCAATGATATTCTTTACAAAGAAAACAAGGCCAGACGTCTACAAAAGTTGAGCAAAACAAACAAATCAAAACCTGTTCACTAAAATGACTCAGATGTCCTACCTGCACCTGTAGATATTACAGATCGGTAGACAATAATCTCAGTACTTGTAGTAAAGATTCTGGCACAGAAGTGACGAGATCAAAGGAGTGAATTTCCTCGGTTGATCTTAGAAACCGCAGCTCGGTGGAGAATTATGTCGTCTGCCGTATACTGAAGTACGGGAATAACGGGGGTACTTTAGCATTTATGGAAGGGTGTGCCTAAAAACGGCAGCTACGGGCTTTAAAAGAGCAATCCCTTTCCCGTGGGTGACTTGTGGGGGAATGTGATGACACGAGGGCAAGTAATTAGGGGGAGATGTGAGGAAATAAACAAAACATGATGAACACACCTAGGCCTCTCTGCGAGCTGCTGCGATGACGAAGCCGCGGCGGTTTTTCACGGTCATGTTGTTGTTGCTGCTGCGGTTCAGTGTTTCCCGGGACCTCCCTCTTGCTACCAGGCGAGTCCAGCTCGGCCATGGTGAGCTGCAGTCCCGTCAAAACACGGCAGCGGACGAAAATAAAACGATTCAGCGGCCAAAGTATCTAGCCTGGACTCGTCGCAATCAGATCCTGCTGGCCCGAAGCTTTCTTGGGTTTGCGATCTCGTTCCCAGATCGATCTTGCCAAACAGGTCGCCAAAGGTCACATTTTCTCCATTTCACAGTCCGAGGTCGATGGATCAAAAGCGCCGACTAGCAGCAATGATAATTAGTGCAGAAAATGATACATTGGCTGTATTATTCATTCTTGGCGCGAATAGCGCAATTTTGTGATTAAATTTCTCTGTACAAACCTTCTAGCAAGTAATTTCTTTATCTTTTTTCTCGAATTGAAGTTGCTTAACGCCCTTAAACCGTTTAAAAAGACAAAACATGGCAAAATGCGCTAATCCTGCAGAAACAAAATTTATCGCTAGAGGCCGCTTATGTACTGTTCAATGAAATCTTTGATACGACGTTGCAAATTAGGTCGAAACTTTGAAAGGCAACGAAGAAAACGTATAAATCACGATTAAAAGAACACTTCTTATGCTTCTAGCTAACAAAGCATATTTCTTTCGCGCTTTTAACCACAATCTTAGAAATAAAACCAAACGAGGTGGCACTTTTTTGCCTCACCTGTATCCCAGCGGAGGGATCCACACAGGGTGCTGCGGTCCCGGTACCGGCTCGACCGACGTCGACTGCGGGGAAGATTGGACGACTTGTGTCGACACTGAGCAGTTTTCCGATCATTAAGACAACAATTCTGCAGCAGACGGCAGGTAGGTGTACTCAGCCATACTTTAAGATTGTGTCTGAGACGTAGAAGTCGGTACTTGCGCGGCCAGCGGTCCCAGAGCGGGCGGGGCGCGCCTACTTCCTGGTTACACAGGGGTGCACCGGCAGCAGGTGGTTGTGTGAGGTTTACATTTTTACTGGGTCACGCCTGTTAAAATTCCTTTTCCAACGAGTTTCCGACCAGATTTTCGTGGCAGACTAGCTAACGGGCAGTTCTGTCTATGCCGATCTCATCTGCATTGCACAGAGATCCTCCCCATAACCAGAGATCCCAGGGTACGGAAGAAATTCCTAGGCTGAAAATGAATGGGCTCTCGTGACCGACACTAGGTCTGAAGGGTTGCGGTGCCGGATCTCGGGCATTACGGCATCTCAGGTCGTCTATTCAACCAGAATACGTGTTATACAAAGGTTTAAACGCCTGATAACATGGCCAGAATTGTCTGATAATGTGTACAGAAATGGACAGGAAAGGGGGAGGGGGGCGGATCTCATTTTTTTTTCGTGACTGGGTCAAAGTATTGTGTATTGTGTACACAAATGACGTGAGTTCGGCGACCGAAGGAATTAATTTAGATATTGACAATATACAAGGGAGTGCTCTCTCCGAGTGAGCTTATATACACATCTAGTGATTCCTTTGTTATTGAGATACAGACTGCAGAAAATTCTGTAACAGTCTGATATTAGATTGCCACACTATTAAAGCAGTCTACACTACATGGTCACCCAGACTGTCACAGTATACAGTGGTTCAAGCGCTACGTACCAACTGACCTGTCTAACAGGTCCAGACCTTTTAGCCTAGCAGTTGGTGCATTGGGTTCTCGAGCTGGGAGCCTGGGTTTGATTCCCGGGAGCCAGGTGTTTTCTTGTTTAGTCGCAGGGCTAATCTCTTTCTTGCAAAAGTCGATCATCACCGCTATTGTAACAACACCTGTCTGGTCTGTACAGCTTGCTCACACCTTGTGCACAGGTGAAATGTTTTGTTACCTGTCTGATTTAGCCTGGAGGGAACCCTGTGTAATACCGACTACTAACAACACAGAACAAAGCAAGACAATTAAGACAAAGTCTGTAAATGTCAGTATGGACCTGATATAAAAGTATAATCATATGAATATAAGCACGTTGGCAGAACGTACTGCACCTGCGCGCACCCCCCCCCCCCATTTTTCACGTTTTTCGTTAGACTTTTGGTCAACGTTGCATAAAAATTTTCAAATTGCCTTTTGCAGACAACATTTTTTCCGACATGACATTTGGAAACTACAGACTGGATGTTAACCTTATATGCACGAATGCGACCTTATATGAAACATTCTGCCTAAGTGCTATGCACAATACAGTACAGTATGGGTTTCGCGCAGGTGCAACTTACGTTCTACCGGCGTGCTATGAATACAACATTTCAAGCTTATTAACGTTAGAACGGTCCAGTTGACCATATTACTAGATACAAAAAGATTATTGTTCTACAAGCTGAGCAATACAAACAGTGATCTTTATTCGTCGATGAAGGTTAGACATAAACTAGGTAATATAAGGTGCACCAAAAAGCAGTTATACAAGCCACTGGATATGATTTTGGAAACGGTCAGACGTTTCAGCTAGCATCCACTAGCTTTCGTCAGTGACTGAGAGACACTGTAATCTTTATTGTGTTTAAAGAATAGATGTCCTTGGTCTTAGCTATTGTCACAGATAACAACACAAAGTCGGATGACACTGATGAACTCACTGGTGTCAGGTGTCAATTTCTTGTCTGTCAAAACAGAAGTCTTCTCGTGCAGGAAATAAAACCTGTCAGTCTCGTCTGTCAGACAGGATACCTGCCAAACCAGAAACACCATGAATGATGTAGCAGCTGATTAGTGTTTCTCAGTAACCAGGGCTCGAAATATTGGACCCTGCTTCTTCTAAGACTTCTTCTTCAATCTTCCTCTGATGAGGTGCAGCTAGTGAAGTTTTGTCTCCTGTACGTACAGTCTGTCAGTCATTGCAGACAGAAGTTCTGATCCTTGCAGACCAGTTTCAGACTCAATGAGTTGGACCCTGCATGTGCACCTTAATTAGTGCATCCAAATTTGGAGCTATGCACCCAATTTTCTTCTGTGGGTGCACCAGTGCACCCAAATATTTTTGTAGGTTTACACTACTTAACACCTGTGTCGTAATTGTCAGAAAAATAATAAAATCATTGTTGTGGTACTTTTCTTTAGAAATTAAAGATGTTTAGATATTGATTCAACATTCTACTTATTTTATCTTACATGGTGCACCCAAACAATTTATTTGCACCAGTGCACATATTTGCAAAAATGAATTTTGAGCCCTGATAACCAAGCCATACCTTTCTGGTGTAACATAACATGTGTACACAATGTACTGCTTAAGGATAAATAAGATCTCCCATCTCAATCTATGTATAACAAACATTACCAGATTCCGAAAGGCATCCAATGTGCTAATGGTAGGCAGAACGTACTGCACCTGCACAAAACCCAGAATGTATTGTGTATATATAGCACATCAGCAGAAGGTCTCATAAGTCATATAAGGTCATATTCGCGTATGTAAGGTTAACATCCCGTCTGTAGTTTCCAAAGGTTATGTCAAAAAAGATGTTGTCTGTAATGGGCAAAATTCTGATTTAACGTTGACCAAACATACAGCGAAAAGCGTGAAAAATCAGGGTTTCACACAGGCGCAGTATGTTCATCCAATGCAACTTAACAGCAAAGCAAAAAATATATTCTGTCTGATCTTGACATTTACTACCATTTCTTAGCACATTTTAGTCATCATTTCATGCTTGAAGAATTTGAAATAACAAGTTGAATATGAAACAAGTTGAATATGAGGTGTCCCTTTATTTTTGTGGTACCAGCAATAAATAGCCAGAACCAGCCTATGATTTGAAACAAACAAGCTACCATTTTCTCTCAAGGACATCACAATTTTGTCTCACATTATTGTCTGTGAGTCAGTATGCTATGGTATAGATTTGATTCAACTTACATGTACTACATTTTAAATAAGACCAGAAAATTGACTTTGAAAATCCAGTATTACTGCTCCAAAATCGCTTTTAACAGTCCTGTTTGAATTGTGTTTGTTGTTCGAGTTTTTTCATTAAAACATTACAATTATCATAGGTATAATAAGAGTACTGTTTAATCGTATTCACTAATTCAGTCCTACGTTTTTACATGCAGTGGCAAAATCTTGTGTGCAAGAATGTTGAATGTTATACAATGGGAAAAGTTATTTGCGGTAGGATTACTTATAAAACCCAGGCGGAACCCAGGTACATACAGGGCTGGTAAATAACAATATCATCTGACTGTGGGAGCGTTACGGTGACTTTTGACCCCTCCTTTGGGTGTGGTCTGGGAAGAAAAGATTGCACATTGGGTTTGGATCACAGCCAAATGGAAATGACCAAGAACTATTAATAGTATATATGATAGCAGCCAACTGTTAATGGACAAGAATTGTAGTTTATGATATTACAGCCAAGCATCAGTGGCCAAGTAATATAGAACAAGAAATTATTGTTTGGTCCTTGGTAAAAAAAAGTCCCCCTGGTCTCTCAATACAGTGACAGTCACTGTTGAATAGTGAGTGCCAGATGTTTCAAACACTTTCATAAAGTATTCAAAATATTATTCTCTCTATTACTAGTATTAGTCTGTCATGGTATTGTATTTGAATTGGCTTTGGCAAAAGGGAATATAATAATAGGTTTTGACGTACATTTTGCGTATCATTCCCACTGTATATCATATACAGTGGGAATGATTTCATTTATATCAGTAAGATGATACCTGTAAGTATGGCCAATGTTCTCATGTGATAGGAAGCAAATAAATATGTACACTCAATCATTATAATACCAGAACATGGTACATGTACATACATAACCAAGTGCATTTAAAAGGGAAAAGACATGATAAAAGATGAAACTTATTGACTTTATTGTGATCCACAATAAGCTTGATATTTTTTGTCAGCTATTCTTGTGGTCCTGAACATGTAATACATACAAAATCACACAATACTGGCACACAATAACACAGGGTAACAACTGTAACAGTAGTTCTCCCAATGTTGCATATGTACTGTTTTCTTAGTTGTCTATAATTATTTTTATGGCAGGTGTACGTTGTGTAACCTATGTATATGTGAAATTTGTTTCCACCACCTTCTGCTACCGTATCCATGAAATATTCCCAGAAACATGTAACGTTACCACTAATTGTCTACTGACGCATGTGTATGTACCATGCATATACAATATGACTGCCTACAATAGGGGAGGAAAATAAAAATGTCTTCTTTTCTCACAGATGCCATTTAGCCAAAGGTCATCTTGTTTACTCATCTAAATGTCGTTGCATGCAAAAGGTATCTTTGATATTGAACTAAAAGATTGTAGTAAAAGTCTTAGGTGCTGCTATAATTTTGCCCAAGAAAATTTGTACTCTGTATTTGAACACAATTGCAAACTGTCAACTGTTCATAATTGAGATTTTTGGATACTTAAAATTTGCTGACACATTTGAATTCAGGTTAGAAGTCTCCTAACAGGTGGTCAGAGTGTCCAGGTCAAAGTTCAAGTCTCCCAACAGGTGGTCAGTGTCCAGGTCAAAGTTCAAGTCTCCCAACAGGTGTCAGTGTCCAGGTCAAAGTTCAAACCTCCTAACAGATGGCCAGTATCCAGGTCAAAATTCATGTCTCCTAACAGATGTCAGTGTCCAGGTCAAAGTTCAATTCTCCTAGCAGGTGGTCAGAGTGTCCAGGTCAAAGTTCAATTCTCCTAACAGGTGGTCAGAGTGTCCAGGTCAAAGATCAAGTCTGCTATCAGGTGGTCAGTGTCTAGGTCAAAGTTCAAGCCTCCTAACAGGTGGTCAGAGTGTCCAGGTCAAAGTTCAAGTCTGCTATCAGGTGGTCAGTGTCTAGGTCAAAGTTCAAGCCTCCTAACAGGTGGTCAGTGTCCAGGTCAAAGTTCAAGCCTCCTAACAGGTGACCAGTGTCCAGGTCAAAGTTCAAGCCTCCTAACAGGTGGTTAGTATCTAGGTCAAAGTTCATATGAATATGTCATCCTAATTTGACATGGGCTAAAATCTATGTTTTGGGCAGCACACATAGTGTCTCATTTTTTTCCTCAAACTAAAAACCACTAAAGCAATTAAAAGTATTGTACTTGATGAAATTGATTTAAAAGTCACTGTGTACTTGGTTGTCAATTGTAAACCTGACCATATCACAATGCTAGCAGCCCTTCCATTGGTCAATCCCCTAGCTAGAAGGCCCAATCAGCCCCTTACAGCGAGAGGTTGTGTATTAGTAAGCCAGACTAGTGAAGTGTAATATTGCAACAGGTGACTTCATCTGGTGTCTGTCAGTCAAACTGGACCTGGGCAAACTGATTAGTTCTGTTCCTTATAGTCTGGGCAGAAATCTCATGGTTTAAAAGGCATCCAATGCAATTTCAAGGGCGGCAAAACAAACAAAAATTGTTCTTGATGACAAAATCTGTCTGATATTGGCATTCACTGATACACGAAATTAACAAAATTGTTCTAATCTAACTAAGCAACAACTTTTCTATACGTCGTATGGAGTTGTTTTCGTAAAATGTCTACAAAAATAACAATTCGTAATCATTAGGCATTGTGATTGTCGACTTGTAATTTTTGACTTGTTTACATCTACCAGACTTTTATGAAATGACATAAAATGAACTTCAAGGCATTCTCTACAGAAGACATCAGAAGAACCTGAAAGACCAAAAGATTTCATCTGAAGATACATGCCGCACAGTAACAATTTGCAATCTAAAGTAGTGACTCGAGAAATCTACTAATTTCAGGGAAACTGTTCTTGCCAGTACATATATTTTTTTGTTAGGATCTATCTGAGTGTTTTGTATTTTTGTTTTTTTCTTGTTTTGCCTCTGGACTTCAGTCTTGCGCGTCATATTTCATGTCGTCGGCACTCTGAATATTCAAACCAAAATCAAATCATCCGTCTGGGAAAGCCTGTGCATACAAACATGTACTGGGTGTGTGACATCTGTGCAGTACACACTTTTGTATCAGACCTGGCACCACGTACAGACACACCCTGGTCTTGGTTTCTCTCCAGTTGTTCTTCCAGACTATTCTTCCTAGAGTGAAAAAGGTAGATTGTTATATCAGATTCTTCCATCAACGTGCCCAGATCTATATGTACATGATTTTATGTGTCTTCCACTTACGACATTGATAAAAGTGTAGTGTTGTCTGTTGAATCCTAGACACTTTCCTGTGTTGAAAAATTGTGATCAATTTTAATATTGACTTATTTAGAATATTGAGAGACTTAAATTTTTTGTAGCTTCTACGTACCAATGTAGCTTTTTGCATTGAATACAGGTGTTATATATCTTGTATTTGATTTTAACCCTTGTCCTGCTGGCAATTTTTACAAAATATTTTCAAATAATTTCATGTCTTAATCAGGTCACAGACCCTTGACTTTTTTTTGCCCCGCGGTGGCATAGTTACTTCCGCATTCGTTGCGTTTCGCTGCGGTGTGATGCGTTACACGAGAAACACCCCCAAATCGTACCTATACAGGGTGCTATATAGATGGTACTGTATGTGCAACCCATATATATATGGGCTCCGCAGGACAAGGGTTAAGACTTTACGTACAAGACTTTTCTGTACGCAGATGGAAAATTAACATTATTGCAGGTTGCTGTAATTCACTTTATGTTCGCAGTAGCAAAAGTTCACTGTCTGAGAAAAATGGACACGTTTGCGGAACTATATGTTTATGGGCATTATCATAGCTTTAAACAATGTTAAGGGTTAGAACTTCAAGGGTTAGGTGTAACAAGTCGATCGGTGTAATATAGCCAGCTGCTGCTGTGCCGTGTGCCTGCGAAGCTGGTGTGTTACGCCGAAAGGCGGTTATACCGGCTATACAGATACAGATATAGATGGTGGTGGCAGGTGTAGAAAAAAAAAAGTTGCCATACAAAAAATTGTGATTAACTGTTTCAGTAGCATACGAAAGGCCATGCCTGCCTCTCAATGTGATGTTGAGTGAGTTTTCGTGTAATCTTCCCCTACAGTTTGCCATGGCGAAGTCTCTGGATGGAGGCAACAAGGTGTGGGCCCCCCACTCACACGAGGGGTTTGTCCTGGGAACCATCGTAGACATGGGCTCAGACACACTCACCATAGAACCCTTCACCAAGGAGAGGAATGCTAAGGTAAGGACTAGGCTTAGTAATACATGTAGTATCCAGTCTTTGGCCAAAAAGCAGTTACTCAAGCAACTGGATATGAAATTTTGATATCCAGTTGCTTGAGTAACTGCTTTTTGGCGTATCGTATTACCAGGATGTCTAACCTTCATCATCGCATTCAGTCTTTGATATATGTACTGCTGCAGTGTTCTAGCCAGCCTGAATTTTTTTTTCTTTCAGCGCAATTTTGCGAGCACCAAAGGCACGACAATCCTAGGAGGGTCCCCCTTGAAGTCTTGACCCTCTGAAACATTATCGACTACATTTTGAGGGGAAGTTTTTGTCGGTAGACTAATCTTAATTTAATGGCATATATTGAAGTTTTTTATATCTTTACACACTAATTTTTGTCCTTCAAAGATGACGGATTGGGCAAAATATTTGTCCGTCACGAGCGGCAAATTTGCATGACATGATGGAAAGACGGATGCTGGCTAGAACACTGTACTTCAGGGTCCGTGACATGGGTGGGCAGCAGTCTGCTAGTCTCAATACCAGGAGTACAGGAAGAACAATCAAGTGTGCTCCACCCATAGTGCTGTGTACCTAAACCCACGTTCAGGTCCAGATCTGGATTCAAGTCCAGAGGTTTAGGTTCAGGTCCAGACTTGTAAGTCCGGACCTAAACCCTCCTGAAATTTCCAGTCATTTGGTTCCCGATATGGTGAAAGCAACCTTGACTACAGTAGTGACTGTTATATACATTGTATTTACTATGTAAAAAACAGAAGTTGAATTCAATATCAAGGAGAAAAGGAGGAAGAATGGGCGTGTACCTGCATATAACTGTTACCATGGACTAAGAACAGAGGCTGTTGTGTTTTGGCTAACACTTTGTTTTATCATGCACCAAAATTGGGAGGGGCCCGAGTTTTGGTTCAGCACTAAACATGCACATTTGTCAGACTTTCAGTCAAACTGTTTAGTTGTTCTTTCATCCAGATTTTACATTTTTGTATACAGTTGTATCTTTTCAAACTACTGTAAGTCTACAAATTTCCGCAGTATATTTAGATTTGCGGAATTCGCGGGGACCGAGAATATGTTTTGCGTAACCAATCAGAGACACGTAATGCGGACATGTGATGCGACATTTGCATACCGACAGAGCATGCAGGCAGCCTTGCGCGGTGCAGGAAACAATTTTTTGCGCCGCGTTTTAAGAGATAAATGCCGGGACACGAACTTTTCTTATTCTTAAAATGCATTTTACAAATTCTTTTTTGAATAGCCAAGGAGAAATCGCGAATCTAAAAATACCGCGGATTGTCCATTTTCCTGAAACCGCGAACTTTAGGCCCCACGAATCTAAAGGGTCTTACAGTAACTGTTTTGAGAACATTTTTTAAGACTTTGAACATTGCATGCTATCTCTGTTTCTAGTCATAATTTCATTTTTTCCTCAACTTTCTTTCTATCATATTCTGTTTAAGTCTCAGTAATATCATTCATTCATTCATTCATTTTCTTGTCTTTCCTTTTGCATTCCACCAGGGTCTGGAGGGGGTATGTAAAGTCATTATGTTTTATTTCTTTTCCTCAATTAAAAATCACAACAATAATCACACAATAAAGTCAAATGACAAATCTTATAACTGTTGACTGGGTTCTGTTATGATAATAAACTTGAATCCACTAGACTGAAAGAGTCATATTTTTAAATACTGATGATAACTGAAAAAAATTCAAAATTGATACTTGAAGCATTCTAGGATCATTGAGAGAAATTTAAAGATATGAAAATTTCTGATTCTAACCTTCTCCCTGCTGTCGAACCCCATAGCTAGCACAAATTTGGTGCCAAACAACTACATTTGTACCTTAGCAGGCTGAAGGTTTAAAAAAATAACACAGTGAAATTAACAGCCAGAATGTTGCTGTTTTCAACGATTCACCAAATTAGTCTACTGCTCGGCTGACTTCTGAATATTAAAAAATTTCACTGAAAATCATATTACAATCAATGTACCAAAAATACAAATTCATTCGTTCATCCTTGAAAAAAAGTTGATCATGTAACAAAGATATAAAAGTTGTTACAATGATGACAAAAATAGTGGTTAGAGAAAAATTATTGGTTATGAAATTTTTAAAATTTCTCCATTAAAATTCTTTTGCATATCTGGAGTAATCCTTATTTCCAAACTCCTATGAATTATGTAATACATTCTGGAGACATCGAAAATGAAGTAACCAAAGTAATGGTATTGTACATTACATTTTATATAGAGATAACAGAGTATACTAATATACATGTACTCGTCTGTATTTTCTTGAATAACTACACAGACATCTTGCTTTGTTTCAGGTTATTGACACAGGGGTATGTAGACTAGAGTTTCTGTTTTGCAAAAGCTGGATCAAATTGTGCATGCAGCGACCAACTACAAAATCAAATTGTCGCCTATATCTAAATTCAGCCATATCTTTTACCATTGTCAACCAATCACATAAAGCATGAGCTGAAAATAACAAAGAAAGGAAAAAGAAGAAAGAATTAAATCTACATGTACCATCAAAATCCAATCCCATATTTGGTAAGCAATCATACAAAACATAACCTGCAAATTGCAAATGGAGAAAAGAAAGTGAAAAAAAATCAGTCCCTGCAAAAATAATTTCTGGAAGGAATATTTTTTTAATGTCAATATGAACTGAAAAGAAATATTGAAAATTGAATCATGTTTCTTGTACGAATGATAAAAAGCTTCATTTGGTAACTACCAATTTTGCCATGAATACAAAATGCTCGAGCTACTTTCAACACAGTTATGCAAAATCAAAATCAGTGTCACTTGACTCAATATTTTTTAAAAGGTCAAACTAAATCTTCAATTTTCCAAAGAGCTGCTGCACTTAAGAGTCAAATTCAGACAAGAAAGAACAAATCTTGCCAGAGCAACTGATACTTTTGTACTATTACCTGATTGGTCAATGGACTGATTGTGTTGGTTGCACCTGTCTCTCTCTGACAGCCCATCACAGGCCCCTGCAGTGATATGTTACCTGATTGGTCAATGGACTGATTGTATTGGTTGCACCTTTTCTCTCTCAGCCAATCACAGCCCCCTTCAGTGATGTGTACCCTGCAGAAGAGGATACTGACAAGGATGTGGATGACAACTGTTCCCTCATGTTCCTGAATGAAGCCACGCTGCTACACAACATCCGACTGCGCTACAAGAGGGAGCAGATATATGTGAGTAAATCTTTTGCCTTCTAACTCAACTCTTCCAGTTAGTTTCCAACTCCTAGCCACCATTTTCAGTTTTATCAGCAAAGATAACTGTCAAGTTAGTAGATTCTCATCTATCCCAGATGTCATTGATGTACAAAATTTAAATGTACTAAATACAGATCTGTTTTTTTTTATTTGATTGGCACAATTATTGTTCAATATGCATGTAGATAGTCAAATGTCCCTTCCCACACCAGTATATGGTGAATAGGGCAGCACCCATCTTCATTTCATTAGCCCTTGGGCCATACATACGTACATGTACAGTTGTGCAATCACTACTGCAGGGAGCTAGTCCACTGGTACTGGTGACCGTGTGTTTTAACTACATTGCTGAGTGCTAAGGGAATTAATTAAAGAAAGCAGTATGTACCGTTTTTAAAGTCTTTGGTTTGACTAGACCTGTGATCAAATTCACAACCTACAAAAATGCAAGGTGAACATTCTACCAACTTTGCATTGCACCGGTACATGAAGATAGACCATCATGTAAATTTATGAAAACTGATATTTGAACTCAAGATGTTCTTTGGATAAATGTTTCAGTTAAAACTGCCATTGATTATTTATTAATGCCATTGATTCCTGGTGATTTGAAATGAAAAATTAATTCACTAAGTGTTAACACTGTCATACATGTACATGTATAGTGTAGATGACAGATACTACATATATAAAATATACTAAATATATTTAATTTTTCCCCCAGACATATGTGGCCAACATCCTGATTGCAGTCAACCCGTACCATGACATCCCCAAACTGTACGCTGCAGAAACCATCAAATCCTACGGGGGGAAATCTCTAGGAACCATGCCTCCACACGTGTTTGCTATTGGTCAGTAAAATAGATTCTAGTAACTCCTGGACCAGCCTGGACCACCTTTAACACGATGAAGTAGCCATTGGCTACCAATTTCAGAATAGGTTCAAGAAATGAAAGCCACGTATAAACTTGTGCTTATTTAACAAAAAAATTGTGCTGAACTTCCTTGATGTCTGCAATTTTAGAAGACTTCTATTACTTAACTCATCCAATAGAAATGCTGTCTTATAACTGTTGCCACTTTCCTTTTGCCTCTTAGAGGCTCACCAAAAGACTACATTTCTACTACATGTAATATCACAAAACCCACAGGATGTGGGACTATTCATTGTCCACTCGGCTATTCTGAGATCAGGGTGCGCCAAAGGGTTGCACTTGGGCCAATTTTTCAAGTTTTATATTTTTCTACTTTCAGTGCAGAAAATCGCACTAGAGGTGTTGCCATACATTGCACTTTTTAAATTTTTGGATAGAGACGTTCAGTTCAAAAGTTGTGCTCTTCCAAACTTTAGCCCACTCATTTCAAATGTGGCCGGCAACGGACACTACAGCTAAGTTGTAGTGTCCGTTGCCGGCCACATCTGGCCGCTCAAGTACATGACAAGAACACCAAATCTTGCAAGACCTGTCATTTAGGGGTTGACAAAATGCTACAGAAATAACATAAATGACAAAATTACTTCAAAATTGCAACAAAATGTAATTAATGTACCTATATGGTATACTTGGCAACGGACACTACATGGCAACGGACACTACACCCTTGAGGTTTTTTGACATTATTTCATATAATTACAGCAATAGACTGAAATAGCTACTGTGTTTTAAGTCAACATCTTCAGCTATTTCAAAACCTGAAATCATATGCACCCACAGCTTTTCTATTTTAAGTTATTACCGAGCAACGGACACTACACATTTTCTCGGACAAAAAGACAGGTAACTGTAAGCCATCAGCCATATTAACCCAAAAGACAAGCAACATAAAAACACATGTTTTGTGTCACATATGGATGTACCTTGCATAACATGCAAAATGGCCAGTTCTATCACCATCCTTTTTAGTACAGGGAGATAAGTTAGTTGCAATGTGTTGATTTATGAATTTTACATAACGTGTACAACATATTGATAAATGCGCTCTAGAAAAGAGAAATTTCCAATCATCATCAGGTTTTTTGCAAAACATATCAGACTGAGCATGTCTGAACATATTGCAAATCTTTTCATTCCATTTTTTTGTTCCCAAATTACTTAAAAGCATATTTCAAAAACTGGCATTTTTCAAGTGCAACAGCATAACGTAGATTTTATGCCAATTTCTGGTCTTAAATTGGCCATAGCATAAGTTTTAAACATCTTAACACCAAACCTCTTCCTGATTGTCTGGAAAATAACTGTACTAGTATAACAAGTTTGATAAATGTCAACAGAATGCGATAAATACAGAGTAAGAATGACATAACGATGCACGATGCCATTGGCGCACCCTGATCTCGGAATAGCCGACTGCCTTTAAAGAAGGCAAGCCTCTCAATAGCATAAACTGTAGTACAAGTTATCTTGAAAGTTCATCTGTGTTGGTAAAAGTCATCATGAAAGAAGACTGAGCTGCAATTGCCAACACAAAGATTGTACAGGTTGATCAGACAATAGTTGTATGTTGACTCTATTGCTTTACTAAATTACTTTCTTTGACACTGTAGATCTAACTACATGTAGCCTTTGGGCATGATTTTGCAAATAAAGAATATTGAGTATAAGACTCCCCCCTTCTGTTGTGTACTATCCCTGCAGCTGACAAGACCTACCGTGACATGAAGGTGAACAAGGAGAGCCAGTCCATCATTGTGAGTGGGGAGTCTGGTGCAGGGAAAACAGAGACAACCAAGTACATCCTCAGGTATGTGTGACCTGGTATAGCCTCAGGTGCACTAAATCTAAGATTTGGTCCAGATCCCACAGGTCCTTGGTTCGAATCTTGCCTTGTCACTGGGAAGGCCACTTTGCATGATTTGTCACAGCATCACTGTCCCCTATGCTAGAATCAAAAGACTGATTCAAAAGCAATAATTTCTTAGCATTGCACCATTAAACTTAATGACAATATGCATTGCGGGTCATTCACTGTTCTAGCAGAAGTGTCTGCAACATTGTATCATCATGTAATATTTGGACTATTGTCATTGTAATTATTGTTTGTGACAAAATTGTACCTCATTCAGTACTGTATGTTGATTGCAGATATCTGACTGAGTCCCATGGATCAGGCATGATCATTGATCAGCGAATTGTAGAAGGTAAGACTAACATCATGGTGTCCTCAAGTATAGTAGCATGCTGGATCAGTCTAGTAGTAGTTAGACTTCGTAACATATCTTTTATTATTTAATTACGCCACACCAGTGTAATTTGTTTTTTCCTGGATTCCCCCTGTCCATTTTTTTCTGATTTGCAAAAAAAGATTTTAGGTTCTGAATCAACAGTGACTGTGAAATGCTCAATAAAACATATTTTGGCACCAACGGTTGAAGAAAGTCCTTTTCTTCCTAGTTGTTAATGTTTTTAATGTAACAAAAGTTGCATTAAAAGTTTAAAATCTATTGTTCTAAATATAAACCAGCCTGGTATGTTGACTTCATGGCTCATATCGGAACATTTCCAGCTATCATGGGGTGCCTTGGTCTGTTTTTTTTTTAGGCTGTGGCTTCATATTATTTCTGAAAAAATCCGAGAAACAACAAATTAAATTGGTGTGGCCTTAACAATGTAGTACAAAACATGATTTTTTACTTCAAATCAGATGGCACTGTAAGAGAACTTCAGTCTGTACGTACTTGAATGTAGATGTTTCAAGCTGTCTTTGTTGCCCCTTTATGAGTTGTGTGCATGCATTATATGCACTCATAGACACATACATTTTGTAGTTTTGAAAAATTATGTACTGAAATGGTGACAAACTATGAAGTTTAGGTAGGGTTAACTTTGCATGGGATTTTTATTATGACTATTATATCCTCAAGCCTTAAAACCAGTGTCTACAGTCCCAGAACTTACTTGAAGCTCTTGTCTCCCACTGTAGAAAGGCTGTTTTTATTTTCTGGGTCTGTTGAGCCAGTACTCTAGCCAACGTCTGTCTTTTTGTCATTATTTCATTATTTCGTATCATGACAGATAAAAATTCTACCCAATCCGTCATCTTTGAAGGGCAAAAATTGGTGTGCAAAGATATGAAAATAGATGTCATTAAAATAAGTTAGGTCTACCAGCAAAATTCGCCCCTCAAAATGCAGGAAATAGCAGTTCAGAGGGTCAAGTCTTTAAAATTTTCCAGGGGAAAGCATGCCCCCAGACCCTACTATGATCGTTGCTCAATGTTTGACATTGGAGTTAGTTAGGCCACACTGACTTAATTTTATGGATGATATCCTCTGAAGACCCCCAAACTAGTGCGCGCAGGCAAAGAAAAAAAGATTTCCGTCCAAAAATAAAAATGCTACCTAACCACAGGAATTGCTGGTACATGTATTGTGAATTTGTGGCAGTACTTAGCAACGTATACGACAATCTGGCACATGCCGGCTTTTTGCGGAATTTATTAATCGACGTATGTACTGAGTTCTTGAGTCGTGGAGCTTTGGTAGCCTGAGTGCCCGGCTCTGTATTGCCGCTAACTACCATGGACTACCCAGGCCTAGAGCCAGGCCAGAGCCTCGAGATCGGTGGACGTGACATTATTTTTTTTAAACAGGCGAAAATTAATGCACGTGCAGATGTCATCCATAAATTTAAGTCGGTGTGGCCTATGTGAAAGAAAATTGAAATGACGGAAAAATACTTCACGCTGGCTAGAACACTGTGTTGAGCTATGTTCTGTTCTGAGTTCACACTGACTGCTGTTTCACCTTCTATAGTAGATCCTTGGCACTCTGCACTGACCCTCTGCCCACCTCTCCATCCTCCTGTAGCTCAGAGTACTGTCCCTCCTTCTCCACCCCTCACAGACCCCACAAACTCTGGCCACTTCTCGTAAGTATCTACAAACTCAGAACTCAGACTTTCTCACTTAACAGGGTTCTCACTAGGCTGTTTGTATACAGGGGCCCCCTACGCTGTGATTTGGACCCCTATGCTGTGATTTGGGCCCCTACGCTTTGATTTAAGTACAATGTAGCATCAGAGTGTTTTGGGGGAACCTTGTACCCTTTATAAATCCTTAGAAAATCAACTTTGGAATGCAGCTATAACTGAGGGAAAATATAAGGAAATTTATCTCTCAATAATCAGGAAAGGGTTATGAGTTTTTTAATTTTTTTGAAGAGAACCAGATCCCCTACTGCACACACTCCCAAAAATGTTTTTTCTTGTTTCTCTAATTTTTCCTTGTACAAAGAAATTTTAGCTGCCAGCTAGAATATTATTCTGATAAAAGAATCAAGAATATTATTCTGATAAAACAATCAATGTGTGTGGATATGTCTTTGGGTCACTCAATGCACAGCTTGTGCTGCAGAAAGTTGTCCTTGTGCACCACACCCCTATACATGTACGCTGTGAAAAACAATCTGGTGAGAACCCTGCCTACAATGTTCTGAAGGTTTATTTTTCCGAAGGTTGCTACAGAAGCATGCAGCAGCCTAGACCACCTCCAGTTCTACTAAGTCATGAAATGCATGAACCACATGTGCATGTTGAGTGATTGGTCTACATGTTTTGTTACATTTGATCTGCATGGGTTCAAAGCGAACCCACGTTTCAGATCTCTTGTGTAGGCTGACATCACATACGAGTGTTACTTGATTGTATTTCCCCTACTTTGAATTATTCTATACTGTACTAGTAACCAAAAACAAAGTTCTTGTATCAGACAATTAGCCTGGGTGCCATCCTCCCTGGTAGAGTGACAATAGGGAGCCGGAGGTATAACTTCAGAGGATGGCACCCAGGCTATCAGACAATCTAGATATGGAACAACAGGGCTCGAAATTCATTTTTGGGGATAGGTGCACTGATGCACCCAACCTAAAAAACTGGGTGCAAAAAAATTTTTTTGGGGTGCACCATATAAAATAATATTAGTAGTAGGTAAGCAAAAACAAATTATGTTTGATTTCTAAAGAAAAGTACTAAAACAGTGATTTTATTATTTTTCTGACACAGATGTTAAGAATACATTGTATGTTGTAAACTATATAAATATATATTACAAAATGTTAAAACCTACAAAAATATTTCGGTGCACTGGTGCACCCAGAGAAATAGATTGGGTGCACAGCTCCAAATTTGGGTGCACCACCCAGTATTTTGAGCCCTAAACAGTATATAATTATGCATTATTTTCCTTTCTGTTTTCCTTGCCAGACTTAGCTGTAATATTCAAGCTACATGTATACAAGATGGATACTAAATGTTTGTATACTATATGTAGCTACATGTACCCTAGCCCTTGATTGTTTACTACCTTGACCCCCCATGATAAATATTTTGTTTACCACCTTCCTCGTCCACAGCCAACCCTCTACTGGAGGCCTTCGGTAATGCCAAGACTGTCCGTAACAACAACAGCTCGCGTTTCGGCAAGTTTGTGGAAATCCATTTTGACCACAAGGTTGGTACAAAATAATGTAACTCTCTAACTGCTACTAGTACATATATACCCATGTATTGTTACTGTATATATTAACTAAAGATACAATCATTTTGTAGACAAGTTGCTAGGTGGGCCAAACTCACATCACTTCTTCCAGAGCACAAGAGCTAGCTACCACCCAAAATTTGTGATTCTAGCATGTCCAGATCACGAGATATGAAAACCGGAAGTTCAGTTCCATAGCAAGCCAATAGAGGGCCCATTTTAAGGTCTCATCGGCAAGACCTACCCACCTACCAAATATAAATACATTCAAAATGTATAATCCATCAAAGCCTCCTTGAGTTATCGTAATAAAAACACCGGCACACACACACTCATTGATGATTCTGAAAACATAACCTTCTTGGCAAAGGTAAATATAGTGTCAAAAAAATGAATTTGTTGATAGCAATTTCCACAATTATTTGTGTTGTCCCCTGCTTGTAGATGTAGATGTATATCTTCCTAACGTTCCCCATGCTGAAGTCCATGTAGCCTTTTGGTATAATACAAGTACATGTATGTGTGCAGACAATTAGAGAAAGAAATGAAATGAGACCATGACGTCTTGTTAGCAGCCTGAGGGCAATTGGTATTGTGTTGCTAGGTTATAGTGTATGTTACGGTAGATACATTGTATAATGTATGTAGGTTATGGTGGCAGATACACACTACAGGTACATGCACTTATAAAATTTACAGTGCACAGAAGCTCTTACAAAATATTTTTCTTTTTTTCTTATCATGCTTTTTAATGACACGAATCAGTCACATTAGCTTTCGTCTTATCAAGTCAACAGTCACAAAAACAGTATCTTTAATCTGAATTATGATACATGCACAAGTTTGATACTTTGGTCTGTTTTACACAAAAGTCATGATCATAGTTTTAGAGTCTGCAAGGGTGTAATTTATGTTCCATTATTCCATTTGAAAAAAGAAAGAGAAGAATTCAAAAGGTTATCTTTTTGTTTTGCTGCAAGAACAACTGCTGACTATTTCAAAATCATATTAGATTAAAAAAATTGTTTTGTTGCAATGACCACTAAATTTTTGTAAAGAAAACATACTATTTATATAGTAAACATAATCCTTGCAGGCCTTGATACTTTCTTGTTTTTCTTTTGACCTTTCTGTTTTGTTTGACTTTTTCAGCGAACTTTGGTAAGAAGGCCCCCGAGGCTGCCCAGTGCAGACCTAGTGTGGTGCACGCCTGGAAAACAGGGAGCACATCTCACTTCCCTGGGCTGTGTCTGATACAGGCTAGTTCTCTGGGCACAGATAGGTACAATCAGTACACAGTACTGAGATGACAGAATATACTTTAGGTTTTGTCATGACGACAGCATAGAATGGCCAGAGTGTACCTCAACAAAAGTGAGGAAATGGCTGAGATTTTGCTGAGTGCCCAGAGAACTGCCTGCACCAAATCTGGCCATGGGATACAGTAGATGTAGTGTGCTTCTCACATTGGCAGGGGTTGAAACAAACTGGTCCAGGGGTATTCTGCATTCCTGATGTCAAGAAACTAATTTCTACGGACTCAAGCAGTGACACAACTTTTATTGATCTAAGGAATTTGTAAAAAAATTAAATAAACTAGTGTCTTTTTATCAGCAGAAGAAAATTTTGTGCATGTTCTCTTTATGTCTTGTCCAAGGCAATGTAATTAAGATTCATTTTTCAAATTAGAACAATTCAGCACCCAGATCTGAAAATGTCTTGGACCTGAAACTGTATTTCCCCTGGACATTGTTAGTGTCAATCCCTGCCCTGTGTGTTTGACCTAACAGCACTGACGTGGTTCTTCCTGTACTAATGCCTTCAACAGGGTCTTGTTTGCAGGCCCTGGGTGTGCTAGAATAGAACTCCTAACTTCTACCACGGGGTGTTGTGTGCTATCTACATGACTGTAGAACTAAGGGTTGTGTGTTCTCTATATACATGTAGTTACCATGGTTTGTCTGCTCATAATAGAACTACCATTTCTCAACATTATGTGCTCTACTTTTCTTAAGAGTTACTGGGCTGTGTGCCGTGGATCACAGTATCTGTTGTGTTCTTCGATATGCTATTTTGTTTGCTGTGGAGTTTCACTACGTGTTTAATCTTTGTTTTCATGTTGCTGACTCAGATTCATTTCACCTCCTATAACAACGTCATATTTCAGCATTCAACCAACCATCATGACCTACTCTTCAAGTAGCTTTGTTGAGCATGTCAGTAGAACGTACCGCACCTGCACAAAACCCCGATTTTTCACAGTTTTTGTTTGATTTTTGGTCAACGTTGCATCAGAATTTTTCCTGTTGCAGAAGATATCTTTTCAAACATAACCTTTGGAAACTACCGAGTGTTAACCTTATATGTGCAAATACATATAGAATACAACACGGGGTATTCCGTATCGCCCGAGGTATCGGCCCGACCGCGGGTCAGATCGCCCGCAGGCCGGAGAGCGATCCGACTCGCGGGAGGGCCGGGACCGAGGGCGATGCGGAATACACTGTGTTGTATTTTATTTATGTCATACCCACCCAAGAAAACACGCCTTTCAATGCAAGATGAGCCAAAAGTTGTAGCCACTAAACCCTAAAATGCAACAACATCAATTCCAACGTCCGGATTCTGTATTCGAGTTTTCGAAAGGGGCACAAGCGGGTAGGGCAAAACGCGTTCGAATCATTTTATGGAAGCCATGGAAGCGTTCGATAACGGGGTCCGGACCGGGCCGGACCGTAAAGTACGGCCCGGGTATGATATAAGACCTTATATGAGGCGTTCTGCCAAAGTGCTATGCACAGTACATTACGGATTTCGTGCAGGTGCAGTACATTCTGCTGACGTACTGCTTTGTTGTAGGAAACATTCCATATGTCCTCATCTGTGGAAGTCTTGCATCTGCCTTTTCCCCATAATATTTCTGTGCTAATTATCTTTAACAGGGGTCACTGTCTGAAAGTTTTTAAGAATTTCTGACTACCTTCCTGCCATCTCCCCTGGTTGCTTCTATGGCGCTTTTAATGGACATGTTTTCAGGGCGAACTTTTCACTGTGGTTTTAAGGTTTTATAGTTTTAAAGAACCCCCTTACAGATCTGACTGTTGTGTATATATCGTCCCACAGCACAAGGTTGTCGGTGGTTATGTCTCACATTACTTACTGGAGAAGTCACGAATCTGCAGCCAGAGCCGACAGGAGCGAAACTACCACATCTTCTACCGGATGTGCGCCGGCGCCCCCGAGGACGTCAGGGTGAAACTGCACCTGGGCAACCCAGACGAGTACCACGTAAGTGTGCATTATCGGGCAGCGTGGTAAACAGGGGCGCCAGGGTATACAATGGAATTTTACGGAATACGGTGCAATTTTACGGAATACAGTACAATTGTATTCGTACACAGTGCAATTTTATGGAATACAGTGCAATTGTATTAGTATACAGTGCAATTTTACTAGTAAAATTGTACTGTATACTAGTAAAAATGCACTGTATATACTAATACATTTGCACTGTATTCTGTAAAATTGCACTGTATTCTGTAAAATTGCACTGTATTCCGTAAAATTGCACTGTATACTCTGGCACCCCTGCTAAAATTCAGCATGCAAATATAACTGCATGACATCGGGTAAGAACCAGGTAAAAGTGTGCAGTAAAGAAAAAGCATGTCCACATATAGCATGTGCAATATAACTTCTAACATATCTAGCCTTGCAGTGGTGTTGGGGTGTTCTCTAACAAAAGTTGGTGGTCGAAGGTAACAGTTTTGTTGTAAAATATAACTGTGTTGTTAACATTGTTGTGTGGTCAGTAGATACAAGGATGCATGCTGGTGCCTTGTACAGTGATTTTCATTGTTTTATATTTCTTTTTTGCATGTGTTTTTTTTTTTACTTGTTTTGTTGTGAGTAGTAATAATTAGTGATACCGCACTTGCACTTACACTAACATTAATATGATTATATATTGTCCTTGTCAGTAGAGGACTAACAAACTTTTGTCTCTCTTTTTCCCATCCTACATCCCACCTTCTTGGATCTGTGCAAATATTCAAATAACATAATTTTCCCTCCAATTGTTCCAAACCTACTTGGTTCTTTCTTTCAATTCCAAATAATTGTGACTCAACATGTCTCTTTCCTCTTGTCAAATCATTAAATTGTGCATGGATCCCACCTCACTTAACAACCACTTTGAATTTATGGTACCCATCCTTCCATGCATAAACTCTTTTTGCCTTATCCTACACTTAAACTTCACTCTCCCTGTTTCCCTGCACTTGTGAACCACATTCCCTGTGTATTCATGTCCATGGCTGTGTTCATCCATCCATCCATCCGTCCGTCCGTTGACCCATCATGGCTGTGCCCCTGGTTTGTGCATCCGTCCGTCCGTCCGTGCGTGTGTAGTATCTGCGGAACGGGTGCACCCAGTACTTCACCAACAAGGACACCATCAACCTCATCAACCAGGCCCGCAAGAGCAAACAGGTAACATAGATGTCTGGTAGGTGCCCTGAGCTACCAGGTAACACACCTGTCTGGCAGGTGCCCTGAGCTACCAGGTAACACACCTGCCTGACAGGTAACACACCACCTGCCAGGTGCAGGTAATGCAACCACCTGCCAGGTGGCCCAGCTACCAGGTAACACACCTGCCAGCCAGGTGGCCCAGCTACCAGGTAACACACCTGCCAGCCAGGTGGCCCAGCTACCAGGTAACACACCTGACTGGCAGGTGGCCATTATCTACCAGGTAACACACCCACCTGCCAGGTGACCCAGTTACCAGGTAACAACTGCCAGTTAGGTGGCTCAGATACCAGGTGCATGGGTGATCCTTAAGCACAGAGGAGAGGCAATTTTGATAACAAGTTATATGATTATAGATGCTACATTTGTACATGTACCTACCACTTGTTAGGGAGATATTAGGTCCTTAATTTTGTCTATCCATGTGAATGTATTTTATGTACTGCACAGGTATCTATACTCTTCTAAAGAGATGACAATGTTGTTCCTTCTCCAGTCTTACTCCCCACTAACCGCATACTTGCTCTCCCAACCAATCAAGCTACTGGTTCTCAGATTTTCAAATAGCTTATATAGACTACTGAGTTCTAGTTATGCAATTTATTTTGAAATTACTGCTCCTACCAAAAGTCACCTAGTTGTAAAATGTGCCTCATAATGTTTCCAGGTCTGTCCTTGGTGCTGAAGTCATGATAGTTATGCTTGTTTTTTTTGGGTCAATGGAAGTGGAGCTGATACTTCATGGTGTAGTAGTAACTGAAGATAATAATCCATGAGTTTATACACAATTACTAATGATAATTTTCTGGCAAATTTGAAATCCCAACTAAGGCCTAGTTTTGTTGTGTTTCCTGTTTTACTCTTGAAAAAATTAGGGTCGATAGGTAAGGATCTTTTTCATTTATTTTTTTTTTGGCCTTGAATCCTCTAAATATATATAGCTAGTAATCCAACACATACAATACAGTTTAACAAAGTAAAAGTTGCATGAGGACACTTATATTTTCAATATTATTGTTGGAAAACTGTTTGTACAATGTTTCATCACTCAAGTGTCATATCACGTAGCTAGAAAAGGTTGATCAGCTCGAAAACTTTATGTCCATTGCAGGGGTTCAAACAAAAAAGGCTAGGGTGGACAGTATTTTCAAGGGTCGGTCAGTCGGGAAACAGGAAACACAACATTTGACAGGCCTTACTAAACCTTGTCCTGCGGAGCACAACAATTGTTGTTCTGCACATACATTACCATCTATATAGCACCCTGCATAGGTACGATTTAGAGGTACTCCTCGTGCAATCACACCGCAGCAAAACGCAACGAATGCAGAAGTAACTATGCCACTACACGGCAAAAAATTTGGGGGTCTATGATCTAATTAAGACATGAAATTATTGAAAAATATTGTGTCAGGAATGCCAGCAGGACAAGGGCTAATGATCGTTTTCTGGCAAATTTGAAATCCCCGCTAACTGTAAACTTGGTCTCCATCCACAGTTCCTAAAGGATGGCAGCCTACATGACCCTATACTGGATGATGTGAAGGACTACAAGCGTATGGAGGACGCCATGAAATGTGTCGGGATCGAGGAGGCGGAGAAGATGAACCTGTTCCGCATCGCAGCCGCCGTACTGCACCTGGGCAATGTCACCTTCGAGGAGGACCACAACAACACCTCAGGTAAACAACAACAACTACTTTGGTAATCAACAACATCTCTAACTTGTAAATAGGTACATGTTACAAGTGTTTCCTGTCTCTACACATGATCCTTTCCTGTAATGTGCCTCCTGCCTGTAAAATGCCTGTGATATTCCTGTAAGATGCTTGTAAGTTTGCCTGTTGTTTGCTTGTAAAATGCCTGTAGCACAGCCTGTTACATGCCTGTCACCTGACTCACCAGCCTGTTACATGACTGTCAAATGACTGTTAATGGTGGCCTGTTACATGCCTGTCACCTGACTATTAATAGCCTGTTACATGCCTGTATACTGCCTGTAATACAGCCTGTTACATGCCTGTATACTGCTTGTAATACAGCCTGTTACATGCCTGTCATCTGACTGTTGATAGCCTGATACATGACTGTCACCTGAATGTTAATAGCCTGTTACATGACTGTACACTGCCTGTAACACAGCCTGTTACATGCCTGTCACCTGATTTACCAGCCTGTTACATGACTGTCACCTGGTACCAGTCTGTTACCAGTATATGTCTGTTTCCAGTCTGTTACATGACTGTCAAATGACTGTTAATGACCTGTTCCATGCCTTTAACCCAGCCTATTCCATGCCTGTAAACTACCTGTAACCCAGCCTGTTCCATGCCTGTAAACTACCTGTAACCCAGCCTGTTCCATGCCTGTAAACTACCTGTAACCCAGCCTGTTCCATGCCTGTAAACTACCTGTAACCCAGCTTGTTCCATGCCTGTAAACTACCTGTAACCCAGCCTGTTCCATGCCTGTAAACTACCTGTAACCCAGCCTGTTCCATGCCTGTAAACTACCTGTAACCCAGCCTGTTCCATGCCTGTAAACTACCTGTAACCCAGCCTGTTCCATGCCTGTAAACTACCTGTAACCCAGCCTGTTCCATGCCTGTAAACTACCTGTAACCCAGCCTGTTCCATGCCTGTAAACTACCTGTAACCCAGCTTGTTCCATGCCTGTACACTGCCTGTAACCCAGCCTGTTCCCTGCCCCCCCAGGCGGCTGTATCGTGCCCCAGTCGTCAGACAAGGCCCTGGCAGTGACGGCTGAGCTGATGGGTCTGGGGAAGGAGGAGCTACAGGAGGCCCTCACCACACGGGTCATGCAGACGGCTCGGGCAGGGCCGGGGGGAACTGTCATCAAGTAAGGAAATAAATCCATCAGCTGGATAGATTCTGATAAGTCAGGTTTTAAAATAGCATATGGACTGACTGTGTTCTGATTATGCATTATTTTGACATCACTTCTCCTTCCAAAAATCACCTAGATGTAAAACGTGTCCAGGTTTTGTCCTTGGTGCTGAAGTCAAGATAGTTGTGCGTCTTTTTTGCTCAGTGGAAGTAGAGCTGATACTCAAGTAGTAATTGAACAGAAAGATTCATGAGTAATGACTGTTTTCTGACAAATCCAAAATGAATCTTGTCATAATTCTTAACACAATGTATATTCTTAGTATACCTCTTTTTGGTAAAGACCAGGGTTCTAGCCAGCACCCGTTTTTCCATCAGTTGCAGGAATTTTGCAGCTTGTGACGGAAAAAAAAATTAAACCAATCTATCAGCCTTGACTAAACCGTGACTAAATTGACAAAAATCTTTTGATTAGGAAAAATATAAGAACATCAAAATGTAGAAAAAATGCATTTTTTAATGCTTAAAAATCCAAAATTTGCCCCCTGAACCCAGACCCCCCCCCCCTAGATTGCAAGCATTCTCTACCCAGCTCTGATCATGAACCTGGGCTAAAGGGGGGAAAATGGAGCTGGCTAGAGCCCTGATATAGACCACTGTCTTTGTTTCACTTACTCAGTGAACATTTTCACTTGCAGAGTTCCTCTGAAGTTTGACCAGGCCTCCAACGCCCGTGATGCCCTGGCCAAGGCCGTGTACTCCCGACTGTTTGACCGTGTGGTGGCTCGAGTCAACCAGTGTTTCCCCTTCCAAAGTTCTGAACACTTCATTGGAGTTCTGGACATTGCTGGCTTTGGTAAGTTGTGACACACAAGCAAAACTTGCTTGTTACTGTAATTCCTGATTTTTTTCACAGTACATTCACGGTATATCTGCTTCTGTACTGCGAAGTTATGACAAATAATTTGCTGACTTTTTTTTCTCTTCCACCATGAAGATACAATGTATACTCTAAGAGTTACTTTATATTTGCGGTAATTTTATATGTCGGTTTTCGCGGTCACTTCTGTACCACAAATTTATCATTGCTGCAAACAAATAATTCGCCAACTTTCTTTTTGCTGCACCCGCTGCCACCACAAACACATAGTTCCACAAACATGTCCATTTTCCTCAGACCGCAAAATTTTGCTACAGCAAATATAGAGTGATTTAGAGTAGTATAATGAACACCTTCATTTTTTAAGTTTTGTACAAACTCAAGAGCAAGGCAAGGTCACTGACTTCTATTATTAGATGCATTAGACTGGGGACAAAGTTCTTCATGTAGATAAATCTTATAGTTATAATGTCCTTGCATTCCCTCTGCAGAGTACTTTGAGATGAACAGCTTCGAGCAGTTTTGCATCAACTACTGTAACGAGAAGCTGCAGCAGTTCTTCAATGAGCGCATCCTGAAAGAGGTAAACTGTTATCCTAAAAATAATCTTTCCCATTCTATGATTTGTAAGCAGCAGCATTAAAGCCCTAATAGATGTGTCATCATGTGTTTGGTTTAAAGAATTGGGTAAAATTATTTTATGGGTCTAAAAAAATGGGACAACCACAGAAAGAATTGTCCTTCGGGTATGAATAGAATGTCGCAAAGTTGTCTCCTGATTGTGCAGGATTGTGCACTGAAGCATTATTTCTGTTTCCTAGGAACAAGAACTGTACCAGAAGGAGGGCCTGGGAGTGGCAGAGGTGTCGTATGTGGACAACCAGGATGCCATTGGTTAGTATGACTTTTTGTTTCTCTCAGCTCTTCTGTAAAAATCATGGAATTGTATAGATATTTTATTTGCTCTATGTTGATGAAAGTTAGATCCACACTGGTGGATATCAATTGAATCGTCCGGAATTAATCTCTGTGTTTTATCCAGCAGTAGACTTTGACTTACATGTACTTATGAGTTTATTGCATATTTGGATGAGTTTACTGGATACTTGGATCTCTTTTGTCTACACATTTGTCTACATGCTATTCTTCCTGGAGATTTTTTAAAAGAGACGGAAATACATGACAGATCTAAATATAATTATTTAAAAATTTACACATACAAGTATCCTCCACCAGAAATTCCTGTTGGTGCAGATTTTGCATGCTGGGGTAGACTTTTTCGGAATGAGATTGATCTGTATAAAATCAAAATAATGTCATTTCCAGATCATATTTTGGTTTCATTGGTCTGTATATATTCTTGCTGGCATGACATGTTATTTGCTGTAGTGTACTCTATCTAGTGGGATGAACATAATTATCAGAGGTATCTTATGGTGTCTTTGTGGTGTAGAGGATAGAGCATCTGACTGTCAAGCAAGGAGACCCAGGTTCAATCCCCAGGGTTGGACCTAGACATGTCCAGACATGCACCCAGAGGTTGTGCCCTTAGGAAAGGCACTTAAAATGTATTTCCCCCTCAGTTAGAGGGATCCTGGGCCCTACTAGGGTTTGGGTTGGCGTTATAGGAACAGCATCCAGTCGCAAAAAATGTTGCATTTGATACAAGCACGTCTAACCCCCATTTCGGGGAAGAATGACGTTAAAACTGTTAAAATTGGATCTTCTTGTTGATTTGTACAGATCTGATAGAGATGAAGGCGTCTGGTATCCTGGACATCCTGGATGAGGAGAGTCGCCTGCCTCGCCCTGACAGCATCCACTTCACCACGGAGGTACACAACCGCCACAAGAACCACTTCCGCCTCACGGTCAGTAACAACCGGCCTCCTAGGCCACACCAATTTAATTTGTTGGTTAACGGATTTTTCTAGAAAAGTAATGGAGCTAATAAAAGTAATAAAACTAAAAACAGAATGGCTCAAAAGGAGTCATGAAGGCTGGTTCAAAATTTAAACAATGAATTTTGAACTTTTAATGATACCACTGCATTGAAACATGGAATAACTGTAACAACTAGGAAGAAAAGGACTGTTTTCAGCCGTTCAGTGCAAAATATTAGCATTCTACAGTTGCTTTTGAATTTTTTTTCAGCTCGAAAACTGTATGCATACAAAAAAGGCTAGGGTCGGCATTTTTTCTAGGGTCGGTCAGAAAACAAGAAACACAACAATTCCCAACTAGCAGTGGTGTCAAATGGGTGTCTAGGCCCCAGACAAGGGGTTGAGACATAATTGGTTCGATCCCTGACATCCTTGGCGAGATATTGTATGCTTGGGAAAGGCATTTTACATGACTTTCCTCACTCCACCCTGGTGTAAAATGAGTACCAGACTTTGGTTGGGGAGGGAAAAGGTGGTGGAACAAGAGGAATGGATTCCATGCCTGATACCATGCCCTAGGCACAGTGTACTTAAAACCCAGGCACAGTGTACTAGGCACAGTGTACTAACAACCCACTCCCCCTATGGCATCAAGAAGAATATGAGACTACTCGTTCCCCAACTAGTAACTTTCTTCAACTGTAGAGTCCTCTTTAACACAAGTTTGATATTCTCCAAAACTACATGTATAGCATGTCTGTGTTCCATTGCCTACAGATCCCACGGAAGTCCAAGCTGGCCTATCACAAGAAGCTGCGTGATGACGAAGGCTTCCTCATCAGGCATTTTGCCGGTGCTGTGTGCTACACTACAGTGAGTAATTCTATAGTTTGTAGGACAAGTAAAAGTCGTAGAGCAATTTGAAAGGTTCATGACTTACTGCAAGCTGTTTCATTAATTTGCATTGACAGACAATGCCATTCAGGGCTCTTAATACCACCTTCAGAATTATGCAGGTTCGTGTAGGTAAAATTGCAACTGTGCAGGCATTTCAATATGTTTATTAATTATCTGCAACTAATTAACCTGCATTGCTTTGCCACTACAAATGGGTGTATGTGGATTTTTATTTGCTGTGTTGACTGTTACTACTTATGAAGTATAAAAGAAATAATGGCAAATGGTTTCTGAACAGTTGTGATACATACTTTCAGAATGATGCACGTAAAATTTGTTCAGTTCAGGTAATTTTTAATGCTACACGTACTTCACCAGTACAGGTATGCAGAAAAAAAAGCACTTCGAGCCCTGATGTGCCATGTTTATTCTTATCACAGCATAATTTAGCAGGAATAAAGTTTTCATCCCGTTTTACTTTGAAATTCCCCCAGAAACTGTTCATAGAGAAGAACAATGATGCTCTGCACGACTCGCTGGAGTTCCTTATACAAGAGAGTAAGGACCCCTTCATACAGGACCTGTTTGGGGAGAAGAAGAAGAAGACATCAGGAAAGCTGGGCTTCATCAGTGTGGGCAACAAGTTCAAGGTATATCTCATTTATTTGGCAACTCTACACTCTTAAAATAGATAAACGGAAGACTTTGATGTCATGTATTCTAAACTTCCCAATGTTATCCTACTTCAACTGACTTTGTACATGTATACAAATTCCTCCTTTTTTTCTCTCATTATAGACTCAGTTGGAACAGCTGCTGGATAAACTGAGAAATACGGTAAGGCAAATTTTACACATGTATGTCCTTGAAAATCTCTCATTTTACATGTAATGTTTTTGCTGCAAAGGTAGAATCTTAGGTCAGGTTATCAGTATGCTTTTGAGTGTAGCGTTGATATATTGCTACTGACACCTTTTTCTCCAGGGTTCTGCATTTGTCCGTTGCATCAAGCCCAATCTGAAGATGACCAGCGGCATGTTTGAGGGAGCTCAGATCCTCTCCCAGCTGCAGTGTGCAGGTACGTACAGTTGTGGCCATTGTTTGTTGTGCTTTGTATTTAATGGTTGGTCAGTCAATCACTAAAAAGTTGTTGTTGTAACAGAGTTGTTGTTGTTGTAGCATTTTGTAACAATGTGATGTTGTACCTGCAGGTATGTTTTTTGTGCTGTGTGGGTTCCCCTCCCATGCATAGTTCCAGGATCTGTACAACATGGGCTGGGTTGTTGTAATATATGTAGAGTTGTTGTAACATGGTTGTTACAGTGCTGTTGTTGTACCCACAGGTATGGTGTCTGTACTGGATCTGATGCAGGGTGGGTTCCCCTCCCGTGCCCAGTTCCAGGACCTGTACAACATGTACAAGCAGTACCTACCAGCAGACTTGGCCAGGCTGGACCCCAGGCTCTTCTGTAAGGTGAGGAAGTAAAAAAAAACATATTAAGAGCTTGTTAACATCTAATATCAAATTCTGGTCCAAAGTAACTGCTACAATGGTCTTGCATGCGGTAGGTTTTAAGTCCAACCACTGATATATAAGACTTTAAAAATGGTACATACTGCCTTTTCTGCTTAGCACACATCATGTGGGAAAATGTATGGTAGTAAACACACATCACTACCAGTGGACCAGACCCCTGCTATAGTGATTGTACAACTGTGTGGCCCAAGGGCCAATGAACCGGAGATGGGTGCCACCATTATGTATGGTTGTGGGAATGACTTACAATGTAAAAACTCATATGGAGACTGCTAAAATCGTTTTACACCATGAATCCACCATTAAACTGTGTACACGATGTCATTTAAAACATACACTATATGGGTTAGATGAAAATGTTCTTGTAGGTATAAGAGATTTATAACACATTTTCTTCAATTCTTCCTTACAGGCTCTCTTTAAGGCTTTGGGTCTGAATGAAAATGACTTCAAGTTTGGTCTGACCAAGGTCTTCTTTAGGCCAGGGAAGGTGAGTCAATACATGTTCTATCTAATACATCATCATCTTTTAGAAACAATATTGGGTTTACTTTTTGTATCATGACAAGCAAATTTCTCCCAATGTTTTTGACTGTACTGGAGACTGACATATTTGTTTCAGTTGATTTGACATTATGATGTTTAAAGTTAAAACTCTTGTTCCAACACAAAGAAATTTTTTCACCTAGACCCTTCAACGAATCACTCTGGTCTTCTTCAGTAGACTGACCCAGTGAGACTTGTCACGTGGCTTCTCTGAAATGTGTGATCCACACTGGGTCAAATGTATCAGGTAAACAAAGTTGGCCCCTTTGCGGTCGAGCGATGAAATGAATGATATTTACTTTTCCATCCCTCCCAGTTTGCAGAGTTTGACCAGATTATGAAGTCGGACCCTGAACACTTGGCAGCGCTGGTTGCTAAGGTGAGGAAGTGGCTGCTTCAGTCCCGCTGGAAGAAGGCCCAGTGGTGTACCCTGTCTGTCATCAAACGTAAGGAAAAGCACTTCCATCAAACTACGTAAAGCCATCTAATGCAATTTGTATGTATGTATGTATGTAGACCCATAACCGTGAACGGTCGTAGGGGCATCATGGCAGCCAGCAGCATGTCTGGACTTGCGCCATGATGTTTCAGTAGGCTTATAATCTTGGCGGCGCCTATCTCCTCTCCAATGCAATTTGAGGGCAACAAAAAATACTGAATAAGGATAATTAATAATAGTGACATTTACTGCCATGTCTTAGCCCATTTCATACTTGAACTTTAATTTAAGCGTTTGAAGTAGCCCCAAAGCAAGCTACCCATAATTGTTGGGTACTATCCATACATTGCTGAGACCCTGATACAAAATAAGGAACTGTTTTCCATCAGTGACATCACGTGTTTGCCTCAAAGATATAATGTTAGATATACGTATGCTATGGAAGAGGATGCTACATCAAAAGATGACTATTAGTACATAATTGACTTTGAAATCCAGTTTTGCCACCTTGAAATTGCATTGGATGCCTTTGAACCCAACATGTTGACTTATCCATATTATCATCAAGTACCTCAATCTCATGTTGATTTATCCTCATTCTTTAATGTCAGTGTTTTAGCCAGCATCCGTTTATACTGCTCGTGACAGGCAAACAATTTTGCCCAATCCGTCATCTTTGATGGACAAAAATCAGTGTATAAAGATACAGCAAGAGATGTCATTAAACTAAGCTTTGTCTACCAGCAACATTTGCTCTTCGAAAATGCAGGATATACCATTTTAGAGGGTATACATTTCAAACTTTTCAAAGTCGAGAACATGACACTATACTTGTACACATGACATGTCCTTGGTGCTGAACAGACATCAGTTACAAAAGCTCTTTTAAATTCAGCAGTATTGCAGTCAGTTGCGAAAATGTTGTAAATACATCATATACCATGATCACAGTTATTACAAGAAGAGCAAAATCCTGAGCTGATTTTTGTTTTTGGATGAATATTTCTCTTCAGTGAAGAACAAGATCCTGTACCGCAGAGCTGCTCTCATCAAGATCCAGTCTGGATTCAGGATGATGATCTGCATGAAGAAACACAAACCAAGGTCAGTCTTACATGACATTACCAAGAACTTCTCTGTGGCTGTGTAAGAAAAAATATCATCAAAATTGTGCAGTTGATGCATTGTAAATGATTGTAACATACAGTCAGGTATAATGGTTCCCACAACGCAAAAATACATGTAGGTAGATATATATAAAGGACTGCTTTGTTATTAGAAAAAAAATACCAAAACTTCTGATTAGCCCACTCGATTGTAACACTTAATCAAAGACTTGTGCTATCCCTTATTGTTTATTTTATTGTTTGTTACTCTCTTTATGTAGTTTGCCATACATTGTACCATGTGCAATTGTCGTGCAATACAGATCTTCTTCTTCTATAAAATCATCACACTCTCTGAAAACAGGACTAAAACAACAAATCTGTGTGGTAACAAGTCTATATTAAAAGTATATATTATTATAATACAATACGGCTGGTTACACAAATAACTGTACTGTTGATAGGGTTTTGATTTGCAGGTTTCAACACTTGAACGTGTCATTTCAGAATTGCCGGTATGAAGAAGGTGACAACTCTGAAGACACTTAGTGGCCAGATGCACCAGCTGGGTAGGTAATCAGATTAGACACAAATTAAGTATAGAGGATCGTGATTGGCCAGGGAAATCAAGTTGTTGTCTGTCCAGGGTGCTGATTGGCTAGTTGCATCTAGTTAATGTATGTCTAGGATGCTGATTGGCCAGTTACATAATGATCAAGTTGTAGAGTGCCTGGGATGCTGATTGGCTAGTTACATCAAGTTGTGGAGTGTCTAGGATGCTGATTGGCTAATTACATCAAGTTGTGGAGTGTCTAGGATGCTGATTGGCTAGTTACATCAAGTTGTTGAGTGTCTAGGATGCTGATTGGCTAGATGGTAATAGAAAGTGTCAACTGCTTAAGATGTAACATAGTTCCCAATCTACAGGTTCAGCAGATTGTTTACAGTTCATAAGAATATCTATGATCCGTTTTTATCATACTATGTGTACTTTTTAGTCAACAATCTAAGCAAAGTAACAATTGTTGTTTTTTTTGTTAGTTTCTGCTCTAAAGGAGGACAAGCAGTCATCAGGCAAACAGGTGACAGACCTGGAGGCAGGTATCAATGGACTTGTGAAACAGATCAAGGTAAAGCCACTCTCATATCAGCTATAAATCATCATAACATTGATTTTTTTTATTAACAATAAATTCAGCTCTAACTGATGGAACATATTATGCAAACTATAAGCTAAATGGAGATGACAAAATGGTACAGTAAATCACTTTATGTTCGTGGTAGCAAAAGTTTGCGGTCCGAGAAAAATGGATGTGTTCACGAAACTAAAATTATACAATCGTGTTGGCAGCAGGTGCAGCAAAAAGAAAGTCGGCAAATTGTTTGACCACGGTAATGACAAGTTTGTGGTACAGAAGTGCCCGTGAAAATCATGAATATAGTAAAGTACCACAAAAAAATAGTGATTTACAGTATTCTTTGGGTTATGCACAAATAAATAAATAGAAAAATTATAAGTAAAGTCTTTATGATTTTAGATAAAGATTATCTTCAATAACGTGGATAAGTACAAAATGTTGATGGTTAAACATTTTGTAAATAATGATGGCCTAGTTTGAATCACTTGTTTTTTGTTTGTTAGTTTGTTTGTTTGTTTATTAAGGGATCTCCATTAGTGTTGACAAGACAACCACTACTCTTCTTATATACATGTACTAATCCTCTTATATAAAAACTACTATTTACATTCACTTCTAACTACTTTGAAAGAATGTTCTCTGATTAACATTTACCATTTAATAATAATTCAATAAACAACATTCATCAATCAGTAACCTCATTTAACAGTATTACATTATAAAATGTTAGCCTGAATTAATGTGGAGGGTCTGTGCCAGTAACAGATCAACCTGGCAGGACCTGTGCATGACTGTGGCCGCTATGCATCAGAACATGATGCCTGCGGATGATTGATTGATTGATTGATTGAATTAACATGCTTGTCATCTGTACAGACCACCATGATGACCCGTGAGCAGATTGACAAGGAGTACAACACCCTGTACAACCAGGCCACCCAGCTCATGAAGACACTCGACTCCAAGAAGAAGAAACAGGAGGAGGAGGAACGCATGCGCAAGATTCAGGAGGAGATGGAACGAGAGCGGAAACGTCGCGAGGAAGAAGAACAGAAACGCAAACAGGAGGAGGAGGAGAAGAGACTGTAAGTTCACATGAGTTGCTAAACAGTTAATCACTTTATATTTACGGTAGCAAAATTTCACGATCTGAAATAAATGGACATGGTAGTGGAACGGTGGTGGCAAGTGCAGATTAAGAAAGTCAGGATGTTCACGATATAGAAGTGACCACAGAAACCCTTTTTTAGGTCCATGTCAGTTTTTTTTCTGTCACAGCCTTCTCTAAAATTCTCAGTCATTGAAATCGTACGACAAAGCTACGACAAATTTGATTGTATTGTTGAAAGATCTTGTTCTTTACAGACGTTTAGTGATAGATGCTCAGAGAAAGGGTTACTGAAAAGGCTGTCTTAGGTCCATGTCATTGTTTTTTCTTTCACAGTCTTCTCTAAAATTCTCGAAATCATACAACAAGCTATGACAAATTCGATTGCACCTTTGAAAGGTCTTGTTCTTTATTTACAGATGATTGGAAATGGAATCTAACAGAAAGTGTTACCAAAAAAAGCTGTTTTAGGTCCTTGTCAGTTGTTTTTTTCTGTCACAGCCTTCTCTAAAATCCTACATCATCAAAATCATATGACAAGCCGCAACGAATTTGATTGTACCATTGAAAGGGCTTGTTCTTTACAGACGAGTAGAGATAAAGGCTCAAAGGAAGTGTTACCAAAACGGCAGCTGTTTTTTCTGTCATAGCCTGCTCTAAAATTCGACATCATCAAAATCATACACCGAACAATGACAACTTTGATTGCACCATTTTTTACAGACGATTAGAGATGGAAGCTCAGAGGAAGAAGGAAGAGGAAGAGCAGAAGAGGAGGGAGGAAGAAGAGAAGCGACTACAGAAGGAGATCGAGGAACAGCTGGCAAAGGAGGCTGAGGAAGAAGCAAAGAACCAGGTAAGGCCTTCTTTGAAGAATACAGGAATGTCTGAGGATCTGTACATGGAAGACAGATGCTGGCTAGAACCGTCACCAGATTGGTACCGGTACATATAAAGGCTAAAAGGTTCAGTTCATCCTTATGATGATGCCATGTACTGCCTCCACAAGTTCCTGTCTTGCATGGCGGAGGACAGTTCAACACCCTCCAGACCTATATCCTCTTCGATCCCCTTCTTCAAAGTTAAAGAAGGGCGACCACATCTGTGCTTTTCCTTTGGTGACCTGAGAAGAACCAAACCTGCCATCTCGTTGTGTCGCATGACATGACTGGCCAGTGACAGCCTATGAAGTGACAAATGATCGTTGTACATTGTGGTAACTGTTGATGTTTGTGCGTTTCCTCACTACAGGCTATCCTGGAGCAGGAGCGGCGAGACCGTGAGCTGGCCATGCGTCTGGCCGAGGACGAGGGACAGGAGATCGTGGAGGAACCACAGGAGGCACCGCAGCTCAAGAGGTACAGTCAATCATTAGTAAAATGTTACTGAGATGAGAGAAAATTTATATCTGTATTTTGAATTTGTATGTATTATTATCTATTGTTCAAACTATTATGTACATGTAACTGTAACCACAATGAAATCATTATCTGAATCAAGACCCCTGACTGTCCTCACTTTGACCTCTTAAAAACCGGCTTAAGCGGAAGAGTTTGTACAGTTTCAAGGTCAAGTAAAGGTTGAAAAAAAATCATGGCTGGGTTATATGGGTTCAGAATGGCCTAGGGTTGAGCATGTACAAAATGTACTTCATGTCACTCTAGGTTCACTTGGTGTGAAATGATAGACAGTAAGTACAGAATAATTTCAGAAGAGGGTGAAAGATTCCATGTATATACACAGAATGGCTGAAAGGTAGATAGCTGAGTTGTAATAATGGCCTGTTTGTGTGATATTTTACTGCATTGAGCACTGAGAGGCTTTTAGATATTGAATATTGTATTTTTCACACTATACCCTCTACTCTCTGAACTTTACATACATATCATACATGTCATTTAACAATTCTAACAATTTCTTTCACACTTACTTTTAATACAGCATTTGTTTTCTTTCACATTTTGAATTGTCTCTATTTTTGCTGAAGATATTTCAGTGACAGTGTCACCTGGAAAATATTACACAAAACATTCAGAATTCAGAATGGCCTAGGGTTGAGCATGTACAAAATGTACTTCATGTCACTCTAGGTTCACTTGGTGTGAAATGATAGACAGTAATTGCCCAGACGACTGATAATTTGATCCAATACTTCCGCAGAACATGTACATATAATTTTGGTTTTCATCAATGTGACAGCAAAACCTCACATCAATTTTGAATTTATGGAATGTCATCTTTTGTTAAGTACATAACTGTTACAGTTTTCTGCAGAAATATTCCAGGAGGATATCTCATAGCAAGACACGAAATTACCTTTTTTTGTTTGTTTATTTGTTTATGTAATTTGTTTATTTGTCAGCACGCCCACCCCTGCACCCCGTGCCGTTCAGGCCGCGGCTGAAGCCTTCCAGGAGGCAGCCCAACCCGCTCAGGACGAGTATGACCTTCAGAATCTCAGACGACCTTGAACAATCAATCAAAACTCCAATTTCCAATATCAGCAATTGTCACTAATACAAATGATTTCGGGCACCTTTTCCATATTTCCTTTTTCCTTAAAGGTTTTCAAGATTTTTTTGCACTTTAAATATGATTTTTTTTAACACAAATCATCACAGGATTTAATTTTTGCACACCATTCTTGTAACTTGAATACTTAATGATTGATCTGCTATGTCTTGATTTTTCCAGGAATCTCCTTCCCAACGGCAGACCCCAATCACTGGCTCTGCAGACTAACCAATCACAATCCGTCAAGTATACACACTTTTCATAATTCCAACCAATCACATTTCACCACCAACTTCACACTAACCAATCAGAATCATGTGTGACACCCAATCACAATACATGCATCTTGCTCGACACAATGTGTACCTAAATAACAGTAATTTTACTTGTTGTGAGAGAAAGTTAATGCTTGTGATCATCCTTTGTTGTAATTTTGCACTTTCTTTGCTTTCAGTTTCAGGAGACAGGAATGCATTTTGACGATCAGACAACAGTGCATATTGTTATTGCTTTTTCAACTGCTTTGTGTTGTCAACAACCTTGTTTCATGTAGCAGCCAAGCATGTCCAAATCCACCTTGAATGGTTGATATAAAGTTCAATTGAATATGTCTATATGTTACTAAGTCTTTCAGACGTATAGTGGCATTCAGCAACTGTGCATTTACAACTGAGGCCACACCAATTTAATTTCTTGGTTAACGGATTTTTCTAGAAAAGTAATGGAGCGGGCAGGCAAAAAAAAAAAAACTAAAAACAGGCCTAGGCATCCTATTATGGCCCAAAATGGTACAATAGGAGCCATGAAGTCAACACACCAGGCTGGTTTAAAATTTAAACAATGAATTTTGAACTTTTAACAATACCACTGCTGTAACAACTAGGAAGAAAAGGACTGTTTTCAACTGTTCAGGACAAAATATGAGCATTTTGCAGTTGATTCTGAATTTTTTTTTTCAAATCAGAAAAAAATGAAGTGGGCGAATCTGTTAACCAAGAAATTAAATTGATGTGGCCTGAAGGCTGGTAATATTTTCCTGAGTTCTGAAGGACAGGAAAACTCTCAGCTCTAAGACCGTACATGACTTTGTGACTTTATATCATGTCCACAGGGCTGTTGCCACCAAGCAGGGTTCTAAGAAGTATGAGCTGAGCAAGTGGAAGTACGCAGAGCTGCGAGATGCCATCAACACGTCTTGTGGTCAGTAGATACCTTTCTTGTGTATTAGATATGACCTGTACTTATTGTAACAGTTTTTTTTCATCTTCAGTTATCATTGAAGTTTATCTGTGTTTGTAGTAATTCTAGTACAATGCTGAACTTTATTCCATTACACACGAGTAAACAAGGATCAAATTTTTAGACTCTGTGGTATAAAGGAGGCCATACATGTATATCAATCAAGGCACTCCAGCTTGTGTTGGAATGAAGTTCAGCATTGTGTACTATACATGTACATCTTTTTAATTATTAACATTAGGTCATTTTGATAGTAATAATGATTATAAAAACCAATTAACGTTACAGAATACTCTGACTAAAACTATCCCTTTTTCGTCATAGATGTTGAACTGCTGGAGGCTTGTCGTGAGGAGTTCCACCGCCGTCTGAAGGTGTACCACGCCTGGAAAACCAAGAACAAGAAACGCACTGCCGGCACCGAGGACGAGCGCGCTCCCGATTCAGTCATGCAAGGTTTGTCGAGAGTTTTTATCTCCCCAAAACAAGTTTACACTTCTTTAGAATGTTACAGTTCACTTAATGTTCACGGTAGCAAAATTTGTGGTCTGAGAGAAATAGACATGTTCGCGGAACTACATGTATATGGTCACGGTGGTGGCGGGTGCAGGAAAAAGAAAATGGTGAATTGTCTGTTCACGGTAATGACAAGTTTGTGGTACAGAGGTGACCGCAAAACGGCAAACATAAAAGTACCGCTAATAAATTGTGAACTACAGTATGTTTCAACTTTTATTCAGTGCTAGGCCACACCAAAGCAAGAAATTATTGGTTCTTGAGGTCAACATACCAGACTGACTTGTAATTGAAACAATGAATTTTAAACTTTTAATCAAACAGTGCATTGATAGAAGACAAAACTGTGACAACTATAGGAAGAGAAGGGACTTATTTCAACTGTTCAAAGCATGAGCGCATTTTGGAATTGATTCAGAACCTGATTTTTATTGTTGCTTTTTTGCAAATCAGAAAAAAATTAAGCTGATGAATCCGAGAACTGATCGATTAAATTGGTGTGGCCTTATTTTCTGCAAAATATCTTTCTATGAACATGTTATTCCCCAACTTCATCTTCAAGTTGACAATACAATCAAGTAGAATCAGGAACACCAACCACTTCTGAATCTGTCAAAAATTGCAGTTTCCAAATCAAACTTTCTTCCACATTTTTACGATTCCAACATCTCAACCTGTCTTCCCTCTCCTTACAGATGAGGATGTAGATTTGTATGTTAGAACCGATCGTGAGTATTGCTCTACATTTGGGTGCTTTCACCGTCCAAGCCAGGGTCACCTTCTGATGCTATCAATGGGCAAACTTGTGCACACTAACCATCAACACTTTTCTGTAACTTTTTTTTCCAGTTCTTCTTTTTTTCCAGTTGAATAACAACAAGTTGTTTTATTTTCAGCTGCACTATTTGATTCAAGGTGTTTGTTTTTATGGTTGTTTAACAACTACTAACTGCTGGTTATATGCATGGCAGGTGGTAACTACATGTAGGTGTTTGTAATTGTAATTACTGAATAGGCCATGTTGATTAGATAATATGGATGACGCATAATTTTCGTCCCTTTCCAAAATAGTTTTTAGGCCGTACTGTAAATTGTACAAAGCAGCTGCAAAATGAGGAAATATATGCCGTAAATTACAAAAAGAAATATTGGAAAACAATTATACTAAATTCATTCAATGCAAAAAATCAAGGAAAAGAAGAAAATGTGAAGAAATGAAAATGAAGAGCCTATTATTTGCCATAACATACTCTGTGTGTTTAGTCATTTGTTCAACCTTCATGACCACGTAGATTTCATAATGAAGGAAACCTTTTTTTTCCAAATTTGTTTTATTCGCACACTCGCATCAGCTTTGGGGTTCCCAGAGGATGTCATCCATATTACATATTAATCAAATCAACATGGCCTTATGTATATCTTGGGAATGGTTGGTTGCAAGGTTGGTGATATGGTAAAGGGAAAGATATCTCGATTCAGTTACCAGATGCAGGGCTCAAAATACTTTTTTCTACATACCTACACTGGTGCAATGGTGCATATACTGGGAGGTTGATCTGTGAAACCTGCACCATTGCAATCAATCAGTTAGGTATGCCAAAAAACAGTTACTCAAGCAACTGGATATGATTTTGAAAACGTCAGACGTTTCAACTAGTATCCACTAGCTTTCGTCAGTGACTGAGAGACCAGAGGGGAAAGCAGGTTTATATACACAACCTGTTGATTGATATGCAAATAAAGTGAAGACAAATTTTTTTGGTAAGTCGAAAGGGAACAAAAGTCAGACAAGTCAAGACAAGATGATGCAAATTAGTCTGAAAGCTCCTGTTATACAGGACAGGAGCTTAAGTGTTGTCTGTCCTCGGGGCTGGGAGTGCCAAATCCCAAGTGCCGGAAAGATCGACCCGTAGCCCCCCTTCCCTGTTGAGGGTGGGGTTGTACATTCTTTCATATATTGCCTCTTTAACACCCCGTTCCCACCAGCGTGTTTTGCGGTCTAAGACATCCGTGGACTCGAGTTTGAAAGAGTGACCCTGGTTGTGTTGTAGGTGGTGGAAAATAGCTGAGGAGTAGCCGTTGGCACTAGGTCGGCAATGTTCTTTGTACCTTACTTTAAGCGGTCGACTTGTCTCTCCGATGTAGGTGTTGTTACAATTGGGCTCCTCACATTTGAGTCTGTAAATAACATTCGCCTTGGTACCCTTGTGAGGTCGGTCCTTAGGGTGTACCAGTCTTTGTCTGAGGGTTGAGTGAGGTTTGAAGTTAGTGGCTATGTTGAAGTTTTGGAAGATCCGTCGGAGTTTCTCAGATACTCCTTGGACATACGGAATAGTGATGTTGGCCTTGTTTTTGTTGGTCAATGGTTTGCACTTCTGGGTTTTCTTAGACTGATCTGAAGGTTTGAGCGCTTTGTTGAAAGTCCAGTTTTGGTAGCCACATTTAGCCAGGGCACCTCGGAGGTGTCTATGTTCGTCCGTTTTGGCTTGGTCTGAAGTGACAATGTTGTCTGCACGATGGAAGAGAGTTTTGATCACTGCTAGTTTGTGTTCCAAAGGGTGGTGGGAATCAAAGGCCAGGTACTGATCAGTGTGGGTTGGTTTCCTGTACACTTCGAAACGAAGGTTACTATCTTCCTCTACGATAGTTTTGGTGTCTAGGAAAGGGAGCATGTTGTCATGGCTTGGCTCCTGTGTGAACTTGATGTTGTCATCTATCTGGTTGATGTGGTCAAAGAAGTCAGCAGCTACCCTCTTTTTCAATCTGCACCAAGTGTCATCTACATATCGAAACCAGTTGGCCGGGGGAGTGTCATTGAAAGTGCTGAGGGCTTTGTTTTCAAACTTCTCCATGTACAGGTTTACAACAATTGGTGAGACTGGTGATCCCATAGCACAGCCGTGCATTTGTTGGTAGAACTGTCCTTTGTAGGTAAAGTATGTGCATCCTAAGCAGAGTTCTAGTAGCTCACAAACTTGGTCAACGGATAGGTTGGTTCTATCTGCAAGTGTATCATCGGCTTCCAAGGCTTCCTTGACTACTGACACTGCTTCCTTGGGTGGTATGGAGGTGAAAAGTGAGCACACGTCATACGAAGTGATGGGGCTACGGGTCGATCTTTCCGGCACTTGGGATTTGGCACTCCCAGCCCCGAGGACAGACAACACTTAAGCTCCTGTCCTGTATAACAGGAGCTTTCAGACTAATTTGCATCATCTTGTCTTGACTTGTCTGACTTTTGTTCCCTTTTTCGACTTCCAAAAAAAATTTGTCTTCACTTTATTTGCATATCAATCAACAGGTTGTGTATATAAACCTGCTTTCCCCTCTGGTCTCTCAGTCACTGACGAAAGCTAGTGGATACTAGCTGAAACGTCTGACGTTTTCAAAATCATATCCAGTTGCTTGAGTAACTGTTTTTTGGCATATCGTATTACCTGGATGTCTAACCTTCATCGACGAATCAGTTAGGTAATTGTCACTGTTTGGGACTGGTAGGTTGCTTGATTAGTTAGGCAGTTATTGCATTGTTCAGAAGTTAGGCAAATTGACTGTTTCAATGAGTCGAGAATATCATTATCAGGGTTTCCAGGTTTGGATTCCAGGCTCATTACTGTGTATTATGCTGTCGTGCAGGTAGCATATACTGGCCTTGACATCATGCAAATGTACGTTGCAATTGTCGTGTAGGGTTTTCAACTTATTCAGTAGCATATCATTGCTCAGGGTATGGAATCAGTACAACTGTAATTACCTTCGCCAAGAAGGTTATGTTTTCAGGGGCGTTCGTGTATGTGTGTGTGTGTGTGTGTGTCTGTCTGTCTGTCTGTCAACACGATAACTTGAGAAGGCCTTGATGGATTGTCTTGATACTTGGTAGGTGGGTAGGTCTTGATGAGACCTCAAAATGATTAGATTTTGGGCCCCCTAGCGGCTTGTTATGGTACTGCAGCTGAACTTCCGGTTTTGATATCTCATGATCTAGACATGCTATGGTGATGAAATTTACATGGTAGGTAGCTCTTGTGCTGGGGAAGAAGTGATGTGAGTTTAGGCCCCCTAGCGGCTTGCTCTGGAACTGCAGCCATATATTCTTGAAAATATTCAAAAGGGGATAACTCAAGAACCGGTTCACGGATCGTCGTGATTTTTGGTATGTAGGTAGCTTACGTGATCCTTCATATGATTATGTAACAATTATACAAATATGGATATAATTTGCATAATTTATGGGGAAATTCTATAAATCAGCTGCATTCCATGATAGGACAATTAAAGCTTGTGACATTGGTAATTTACAACGAGAGAAAAACAGGAAGATATTGATTATGTTAATAATGACCTAATTTGCATAATTGATGAGAAAATTTTATAATTATGTAATGATAACTGCCTGGAATTTCATACTTGTGGTATTTGAAAGTTAAATTGAGGTGAACATCATTAAAGATAATTTATTCAAATCAGGACCTCATTTGCATAATTTATTAGGAAATACTAGAATGCATTGTTTGTTAATATAAGACTGTTTTTTTTTGGTTGAGATTATGATAAAATGATATAATTCATGAAAATTAGGTTCCTATTTCTTAAATCAGGGGGGAATAATCCAATCTATAATTTGTCAGTCATAAAGATTAACATCATTTGGCGAAGGTATGAGATCGGGGAACTCTAGTTCACTTTATGTTTGCGTTAGCAAAAATTCACAGTCTGAGAAAAATTGAGGTGTTCATGGAACCATAATATGTTCACGGTGGCGACAGGTGCAGAAAAAAAGAAACTCGATAAATGACGTACTTGTTAACGGTAATGATGAAAAAGTTCACGATACAGAGGTGATCACAAAAACCGCAAATATTAAAGACATCAATGCAGTTTTTAGGGCTCAGAAACCCGATTTTTCAAAGACAATATTCTAGTCACTTATTTACATACTCAGTTGAAACAACACTGGCCCAATGTATATTGACATTGATGGAGCAAAAATTCCCCAAACCCTGACAGAAAATGGTTACTGGAAGGGCCCTGGGCTGATTTTTAGGGTACCACCCAGAAAATAAAGGACTCATCTTGGGGCTTGTTTCTGCAGTGTTGAATACCCTAAGTATGATATACTAATTGAAATGTGCTAACGTGAAACAGTATGTGTCAATATCATAAAGAGTGCCTTATTCAGAATATTTTCAGTTTTGCTGCTCTGAAATCACATTGAATGCCTTTAAAGTACCACGAAAAAAATCATGATTTACAGTATTCTGTAGCATATCATTTATACACAGGCTATGGATGACTACAGTAACGGAAGTTGTGGTCCTAATTTCTTGTATTACGTTACTAGTGGTTATTTTTACGGCCCCCGCGCTATCCCCCACGAGTATGAAATCACCCAGCCGTCACTCATTAGCACCAATAAACCACCCGCTTACATTTTACGACCCCCACCACTTAGCCGTGCGGCTGACAAGAGCATGTGCGGACTTGAATATTTCATGAAGCGTGCAATTTGATGATTCCGTTAAAGGCAGACCATCAGCGATGATCCAGATTGAACAGACATTTGTTGCATAAGGAGAGGGATCAACATTTATATAGGGATGGAAATACCAGGTTCTTATGCACTTTACTTTAGTACAGATAACATTGGGGCCGTGTAGGTATTTCTGATGTCTACCTGCACTGGTCCATGTACTGGGTATATGCAGGTTAGTGCAGGTAAAATTGGAGC